CTCTCTCTCTCTCTCTCTCTCTCTCTCTCTCTCTCTCTCTCTCTCTTTCTACACACACACACACACACACACACACACACACTCACACACTCACTCACACACACACACTCACTTCTCTCACTCTCTCTCTCTTCAAGGTGAATCATGAAGGCTGATGGAACGGCATACCCAAGGTACATGTATCTAAGGTTCTTCTTCATTCTCTCTCTCTCTCTCTCTCACACACACAGACACACAACATACATACATATCCTATACCGGTCAAGGGTAGACCACGGATATATCAATGCACAAGACCAACGCCTGCCTTGCCCACCACCTGGAAGACATGTTCTACTCTGAACAAAGCCGTTTCGCTACCTCTTTCTCTTTCTCTCTCTCCCTCTCTCTCCCTCTCCCTCTCTTTATCCGTACGCCTACTCCAAACGTCATGCACGCGCCGTAGAGCAGACTTACCTTCAAAGATACTACTGTACCTGGCTGACAATCTCGTTCGCACGACCCAGTGACTCCACCATCTGTTGACACTCCTTACGCCTCTTGGTCGTGTAGTCGCTCTCTTTGAGCAGGTCACTATTTTCCTGCATCCCGTACAGGTGTTGGAGGAGTTCCCGCTGCATTTCGTCTTTCGTGCGTCTGCTCAACTGTTAGCATGTCTTTTCATCGAAATGAAGTCAGAGCTCCCTCCCCACGCCCGTCCTCTACTCACTCGACCAGGTTCAACATGATTGCCTTCGGGACCATGTCGATCATCGTTCTCCTCACAATGCTGAAGTATGATGCGATGAGGAGCTTAATCACTTCGACTTCTTGCGATTCCTTGTCGTTCAGCGTACCCGACGCTTTCAGCGTAGGTGGAGGCGCCTCCATGGCTGCCATCTTCTTCTTGTTCTTACTCGCGAAGAATGACCCGAAGAAGCCAGCGTCGCCGTTGCTCATGTCCAGACTGGGGCTTGCTGATCGGGGTGGCTGTGCGGAAAGAGGCAGTGGCTTGCCCGTCTTGGGGTCGACCTGGACAGGCTTCGCAGCGTTGTGCTTCTCATTAACAATGGCCATAGCACGGTGTCCATTCAAGAAGTCTGGATGGCCCGTATTGATATAGCATGCCTCCATGGCGACCAGGTCCCTGACAAGCTTGTTGGTCGGCTCTATGGCCCTCTTGAAAAAGCCGACCACCACGGCGTGCAACTTCTCCTTGAGCGCGGGATAACGTCGGTACATTGGCTTGTTTACGAGCTGTCCCAGTATTCTGATCAGCTCATCGTAAATCAAGCTAACGCACTTGAGGGACGGCTCTTCCAATCGCTTGATTTGCTGTTTCACAATGACCTCGAAAGCCATGGTGCCAACAAACAGCGCCGGTGAAGATCCCGAGGAGTTGTACAATATTGTTCGAATGTCGATATCCTTAACTTGATCGAAGGGATCCACTGCCTTGATTCCATTGTTGTATAGCTCGTGGTAGACAAAAGCAATGCGAGCACCACCCGAGAGTTCGACAGACGAAAGTTCTGCGCTGTGTCCTTCCAGTACCGTTCGGTATTCATTCGAAAACTCCGTGATCACATTGAGAATGATGTTCGAAGCATCCCCGAGGATGCTGTCGCCAAGCTGAGCGAGCTCGGCGGAGTATTTCGCGAGGGAGGCCGCGATGCGCGCTTTGATGTCGGGAAGTGTCTGCTTGATATGCATCATCAAGATCAGGTTGAGCTTCCTCGCCAAGTACGGTGTTCCGCAGTAAGATGCTTTGTTGCGGTACGCTCGGTGGTTTTCAAAGAAATTCTTCTCATTCTCCAGCGCGTATGATATGGCCTTCTTGGTCTCGATATCACGCTGTCCTCGATTCACCACTGGAACGTAGCCCAACCGCAGTGGGATGATCCGGCCTGCCAGGATATCTACCACATCTGTGCCCTCGTCCATGAGATCAACCTTTGTAAGGACACCGATCGTCCGCTGACCCTCTGGGTCGACTTCTCTTGCAAGCTTCAGCCCATCGGAGTTGGCTAAATCGGTGTTGGCGGCTGTGACTGCCAGGATGATCGCATTTGGCTTGGAGATTTGCTTGAGGACCATCTCCCTGATCTGTCTCTCGATATCCCTAGGCTGATCGCCAACTGGGACTTTCGTCAGACCAGGCAGGTCAACGAGCGTGAGGGTGAGAACATTTGGCGAGTAGATTCGCAGGTTGATCGGTGCAGGCGAGATGCCGCCATTACGACCTGTTTTGCTCTCCGTCTCCTTGACAATCTCATCTCGTATCTTGCCGAAGTCGTAAAACTTCTGGCCAGGAATGTGCAGGAACTCTCCCCATTCACTTGTGTTGGCCTCCTTATCGTCTGTGCCTTCCACCGCATCTCCACCTGTTGCGCCATTTTCTTGCGGTTTATCCGAAGGTTTGAAGGGGGTTCGGTTGATCAGTTGGAGGATCAGCGGTCTTCTGGTCACGATACCTGTTCCTCGGGGGAGGCTACTTCGGTCAGCGCGCGTGTCAGGCTATCGTTGGCGGATAGTGATCGTACAAGTCTCTTCCCACAATATTCTCTAGCACCGAACTCTTTCCACTGGACTGCGATCCTACCACCGCAATTTGAGGCAGATCGATCGGATTTTGCACCTGTGGCCCGTCAGATCAGCATAGTGAGCTTGGCCTGTTCCTGCCAGCTGTTTGGACGTACGCCGACTGTAGTAAAGACATCTTGCAGCTTGTTGACGAGAGTGATGAGCCCCGGGTCGTTCACGTTGATCCTGTGACAGTCAGCGCACTGTCCACTACTCTCCCTTTTCGCACGCGGTATAAGCTCACGCGTTGGGGTTGGCTTGTGCCATCGCGGGCAGGCGGTGAGGTGGACGGTTTGAAGGGTTCGTGCGCAGTGCCGCAATGTATTTTTGAGTCGACAGGTAACAGTGGAGGTGAATATGAGCTTCTGAGCTCTGGACAGTCTACACAGTGAGGTGGAGAAGCAATGGGAAGTAGGTAGTAGGTGCTGTAGTATAGGTTTATTGCTGCCTCGAACCGCTTACAATGGAGCCCAAACAACCCTGGTCCTAGTGGCGTCGCTCGTGGCGCAGGTGACACGTGAATTTCAACCTCAGGTTAACATGCGGCTATTCTTCATCCACCAATCCACATGATGACTAAGTACAATGGAGGTACATACATCCCAATGCCTGGCACTTGACTTCTTTTTGTCACCTCTCCACTTCACCACCCTTCGAAGAACCATGACCCACGGTTTACAGCAAAGGTGGTCACCAGGCCACCTCACCAGCAACCTCCTCGAGCTTCACATCATCGGCGCCCCCCTCCCCCTATGGCTCTGCATGTGCCGCGAGCAGTAATCATTTCTCTTTGCAGCCACTACAAATTTCAGCGGGCCCACCAGACTTCAGGACAAGAACGGTGATGATGACATTATCGTCGTGGTGCCAAAGGGGGTGGATGGCGTGACCGCTGCCGAGAGGTTGGTGTCGGAGTGGGAGAGGTCGAAAGATTGCTCTCAGGATCTGAACGGATCTGTTGTCCGTATCTTCTCTCAAGTAACTTCTCCAAAGAAAGAGCTATTATCACGATGAGCAGCACCGTGCTGCAGAAGATGATCGCGATGCCTCTCTGCGTCGCAGCCCACATTGTTGAACCGAGCTGGTAGTCTGGGAAAGAGTAAGTGCTTTCACTGTTGATGGTGGATGTGACAAGTCACCCACGACTTCGATGCCGTATAGCAAAGTTTATGCAAACGCGAATTCGATGTGAATGTTGAAATGTGATTGGATGTGGAAGTGCAAGGTGACTTTGGAGTTGATGTTGATGTTGATGTTGAAATTGAAATCGATGTCGATGCTGAAGCTGAAGTTGAAATGAAAGTGGAAGTGGAAGTCATGTTGTTGTTGTTGTAAGAAGCAATTCCCATGCGCCAGTTCTTGAAGAAGCAGGAAAGAGGTACACAAGCTACTTCGAAGTAGGCAAGCGTGATGGACAATAATCCGGCGCTGTCCGTCGAGGCAGGAGAGAGGTATTCCGCGGACTGCTGAGGAGAAAAAGGCCACCGAGTTACTCACTGCCGGTCTCCCCCACTTGATATTACTACCCACATGTATAGCAGTCGGAGCAGGCCTGATGAAATGGAGAAAAGAGCACTGAAAGCAGAGAGCCTGGTGTAAGGCTCGCTGGTGACGGCACGTCTCTCTGCAAGCATCGCAAACACAAGGTGAGCACCCGGAAGCATCGACAGCGTGCATCGACAGCGTGCATCGACAGCGTGCATCGACAAGTTTAATCTCGACCATTGTCTTGGATGTAAGTGGTGTGAACTCGATCTTGCAATTCGTGGATATCGTAGTAAGCTACATAACCGTAGGGCAGCCAGGTCACAGCTGACTGACAGGAAGTGCAGCCGAAGGTCAGCGAATCAACCCTATAATGAATCGGTCTCTCTCGATACTTGAAATGTAAGTGAGATGCTCCTTCATTCAGCCAGTCATGTAGCAGTCCTCTGCCCTTTGGCGTATCGTCACCCCAACTGCTGAGTCTCGCGACACGCACGAGACGCGAAAGCTCGTGACCGTCTGCTGCTTCCGGATCGTGCAGCTTGCTCAGAGCACTTCTGTTACACAAGCCGTCTCTAGATGCTTTAAACATGAGTAGGGATTCTTCGAGCGTGACGCCAGGTCCCAGCTCGGTATTGCTGGTCACAGATCACCTGTATCCTCCCCGCCACTGTCTCGCTCAGCGTCCATAGCGGGGGACGCTGCGTACTCTTCCGCAGTTTCTTTTGGCTATTGCTGTTCTGAAGGCGAGCCTCTCACGCGAAGAATCGGTCCTGTGGCGTTCTTTTCAGAGCTCTGCTCATGCACGTTTCCTGGACATCCCCGTCGCTGTCCCTTTACGCGCGTATCCGCATCCCGTTTGCGATTCCCCAGCTCTTGAAAATATCCCTCATATTATAGGATCCGCTGCCCGATCATCACTATCCATTCTCATATAAGCATCGATAGCCGCACTGAACGCAGCAAAGCCCGCGCATCCCACAGCCATAGCCTGCGGTCCCGCTCCCTTCGCCAAAAATGCCCCTGTAAAACAACCCGCAGCAACCTGATTCGAGAGGTCATTCTTAGCTCTGAAACCCTCGACACAACATTCGGTGCCTGCGAAAAGTGCTCCAATGTATCCGAAATTCTTCGCGGAACTCAGAGACTGCCTTCCCATGTCTCTAAATCCTGTCTTGAGTTGTTCTTTTATCGGTATCGAGGGAATGTTGCCCGTGCCAACTCCGCCTGGCGCGCCGGAGGAGAGAGGTGTATCGTAGCGCATAGAGCTCATGAAGAGGCCGAAGGCGCCGCCAAGGGCAAAGCCCATTCCACCTGCCATGACAGCTTTGGCGGGGCACGATTGCATTGTATTTTCCATCTACACGGGTCAGGATTTCTTGTACTTGTGAGAGGGAATGAAGAAGACAGTGTTGAGGATAGCGTACCAGCTTGATCATTTGTTGCTGTTGAATCACTTCTGGATCTTGGCTCGCTGCTGCTCGTCCTCCCATCGCGCCGCCCATGCCTCCTGGAAATGCCATGATATGTGAGGTCGCGTTGAATAGATTGAGATAACAGACGAGAAGGTGGAGTTGAAGGTGAAAGTGAGGTCGAAGGTGAAAGTGAACCAGGAATACAAGCCGCATCCACTGCCTTAGCGAGAGTACCTAAGATGTTGTATCTATAGAACTTCCGATATCCGAGGCAATCTATACTAGATTAGATGATTCTTCCTAGCTGTTTGTAGATATAATCAATTATACTGTTTATCTGTAAGTATATATAAGCGATATCGTATTAGATTATTCCTCGAAGTACTTAAAATTAGGAAACAGATTATCAAATCAATTAGTTTATTATATTTTTAACAGATGTTTTCGCTAAGCTGTATATATAGATCAGCGGCTTATAATAGCTAACGGCTTATCTTCTCGAACCGCTAAGCGTTATATAAGCAGAGGTTCCTTTTATATTAATATCTTATTAAGTAGATTAGACAAGTAGGTTATACCTACTTAACCGTATATAGCTGCCTCTAGGTATATCGCCTACTTGCCTATAGGACGCTGCCTTTTCTAGGCTAGCGACTCCGAACCTAGAACTTTATACACTCTCTCGAGGTATTACGACCAGGCCGCTTATTTTTCTTTTTTTTTGATCTCTACGATACCCGGTACTACCGAGACCTTTAACGAATAGGTCCCTACTCTCAATCCAGACTCGGCCGAGGAGGACCTATTCTTCCTCGAACCGTCTCTCTAAAGTACGCCTATATAAGTATCCTTACCTTGCCTATAGTACTGCTAGTACCTATATCAATACGCTGAACCGTAATACGGTATCAAGATTAAGGTAGTATAGTAGTAGGACTTATACTAATATAGAATTGATATAGTTACGAGAGCAACTTAAAGCACTCCTCTACTAGTAGCCGAAGCGTAAGACTACTAGAAAGCGTAAGGCTCCTGCCTTATCCGTAATAGTAGTAATAGTAATAGTAGTAACAGTAGCAATAGCGGAAGATTCTAGGGTCGATTCCGCTACCGATCCGTATAATAAGACTGATATACGGTATCGGCTGCTACAGCGTAAGATAAAGTTCGAGAATTTGCTATATAATAGCTATTTCCGTAAGTAGGTAGCGATTAGAAAGGCTTTCGGAGATAAGGTAGCCAATTAGCTAGATTCGTTTAATTACAGATAGCTACGGGAGAAGGCGATAAAGATTGTAAAGAACAACCAGACGTAGGTATTAAAGAAGCTAGAGGTAAGTGAATTCTCTATCCCCCCTTCTAACTCTATCCCCCCTTCTAAAGGTAAGGTACTAATATATATAGGCGCAATACAAAGCAGAGGTAGAGACGACGCCTATTCTAGCCCGCGTCGACAGAGACGGTCTAGTAGAACACTTTGAAAGTGCCTTTTTAGCAGAAACTTTCCTCGATGCGTAGACATATCTTAATAGCTATCTAGATCTAGAAACTATAATTAAAGAGGATACGCTAGAAGATCCGTCTCTCGGTATCTACTTCTATAAGAGTAAGTATTCTCTCCCTCCTTCTATCTACTAATCTTTTTGTTACTTTTGAAGCTAATTATTTTATATATAGTGATATATACTAACTATACTGCTAAGGCTAGCCTTTTTGTTCGCGCCTATACTACGCTTAGTACCTCGGGCAAGCCCGTTAAGGACGAGAACGCTCGTAAGAGGTAGATAGCTACCTTCTGCATCTCGCCGTATATCTTCTAGATATCTGCAAGTTATATATATTAGGGTGCTAATACAGATAATATAGAACCTAGGACGAGTTCGCGGACGTAGACCGCGATAAGTTTATCGAGCTCGTAGAGCGGTCCGCTAGCTAGCTAGCTACCCTAAAGCAGGTATATATTCTATATTATAGCTTAGTTCTAGTTTGATCCGCTAGATTGTACGTCGTGTATAGAAAGTTGACTTATAAATAGCCCTAGGACATATCTATCCTTAGTAGGATAAAGGCTGCCCCTACTCCTCCGAGCAAGAAGAAGAAGCTCGCTCCTACGAGTACTTCGCAAGGTTAGCATTTTTATCTTTATCTATAACCTACAGACAGCGTAGTACTAGGAGAGATCCTAATAGGTTCGAGCCGGTACCCGGGGCTTAATACTAATATTATAGCGGAATGTATTCTTTAACTAACGCCGTAATATCCAGACCTACGTCCGGTTGCTTATAGGTTGTTTATAGGAACCGCTCAGAGTAGCTTTACGCTACGCAACGACTCTTAATACTAGGCTAAAGAAGCCTAGGCCTAAGCCTAGGCCTAAGCCTAAGCCTAAGCCCTAGCCTAATCCTATATCTAAGCCTATGTCTAAGCCTATACCTAAGCCTAGGCCAACCGACGACGAATATGTTTGAATTCTAATAAGCTTGATAATCGTAGCCTTAGTATTAACCCTCGAAGTATCGGGCGTCGACTAATAGCAGAATTATCTCGTTAAGCTTAATAAAAACAAGCTCGAGTTCAGAAAAACGCTAATATCCTATAAGATTATTAACTTGAAGAATAGCAATCTGCCTAAGATTAGCGATATACCGGCAGCTAAGATCTACTATTTACCTAAGACAGTTTCGCTTTATTACGAACATTCGGCAGATCCTAAGACCAATTCGGCAGCGATCTAGAGGTATACGATAAAGAGTTCGGGGATTAATTAGAAGACTATAGTAAAGAAGAGCACCCTACCCTAATACCTACTACATCGCGACATCGCCTATTACGAGACAATCTAGGTTACGATCGCAACAATTCACAATTTATAGGCGTTACTGCTTATTGACCTAAAGAATTAAGACCGACTTCTAGGATATCTTAGGTATTTTCGCGACGTAAAGTGCGTAACGTCCGTTATAGGTAGGCTTAGCGTTGTACGTATAGCTGCCTCTACTATTCTGTTTGCTCTCGCAACGACCTACCTTCTACCTCTAATATTCAGTCTACTACCTCTAACCTCTAAGACAATATTTTTTATACCTCTATCTTTAATATATACCTTACCTCTTACTATCGAGTTCGAGCCTTTGTATTCTAAGGTCCCGGAGGCCCTCGAGGGCTGTATAATATATCTTTTAGAGGATTGCGTAGTACGTTCTTCGCTCGAGGCGGAGGTCGTAGCGGTTAGAACCTCTCGATACGTAGAGGCCCCTAGAAGCGAGGTCGAGACAATAAGGATAATAAGGATAATAGTAGGGAGGACAGCGGTAGATATACGGGTAGTAGTAATAGTAATAATAAAGACGATGCTAATAGTAATGATCTGCTTACTAACGCTGAATTAGATACTAATAAGCTTCGTCTTCGTCTAGCTACGCTACAGATAGAAGATTAAGAGTATAACAATAATAAAGAGGCCGTTACGCTTAGGAATCTTAGTCTCGATACCGTACTAGCTGCCCGCGCTTTAGGTAACTACAACGATTCACTACTAGTCGAGAAAGTGATACCGACAATAGATAAAGAGGAAGCTAATATAGCTAATTATATAATTGAATCCGTTAACAACGAACAGCTTCCTAATACCGATATACAAGCCTAAGACTAGACAACAAATACTAAATACGGTACTACCGCAACTACGCCTGCTTAACAACCAACAATCGACGTTGTCTATTCTAGCGATCTCTCTACTATCCTCGATAAGAATACTACTAGCGTTAGTAATATCCTATCTGCAGAACTCGGTATTGCTATATAGGCTATTAAGGCTAGAATTTCTCGTAGTAACTTCTCTGCGTTAACTTAAGTTCTTAGTATAGTTCCTAACCTATCCGAGTATCGCCTAAGCTTACCGCCCTTCTAATAACTATCGATACACTTAAGAAGCACCTATACAAGATACTGCCGATACTCGAACTCCGCTAATATAACGTTGTATTGCTAGTATCGAGAACAGCTGTTACTAGTAGAGCTATTACGACTAAAGTACCTATTAAGAAGCTACATTTCTTTAATCCGTAGAAGCTATTTACTCGTATCCTCGCATCGGAGATTAAGGACAAGATATACTTTAGTATTAGCTACTTCGTAGATACGCCGGTTAAGAATTAGGAGGCTGCTGCTTAGATATCCTCTATCCGTAGTACTTCTAGACAGTTTGCGAAGTACAAAGCCGATACTAGACAGCTACTAAAGCCTCCGCTTAAGGACAGCAAGACTAAGATCCGTAACGTATCGTTAGTTAAAAAGCATAACTTCTCGGACTTTATCGGCGAGCTAGGTAGTCCTATACTACTATCCGATTTCGTACGCTACGAGTGTTATAACAATGCCTATACTTGCTATAGCCCTACGGACGTATCTACCTACGCTAGGCAAGTTGTTAGTATTAGTATCGACGATCGGTCTAATACGGAACACCTAGGCAACGTTGTTGTTAAGGTCCGAGCTCTTATCCGCTAGACTAGTCTACTAGAAGATGTTCGTAAAATAAACCCTTAACTGCTTAGATCTAAAGAATTCGTTATCGACGAGGACGACATCTCCTATATCCTTCTATCGGTAGTGTCGCCTTAGTACTTTAGTACAATTATAGTATACTACTAGTTCTAGAGCCGGACAGACTTTACTTTAGTACCCGCTTTGCCTATTAACTAGACCTCGGATATACTATATACTAGCTACGTTATCCGCCGTATCTTCTCTCGTACTCGATACAAGGCGAAGTAGCTATATATACGCCTAGTATAGTAAGTACGCTCTATCCGTAGTAAGCTAGAGATTCTGCATTTTAGTCGTAGATATCTTCTTAATACCTTTGCTAACAACGATCTAGATGTTATCTCTCTACCTCTTAAGAACTTTACTAATAGTTTCGGACTCTACCGCAATATATACCGGTCTCTAATAGGGTTCTATTTCCTATTCGCCAATCTGTTATTCTAGGAGGCCAACCGTCGATCTAACGTAGTCGTATTTACGCTTAGTCCTTACGGTAGCAACCTCGCTAATGTTATAGCTACTATAGTACTATACCTACTAGCACTCGATGCCGGTAAAGAGATTGATATCCCTAGCCGTAGTAGGGTTCTGTTATATACCTTTACATTATACTTTATTAGTAATATACTATAACAGAAGAAGAACTCTAGTCTTCTAAGCTAGAATACAAACTACGGATATAGTAAGTATATTATCTGCAACGAGGACTAGGCTATACTATAGTATAATACTATTACTAATAGCCGATATTACTACGAGAATAAACGTACTCGCTAGAGACTAGAAAGCAGACGAAACAAGAGCTAGAAGCAGGCTAAAGAGACAGCTACTAGAATAAGTATAGAGGCTCTAGCAATATAGGTCTTTATACCTATACTAGACATTATCTAGACTCGTCTAAATAATCCTACTTATTCGGAGTATACTAGCTTAATACATCTTATAAACAAGCTACTACTCGAAGCTGCTCTTCTAGATAAGGCTAAGCTAGAGTTTGCGGTTAGACTAAAGGCTATCCTATTTCTACTAGGTTAGGGCCGACTACCTTCGCTAATTAACTATCTTACTAGCTATAAGCTATCTAAGTATACTCGAGCCTTAGTTATCTTTCCGTTGACATTACGAAACTAGCTTAAGGATAAGCACTTAAAACTATTCTTTACTAATACTATTAAGGTAAACCTTAGCGAACTTGTATATTAAATCTCGATTAATTCTAGCTTTCCTATTGCTAGAATTTCTGCCGCTAGCTTGATTGTACGCGTACTATTAGCTATCGCTCGGTCGAATACTAATCTGATATCGAATTTATCTAACAAGCAGCAACGAGCTAAGTTTATAGTAAAGCTAATTAGTATACGATACTTGTTCTAACGGTTAATAGAAGCAGTAGCCTAAGTATCGAGAGACAACCCTCGTAGTAGGGAGATCACTCTAGTATTATTACGCCGTAGTAGTATTAGTAGTAGTAGTAGTAGTACTAGTCGACTAGCAACTCGCGGTTCAGCTGTATAGGCTAGCTTATCCCGCGCCGAGTTATACGCTCTTCCTCTTCTAATACCGGCCGCAACCGGCGAGAGTTACAAAGGGCTCCTAGCGATACGTATCTGACGAGAAGCGGCCGAACGTCTATATCGGCTTATACTACTAGGCTATAGAGGAGGAAATTGGTACGAATTACAATACTACTATACTTGTTAGTAAAGACAAGCATCGCGAGCTTAAGGACGATATTACTAGTACTAACTACTAAAACCTAGAACGCGATCTCTTACGCCGACAGAGTCTGGAGTAGACTATATAACTCTTAATCTAAAACGGCTTTTCCGAGTACCCTCGGCTTATCTATTAGATATAAGATCTCTTCGCTATCTGTCTAAAGCTCTTTAAGGCGATCCTTCTACGCTTAGAACAGTCGGCCTTCGACGCTCGAGTCTAAGAGGGCGCGAGCTTAGTAGCTGCTTAAGACGGTAGTATTGCTACTAATCTATATTATTCTAGAGTGATTGCTAGTAAGCGTATCGATAAGGAGTACTGTAAGCTGACTCTTAAGGTACCGCTTACCGCTGCCCGTATACCTACTAACCTACGTAAAGATATATAAACAGCGTATCGTAATTACTACGAGATAAGCGTTATTCCGACTAATAGTCGTGTCCTAAAGTAGTAGGGTCGTTTTAGTTTCGACGATAGCATCTCCTAGCGCCGTATTGTCTACCGTTAGGGCGACTTTGTTCGGCATAGCGACGATAGTATTGGACTTATTAAGTATATATTTACCTACAAGCCTACTAGGAACAAGGATAATACTAGCAAGCTCTTCGTACGTATTGTTCTATTATATCTTAGACAAGGTACAGATCTACTCCTAGTCTTACTAATTGGTACGCTTAGTACAGAACAAGAGGAGGTTACTATCGGATTGCTAACTATTAGCGGCAAGAAGATCTAGGTTATACGAAAATTCGCCTAAGGCGACGACTATACTAAGGACCCGATTGCTAGTAATCAATTCTTCGTCGTTATATAGGACGTACAGTTCTTGTAACCTAGAGATACCTAGCTAGTAGTATAATACTTCCGCTTCGCAATAACGATCTCCGGCGCTAACAATATATAGCGTACTACCTTAGGTACCTAGTACCTACCTAGCTCTTTGACTATTCGTAAGTACGCGACTCCTATAACAGCTTGTAAGGTAATTCCTACTAATCCCTCGAGTCCTCTATAGCCTTCCGACGTATAATACTACGACGGGACGTATAGCTTTCCTCGGCTATTTCCCCTCTATCTTCTACCCTCTATCTAAGATCGACCGACCGACCGATTGACTACGATACCGTATAACGACGTAACGTCGCGAGTTCGGCGGAGATTAAAGAAGAGACGGGATTTATAAGAGCTTAGATAAAAGGACGTCCGGTGCCCTCTAACGGGAGGTAACGGCAATAGAGGTCTTTAGGTTAGAAGCTAGAGGCCGACTAGTACTACGTAGGTATAGTATAGATACTAGTATATACTTCGATTGCCCGATCAAGTACTGCAAGTCTCTCTTATATAGGTACTCGATTAATGCAATACGAAGCGTACCTAATACCTAAACCTAATGCCTAAACCTAATACCTAAACCTAATACCTAAACCTAATACCTAAACCTATACCTAAACCCGCGGTATAGGTACCCTCTCGTAACCCGCTATAACGTAGGTTACCCTATATAAGCCGCTTACTGATTTAACGGCTTATCCGAATTTCGGGCTTGTTTCGCAATAAGCGCTTGCTAAGACGATCGGAAAAACTGATTACAAGTAATACTATATAACAAGCGCTTACGACGAAAACAGTAGCTATACTAAAACAACTAATACATCGGTGATTAGCGCTATATAATTGTAGAGGCTTATTTTGATATAAGCGATTACTAAAACATATCCGCTTATATACAGCAAGCTACTTATCAAATAAGTAGTTTAGATTTATATAGCAGCTTTTTAAGACAATCTCTTACTAATATTCAACTACTATAATCAGGCTTGTTAAGAAAACCCGCTTAGTCTTAATAACAGTTTTTCAACGGACTGTTAACAGCTAAGACAACACATATACTCCGCTAAGGTGGGCAGTTTCCATTGGAACGCCGAACTTCGTCCCCGCGGAGAAGGCGGGAGAATGATTGCCCGCGCAGATGTAGTAGTACATGATGAAGCGTTCCAACTACAGTAGCACTCGTTCTACCGCAAAAGACATTCGATGAGAAGTTTCCGATAGCACTGTCCGCAGTCGCTCTGCATGAACGCGCGTGAAAACGAAGGATGGTAATTCGCAGGTTCGTCTAAATTCATCATATATCTACATGCCCGTGTCCCGGAGATCACCACTACACCATCATTGATCAGGCTATCCTCTTCTTTGCTCCAAACGCCGCGGCTTCAGCACCAGCACCCATGTAATCTTCCTGTCCAGTAAATTCCTCTCCTGGGCTGGGGGTGAGTGACTTCTCCCATTCTGACATGAGATGGCTTGCTGTTCTCCTCAACGAGCCTGCCGATTTCTTGAGAGCCGGCCACGGGATCGAGTCCCGTTTTGTTGGCTCAAGTGGCTCAAATGCGTTCAAACCCGATGATCGGGGACTGACTGACACAGTGGAAGAGGGCAGAGTGTTAGTGTCGGACGTCACACTGGAGGATGAGCGAGACTGTTCAGGGCTATCATCCCATGTGTCCCAGGCATCATTCGATACAGCTGATAGCCTCTTCACAGAAGGCTGACGAGTGTGTTTAGAGGCGGTCGCCTTCTTAACTTGCGGTTGAGTGCCCTGTGTTGGTGGCAAGACTCCATTGTTTGACCAGAAGGAAGGGTCGGCAAGATCTGGTATAGCTGAGGGTGCGGATTGCTTGCGGGCTGGTACTTGTCGCTTGGTCTCTACAGATGCTTTGCTGACGGTAGACGAGCCTCGAGAGCTAGGGCGCAGGCTGTTCTTGCTCCCCTGCTTCCTCAATGCGTCAAGCGTCTGAGTGGAGCTCTTCTTTCGAGGCGGCGGAACAGAGTGGTGGTCTTCTCCCACAGTTGCCTGCTTCAAGTCTTCCCAGAACGTCCAGAGCCCGTCTTTGAATTCAGACGCCATTTTCTTACTAGTCCGCAGCAATGCATCTTGATCAATGCTCGCCCTTTGCGTCGAATCAAGGTTCGGATCTGCTTTTTTGTCCACACTACGCGCTGAATCACCATATTCATGTCCCTTTGGGACGAGTGGCGGTCGAGCAGCCGGAACAACAGCTTCAGTACTTTGAAGCATAGGACCTCTCAGGCTATCTCGCCGTGGTGGTGGTAGTCGCTGTGCTGTCAGAGTTGGCAGCTCACGAACATTATCTCTCGCCGGCGTGAGCAGGGACAAGGCGCGGGTATGCCGCTGGCCTGGGATCACTGTGCGCCCGCCTGTTGTGTTGCTCCTGGAGAGAAGGGCCTTCCTCCTTGCCATCTCCTGCTGCATCCACGCATTTGATCCGTTCGTATCGTCTTCCGAATCTGCAGCGGGCAGCGAGGTCTGGAGTGTCTGCAGCTTAGTCGAACGCTTCACATCTTCTCGCTTCCTCTTTGCTTCGTGTAGTGCCCATTGTTTCTTCAGCTTGTCGAGATCTGCCTCGGCCCTGAGCACCTCCTCCTTTAATTCCAGCACTTTTCGCTCCTGTGAGGCTATCAGAGTTAAGAAAGAGGTACTGTCCGAGACAGCGCCACCATCAAGAGCGGCCTGCACATCTGGACTACTTGCTGCAGGCTCCAGTGTTGGTGACGCGGCTTGCACTGGGGTATTGGAGCCCGAGGGCTGAATAGGGAATTGTAACGAGAATCGGTTCGACCGGGGCTGATGTCGCGATTGGTTCGACAGTCTTGACCACGTCCGACCGTGGCCGTGAAGACTCGCTCGTGGCGAGACGGACGATGAAGCAGAGTGAGTGGGGCTCGCCGGCGATGCCTCGTGGTCTGGTGCCGCGCCGTTGGCGGTGGTCATAGGTGTATTAGCATCTTCTTTGGGATCCGTGAGGCCGTAGGGAGGGCGTTCGAACGACATTAATCATGAGGACATGTACAGGTGAGTGAGTGAGTGGTAGGTAGTACTCGTAGGCAGGAACAACAACAACAACACGATGAGACACAAGGCGGTGGGAGCGGTCGCAGAACGAGATACGCACGCAAAGCGAGGTAGGCTGTGGCCCGTAGGGTATACTAGTGTTTGACCCTTATTATAGTTGAGGGGGACATGGATCACAGATGGGACGTGGATGTCGGACTCGGAATCTGAGAAGCCTATTGTCGGGGTTCTTTTCTCATCACGCGGCAACTGGCACTCTAGGACTCTAGGGAGGTAGTCTCTCTCTCCCGAAAAACAATTCATTCACCTCTCGGTATCACATGACGACAATGTCCTTAGCACGACACATGGACGGGAACTCCAGGTCGTTTGTTACTCCAGGGGCAAACAGCAAACATGAGGAATGCAGTGCGTTGCTATGACGTCTCGGTCTTGGTCTGGTTTCAGCGAATCAACTTCCAGAGTTACGTCTTCGTAGGCACATGCAAAGTGGTCGACCAGTGAGTTCATGGCGGCCATGTTGTGACGACGGCTGCCAGTAGGAGGTACCTACTACTCGTTTTGTAAAGACTATCGCCAAGTAGGACGACTGCTCGTCTTTCTTGTCTTTCTCGCAGTGGCATCAACATCATCAATCGCCATGTCCTCGGCGAGCACTTATGAGTATAGCATAGCGAAGAAGGCAACGGCCGTCAGCTCCGTCGCCTTGCGTTTGTGTGCTTTCGTCTTCCTGAGATGGGTGAGTGCCAGGTGGTGGTTTTCGATGCGCCGGATGTGGTGGTAACAAGCACATGCTGATGATGGCGACAACAGATACCTGGCCACGTACGTGAAGCATCATGCTACCGATCCCGACGGCTCCGAGCTGACAGCCTCACAGCAATTTCCGGCATTGATCTATACCGCCTTCGCCGCCTACTTCCCGACATTCTTGTATACCTTCACCCACACGAGTCCATGGAAAGTAATCGCGGACAATATCTACGTGACCGAGAGAGCAGTGAGCCCCGAGCCGGTGCAGGATGAGGATGGGAATGTGGTTGTTGCAGACCGAGAACTGGTCGTGGAAGAGGAAGTCGATGTGGTGGAGAAGGAGCCCAAGATCCTGAAGACACTTCTCACAGGATTGCCAAGCCCATCAAGCACATTGTTGAGCCTGATCACGTTCCTCGTCAACGTCGCACTTGTTCTGTGCACACTGCATTTGGTGCACGGTGCAACCTACTTCCACCCAGCTCACGACCTCTCTTTTGCGCGGACTGGCTATGTGTCCGACACAGCAGCCACCGTCTTGTTCAGGGAACCCAATGCAGCCCTCTATCCAGTCAATGCCTCGTACCGTTACGCCGATGCGCCTCTGAATGTCCAGGAATCGGATATAGCCTGGAGATTTGCAGGACAGATCAACTGGCTTGACGAGCGGACCGACTTTACAGACACTTTCTCGCTCCAGGGCCTGAGGCCGGATACCCGGTATCAGTGGGCACTGAGCAATAACAAGACTGGATTCTTCACGACTGCTCCTAAAGTGGGCTTGATTTCTACCAGAGCTGAAAGCCGAAATCTTTTCACTTTCGTTCATTCCTCGTGCATCAAGCTCAATTTCCCCTACTCTCCCTGGAACCATGCCCTGTCGGCTCCTGGTTTGCAGCACCTGGCAGATGGCTTGCGAGGTCTTAAAGCACAGTTCATGCTTTTCCTAGGTGATTTTGTCTACATCGATGTCCCAGGCGGCAGCGGCTTCAAGCTCGAAGACTACCGACGCCAGTACAGACAGGTCTACTCCAGCCCAGAATGGCCAGCAGCCTCACAAGAACTACCTTGGATCCATGTCTACGATGATCATGAAATCAGTAATGACTGGGATCGCAATACCACAGGTGTCTTTGCTGCTGCCAACGATCCTTATAAGCACTACCACGTGGCCGCCAACCCTCCGGCACATCGCAATGGCGAAACATACTTCTCGTTCACTCAGGGTCCCGCGTCTTTCTTCATGCTCGACACCCGCCGCTATCGTTCCCCCAACGACGGCACCAATGGCTCGGATCCAGTCACGGGTGAAGCAACAAAGACCATGCTTGGTGAACAACAACTGAGCGATTTGCTCGCTTGGCTCAAGAAGCCCGAAACAAACGGCGTTCGATGGAAAGTCGTCGTCAGCTCTGTGCCCTTTACCAAGAACTGGTGGTTTGGAGCTCAAGACACCTGGAGAGGATACCTGGGAGAACGACAAATCATCCTCGAAGCAATGTGGGACGTAGGACTTCGCGGCGGCGTTGGAGTCATCGTGCTGTCTGGAGATAGACACGAGTTTGCTGCTACAGCTTTCCCACCTCCACCTGAAGGCAAGGAAGAGATCACAGGACTCGGTCATTTAGGTCTCGGTGCCAATCCCCTCACCTACCATCGTAATGTTGCAAATCTCCCTGCCGACGAGAGGGCTGCACTTCATACGCGAACGAAGAAGTGGCCCCTCAGTGCCACGGTGCATGAGTTCAGTGTTTCTCCGCTTAATATGTTCTACCTCCCAATCCGTACTTATTCAGAGTCCTCCACCGACGATGGCGATAGCACTGATGTCTGCATCAAGTACTTGCCAGACGGGAACAGCAAATTTGGGGCCATCAGTATTGCGAACCCGCCAAACTCGGATCAGTCAATTCTGACTTATCGACTTTTTGTCGCTGGAGTGGAGACCTGGAGCTACACGTTGACCACACCGCCTGATGTCAGAGGCGGTAGCAGAAGCAAGGACGCCATTTGGGGCTAGTGGAGGTGACGGGTTACCCAGCTGGTATTTACGGAAGCATATGAAAAAAAAAGTAAAAAATATCAGGCAGCTTGGCATCAGGATAAATAGAACCTTGATAGAAGTGAAGCATGACAGAAGATAACAACAGTCAAGTCGCTAGTTTGCGACCACTACCTGACACGCACTACCTATCGTCCAGTGTCTTTCACGTGCACATCTCCGGCCTTCTTCTTCTTCTTCTATCACTCAATCATCCTCTTGGCCATGATTTGGCTTCATTGCTTTACCCTTCTACTGTCACATTGTCCGAGCTGCTTACGGCACTCTTCTTTGAGCAGTACCTAGCGAGAAGCTTGGCACAACACTGACGACAACCTGAACGAGAATGGCCACAACTTCGACACCAACATCGTCATTGTCCCTATCTGTTACTCCCAGCAACACTCAGAACAATTCAAGGTGACAGTCCTACCGGTGCAAGGAAAACCTCATTCAGCACACCAACAGACAACGGGAGACACAGCGTCATCGGTCTTCTTCTTCTTCCAGTGCAGACGCAGACATTATTCCGCCTACCATCAAGGGACAAAAGAAATGCCATGTCGTCCAGCAATCAGTTCTCAATCCCTCGGTCGTGCGTGTGAGCATACCCTGTTCCCCAAAATCAAGGCAGCATCCGAAGCAGGCTTCGAAGGAATTGAAACCTTCTACGAAGACTTGGCGTATCTGGCAGATGTCTATACTCAAGAACGACTGGAAGACCATGGCGCTACAGAGAAGACGACCGAAGCTCACGCCAGCGAGCTGAGTGAAGGCGATCTGCTACGAGCTGCTCAGGACGTGAGAGATTGGTGTACACAATTCCACGTGAGTTTCTCATCGCGGAGCATCACGCAAGCAAGCAAGTGTCTTCTTATTCATACAGTTGACTGATCACCAAGTGATATACAGCTAGAGATCATCGCTTTACAACCTTTTCAGACCTACGAAGCCTTGAAATTCACTTCTGCACATGGTGAAAAATTGATGCTTCGTCTCTGGCTACCTCTGTGCCACAAGTTACAGACACAAATAATACTGCTTCCTTCGAGCCCATTGCCTCCCACGCAGCTCAGCGAAGAAGCCATCAGCACGACTCTCTGCAAAGCAGCTGATCTTGACGCAACCGAGCGACCACCAGTAAAGCTCGCATACGAGGCACTAGCCTGGGGCACACTCGTCGATAAATGGGACTATTTCTGGAAGGAGGTGCAACAAGCCAACAGAGAGAATTTGGGAATATGTATCGACACATTCAACTTGGCTGGTCGCGTTTACGCCGATCCTACCTCTCCCGACAGACGTCTTTTCCCCGACGAGCAGGAAATCGAATACTCCTTGGACGTGCTGAAGAAAGATTTGGACATGAGCCAGGCCTTCTACGTACAAATCGTGAATGCCGAGGATATGGAGCGTCCGATTGTGCAAGTTCATGCTTGGTACAAAAAAGAACAACCTGCGAGAGTGACTTGGAGTAGAAATGCTAGACTGTTCGCTTATGAGGAAGGCGTGTATTTTCCTGTGAGAAGGATCATGGAAGTGCTAATAAAGGACTGCAAATATGAAGGATGGGTGAGTATAGAGCTTTTCAATATGGGTTTGGTCGACTCGAGCTCGAGTGTGCCGAGAGAATATGCGGAGAGAGGTATGGAGAGTTGGAAGAGGCTGGAGGAGGATTTTGGCCTCTGATAGGATAAGAAAAGAAAAGAAAAGAAAAGAAAAGATGTTGAATGCACGCAAAAAGACGATCGGTTGCTCATTCCGCCATAAATAAAACCTAGGTTTGTATGTTTGATCTAGAAGCCGAAAAAGAGAGATAAATCGTAATCTTCGTATCATTCATTCATATCACCTCTCCCATCCATACCTATACGTAGCTGTGTAAGTTCCCGTCCCCCCTCCTCCCCCCAAAGAGGAAAAGAACAAGAGAAAAAAAAAACCACAAACAGCTTCTCTCCTCCTCCTCCTCCTCTTCCTCTTACTCCGCAACAGGACAAAGATCATAATTCCCATCCACATTATTTCCCCACCACGCCGGAAAAGGTTTCGAAGGACCACCCGCTCCAAAAACCGCAAAGGAAAGAATAAACAACGCAAACAGCGCCGCGCCATCCATGGCTCCCGTAATCAAATACGACCAGTTTTTAAAGATGCTCGGACGATAATTGCGGAGGTAGAATTGCACAAAAAATCCTGCGAGGAGTTGGCTGAGAATGACGCAGGTTTGGGATTGGTTGTAGGGAATGTAGCCGGCGTATTGGATGAGTTGGGGAAGATTGAGTTCGCGCATGTCGAAGTTGCGGACTTGGGGGATGAACTATTTTGAAGGGGGGAGATGGTGTGTTAGAGTTTTTTCGAATGAGGATATGTATGTATATATATATCTGGGTAGTGGAGGAGGGGGGGAATGGGGACTCACAAAGACGAAAATGCGATGTGCGATGACGAGAGCTGCGCCGATGGCGAGGCCGACTGGTACCATGTAGTACTCGCGTCCGGCTCGATATAGGTACTCGGCCAGCGCCCATGCAGTGGCGTTGGTGTTGTAGGACTGAATGCTCGCTCCGCCTAAGAAGTGTATATAAGTCAATAACCGCCGCTCTCGAGATGTTATGTAACTTTTATCATATGCTCAGTCATTCATCATTACTTACTCCATGATGAGTTGCCGTTGCCATTGGCAAGCAGGTCCGCGTTAGCTGTCACGATGGAGATCATGACAACATAGTTGATAAATCCGCCGCTGCAAAAGGAAAATGGTCAGTTTTCCACACCAGAAGGCGTGTAGCGGAACGGAAGCCCAACTCACAAGATGGTACCCCAAATCTGCGTGAGGAACATGACGCGTGGCGGAATCTTGACTGTGCGAACATGTCAGCTAGGAGGTAGGGGGAAAAGAGAGAGACGAAGTTGCTCTGGCAACCGACTTACGATAGTCGCCCATTTTCAAGTCGTTCGACAAGTTGACTGTGTTGCTGATCACATTGTGGGACCATGCCTAGGAGCAACACGGTAAGCGGAGGCTTCCTGTGTAGACTGTAGACAGGTAGGTAGTGAAACTTACAGCGAAATACATGTTCCCCACGGGTCGTCCTGGAACGAGTAGACCAGCGAGCATCTTCGACAAGTTGTTGGTTGCTATGCCGTTACCAAATCGCGAATACAGAATCGTGCTCTGCACATCATCATTAGTGGGCCTGATCGTCCTACTTTTTTTACCGATAGAGAACAAGAGAGAGAGAGAGAGAGACTTACCAATGGAGCAATGAAGCAGCCCAAGAGAAGTGCGACCACGTATGCCCAGGCAGACAACGTGATATCCTCTTTCAGCACAACAATCAGACCGAGCACGAAGCTGACGACAAGTATGATAACAAACCACCACCAAGGTGACTCCTTGTAGTGCTTGTTCACATATGCGTGATGTCGATCGTTGGATTGTCCCACGCGAGCTCGCTTGTAGGCCTGGACAACATCACCTCCCCAGAACAGGAAACAGTGCATGACCAACGCGCCAATCTACCCGAACAGTTAGCACCGGCATGAATGTCTGTTTGAAATGAAAGTAGGGACTCACAGCTGCGTTCGCCATCAGAAGCGAGTAAGCGAATGTGCCACTCAATTTGGGCAGACCGACTTCTGCCAGCGCCGCTTTGCTGAGTACTCCTCCAACGAAGACCTTGGCAATGGGATATCTTCCACCATCCGCTGATCTCAACGCCGTCGACATGAAAGGCTGAGATTTGGAATCCCAGACATTGCCATAGTAGATACCAAGCATGGCCAAAAAGCAAATTGCGATCCCTATTGCAGAATGCACTTGCAACGTTAGTGGTAACGAAGTCTGAAAGGACGTGATCTAATGAAAATGGCTTGTCAGCTGACGCATGGCGAGTACCAACGTTAACAGGATCTCACATACGTATTGCCAATCAAATGATAGATTGAAGAGTCCCAGACCTTCGTTGTTGGTCGCTCCACCGAACAGCAGCGTCAGAGTCTCGGCTTTACTTCCCGTGGCGTTCATCGATGCCAAACATGGAATCGAGACCGAGTTCAGCCATGGCCAGATGTAAGCAGGAAGGAACTCATAACAAAACATGCCGCCGAGACAGTACCAGAACCATCGCAGAGGTTTCGAGTCTTTCACAGAGCTCCAGTGCAGGCCTTGGAGCGTCTTCACCGTGGGCAAAGTACTCCAATACACGGCATCGACATGCCAGACCGTGATAGGTCTCAGCAGTCCACAGAGTCCGTAGCCGAAAAGCCCAATCGATATGGTTGATAGGATGACGGTATTCGCGCTCAAGGGTAGGTCGTAGAAGAGCTTTTGTGCTGCGAAGACAGCAACACTGGCCGATGCATTCGAAGCCGATGTAGCTGTGATGGAACAGATCGCATGCTCCTTCAAGCCCCAAGGTCCATGGTTGAAGAACGAAATGACTGATATCCACAAGGGAGGCTTTCCCACTCCGCCTTTCGCTCTCCAGCGAGCGAGATGCACATCGCCTCGAGGGAGAAGAAGAGCCCAACCTTTGCCGAGAAAGTAGGCGATGCTAGGAGAGGGAGGTCAGCGATGAAGAACAGGAGCGAGCCGCTGATAGCTTACATGACAATGAAGGTTCCTTGAATCGCGATCTGGGTGGGCTTGAACTGTTTCTTGCGTCAGCAGGACAGCTCGAAGCCCAAGAGAGTAGCGTGTACTGAAGTCAGCATACTTGATAGATCTGGTTCATGACAGCTTGGAATGCTGCGAGACCAGTGGACAAGAAGAGGGAACGAAAGGTCAATGCCTGGTCGCCATCGTCGCGCAGGGGCAACAGATGTAGTGCTGCATCCGCTCCCGTGATGATGATGGCATTATCATCTTCAGGCTCTTCCGATGCCAGACTCCTGTCCTTCTCCGAGCCATCGGACGTGACTTTTGTTTCCACCGTGTAAATCTTGTCAGATTTTCCGTTGCCATCAATAGCATCAGCAACAGGAGGCACTGGCTGCTTGTCGTCGTCCACGAGGTAAGAAGCCATGTCTTGGAATCCAACCAAAAGGCATTCGAGTCAGGCTTATTATAGGAAAGCCTTCGTTCGCGCCTCGAGGGTAGATTCGAAGGGAGGGAGGAGGGCTCAGGGCAGGGTGAGCTGCTGATATGATAATATAGAGAGGCGAGCAACGCTGTCCACCCTGCTACCGACCCGGCCTATCGCGTGCTCGTTTCCGGAAGGTGTACAGGCACAGTGGTAACATTGAAGTGTAACTGCGGCATGCCAAGGTACTTCTTATCTACACGACATGCCCAGAGTCTAGAAGGCTATAAGCCATACGAGGAGTCGAGGGTAGACTCGGTCACTCGGACAGAGTGGTACACCGTACAGCGTGGGTCCGTGGGAACTTGGAAGTGCATCTGCCAAGCTGCTTCTTATCGTCGCCATCTTGGCCTGTATGGGGAGATTGGTCTGCCGAGAAGAGATCGATGTACCGGATTCATCTGCGAAGCTAAACATGACCTTGCATAAAGCTTAGCCAGATGTGCTGTGTAGCCTGTGCTAATAAACATGCCAGTATGCCAGTCGTTCGCATGGTGACACGTGGTCGCCGGGGCACACATTGCTCCTCTACCACCTTTTTGCATGTGAGCTTGTTCACTTGTTACAGAGGCGCATCGCTACAGGGCATGAATGATGCGCACGACGGTGTGAATGTTGGATGGGCGATGCGAAAGTGACAAAAGACTCCCCCAGCTAAGACGGAATGGCCCGAAACAAGAGCTCAGGTGGTCACTGGTAGTGAATGCCACCACGCCCTAGTCGCTATGTAGGGGCGATCCCTGCAGCAGTGTCAATCGAAAATAGCACTGCAGCGCTGCAGGGTCAGCGATCAGTACAGGTAGTTCAGTACAATGAGTACATTACAGTATACATACAATTTGCAAGGTCCCCGAGAAGCATGGATGATGGATCATGACACGGGATGGAATATGCAATGTTACTCATCACGACCACGCGGGAGTGGAGTGAGGCCCTGGGTCCCATGGCGGCGTTCTAGAACTTAGGGCTGCTGCATTATCTTATTCCAGAGCTTTGGATTGGATAAGGTCCAATAATCGACTCAATCTTGTGACTTGTGATATTGTCTCGGTAGACTGCACCGGCAGGCTTCGCGATAGCCGATAGGTAGTCAAGGCTAGTAGCACTACGAAGTCTTACGCTGATCTGCTACATCAATAAAAGTCACTACTGCCTGCTGTACATTTCTCGTTCTCTGTGTTGCAGCCGCTCCGTTCGCTCTCGTCGCTCCCGGTCAGGACTTCGACTACGGGTTCGACGAGCTTCAGGAGGAGGAGGAGGGTAGTCACGTCGCCGGTCACGATCGCGATACGGGTCGTCTCCTCTGTCCGGTCGCGGCGCATCCATATCCCGATACGTTCGTGGACCCGGTGCGTCCGGATCCCGATAGCGAGGTGGACCATCTGCATCTCTATATGCAAGATCTCGATCACGACTATCACGGCGAGCGGGACGGTCGTAGTCATCTCGAGGTCTGGGCGGCCGGTTATCGTATGAACGTCCTCCGCCTTGATACGATGGAATATACGTGTCGACATTCGGCCCCAGATCTCTTCGTCCAGGAGGAGGCCCTGCTAATGGCGGAGGTGGCGCTCTGTCTGGTATGCCCCCACGGTCGGGGATACTAACGGGCGGCCGAGGTGGAAGGTCAATGGGTGGTCGTGGTGGCAGAGAATGTCCGTTTGCCGGAGGTAGCTGCCGTTCCCGACTATCCCGATCTCGATATGCTGGCTGTCTGCCACCCATGGGCAAAGGCGGCGCCCTTCGATCGTCATAGCGCGACTGGGGATAGGCTGCTCCAGGCGGTCCTCTATCGCGACCATAATTGCGACCCCCTCGGTCGTTGTAGCCATTCTGATAAGCACCATTGGGCGGTCCGTGACCCCATTCGTCTGGTCCCATACCAACCGTTCCTCCGGCTGGCGCTGGAGGCAATGCACGCTGGTTATCCTGCTTGCCTCGGCGCCGTGAGTCAAGCTCATGGCTGTCTTCGTATCGTGGTATCTCTTCGGGCCTTGCAGGCAGCGGCTTGACTTTGAAGTAGTCATGCTGTAGTGCATCAATCGCATTGATGCGCTTCCTCCAGTCGAGGCATAGCATCGACTTGAGAAGGTGAAGGCCTTCTGGTCCAATATTTCGGAATCGGTGATCGATATCACCCCTCTGCTTCTCCCAAACATTTGTGCCTTCGCAGCCAGGCAGTTCATTCCAGCCCGGCATGTTTTCTTGGGTTGGCGAGCCTAGAAGCTTGAAGATCTTGACGCACTGGTCGATGTCGGAACGACCTTCAAGAATGGGCTTGCGCTCAAACATTTCCGCAAACACACATCTGTACAGAATTAGGAGGTGACACAAAGCTCGGGAAAGTGGTGATGCTCACCCAACACCCCACATGTCTATTGCGGGAGTGTATCTCTTCAGAGTCAGTAGCAGCTCGGGTGGCCGGTACCAGCGTGTTACAACCAGACTTGTGTAGTCTCTGGTTGCCTTGCCATTGCCTTGGCCTGGCACAGGTGTGTCGCCTTCGTAGTGTCGAGCCAGACCAAAGTCGGCAATCTGCAGGATTCCTTTATTGGATATGAGGATGTTGGCTGCCTTCATGTCACGATGCAGGATATGCGACTGTTCAACATTAGCATTATGGCAGCCAGAGACCACTCCAGTGTTCCACCCACATCGTGCAGGTATCGTAGCCCTTCGAGCAGCTGCAGCATGTAGCACTTGACCTGTGCGTCGGTGAATCGAATGTCTGGATTGGTGAGCATGCCGCTGAGGTCGTGGTCCATATACGGCGTGACCATGTATAGTGTCGCGCGCTTCTTGCCGCTCTTTCCCTTGTCATCGCCTGCATAGCCTCACGTCAGCCCAGATCGCGTCCCTTTCAATGTTGAGGCCACGCACCTTGCTGTCGTTCGACAGCCATTTCTTCCAGTCGCAGAATATTCGGGTGGCTCAGCATCTTGAGCAATTTCACCTCGCGCAAAGCCGTGATGGGAAAGCCGTCCTTCTCGTTGTGCATCAGGATCTTCTTCAGCGCAACCACAGCGCCTGTGCGCTTGGACTTGGCCTTGCTCACGACACCAAACGTGCCCTCGCCCAGCTTCTCTTTCATAATCTCATAGTCGGTAATTTTCCCGCTTCCTCGAAAGCGGCGCTGGGTGGGATCTGTCATGCCCGAGGCACTGGGCGATGCGCCCTGCGACATATCGGTCTTCGAGCGCCGGTGTGCAAGTGAATAAATGGAGTGGAGTGGAGTGAAGTGAAGTGCGGTGTTGATGCAGAGACGGCGTTTTCACGTCTTCAGCTCGACTGCTGAGTTCGCCGCGATCGCGCCTTTCTCGTCTTCGATCTCGTGTCGCATTGGGAAAGTGCTGGTTCGGCAGAGGTTGAATTGGTTGCGAGCATGAGAGGTGCAGGCGGAGTAGATGTAATGGTCAATGGAGATGTGTCTGTCATGAGTGCGCTATTAGTTGTGCCACCCATACGCATGGTACGTAAGTAAGGTATGTGTATCGCCGTTCCGATCCAGGATGTCAAAGGCGAGGTGTGCGATGTTTCGCGTGCTGGAGATCTTGGAGCCCATGTTTCAGATCGGACTGCCGGCTGCCTCCGAGCTGCTGACACACATTCGACGGCATTGGGTGAATAAACGGCGGGAGGTCATGTGCCCAGACCACTACAACGACCATCAAGACTACCTGTACCACACCACACAGACCTCGCTCTTACTCGCCTGGGAATACACATCATGAGGCGTGAGTACATGTATATGCCAAGTGCTGATGGGCAACACCAACTGACCGACACCCAACAGCCACACCCATCTTCAGAGCAGGCGGACATGGCCCAGCAGGCGGGCACGGCGGTCATCCCATTCACATCCACCCCGCGCGCCCGTTATACAGATTTGCAGCCGTAGGGCTAGGAGCATCCATGTGGTTCTTTGTACGTGGAAATGTTTTCACTTGGCGCGCGATCACTACTGACCATCTCGTCCCGTAGTTGTTCTACCGCGCGAGATATGATCTTCCTGTACTCCTTGGCATGAGACATCCATGGGACCACTGAGCCACGTACGACAACGACAACGAAGAGAGCAGGCAGCGAGGAGCAGGAATCAGGAGGTATCAAGGAGAAGTGTTGCGGTCGGGGCAACCATATCCCCGCGAGGGTCATGTAAATACAGCATGAAACGGAGGCGTCCGACCCACGAGGCTGAGGAGCGTGATACGGTAGCCGTGCAATATACGCAAATACAAAGCTATGCTGTACTGTGGCAAGAGTAGAAGCGCAGGCCTCCCAAGCTGCAGAGCGCTGAAGGCAGGGAATCGTAGTTTCGTAAGTATGCACGATTAACATGAATGGCAGCAATGCCCAGTCTCACCATTTGGCCGCAAGTCGGCAGGGTGGCCTACTGCGGCCTGTCAAACCGATGGCTGTTACGAGCGTGAAAATACAGCCTCCTAGTGCCATGAGGTATTTCCAAAGGCCGCTAGCATCAGGCTCACACACGCGCATATCACTCCAGCGACGCCAGCCTCAGGCCAAATTCAGCCACATTGAGCGCAAATAGAGACAACGACAAGACCAGATCAAGCATATCCAGCACACAGTGCAACAACTTTCCGCGTAAGGCATTCAGCGACCACCATGTCCGAGATTGCTGCAGGCGCTGCTCGCAAGCAGAGGAGAATACCACAAGTTCCTGCGATTCCTGCCGACCCGCAGGATGCTGTCACTCGAAGACGTACAACGAATACAGCTGCGGCTCGCAGGTCGCGTGCACGAAAGGCGCAGGAGCAAGAGGAGCTCAAGGCCACCGTTGCTCAGCTTGAGGAGCAACTCCGTCACATGAGAAAAAGGGCCGAGGACAGTGAAGCGCTCGTGCGCAACATGATCGTTCGGGAAAAACAGAACGCGCTGCCCTCCGGCTATAGATCGACCGTCAGCACAATCTATTCTTTGACTGGCACAGCACCGGATATTCCCCAACCGCCACAACCATCGCCAGAAGACGCATTTTCTTTCTCGGCGGGCTTTAGAACATTCCCCAACCACGTGTACAACATGCCCAATGTCCCCAGCTCAGATCGTCTCGCGCCGCCGGCCAAAGCTCGAAAGCGCGAAACCAGCGAGGTCGCGAAAAAAGCAATCCGGTACACGGGGCAGGCTGCCAGACGTCAAATCAAAACTGCCATTAAAGGCACAAAGGGGCCCAATCCCTATCTCCGAGAGATGGCTAAGCTGGCACATCAGAGCACATCCTCCCCCTCTTCCACCTCCCGTTCGGACGCTGTGCCATATGACTGGCAGCACGCGCGCAAAGACGCTGGAGACCTTCCTCTGGGAAACTCTAACGAGGGGGAATTGCCCGAGGAGGAGGATGGGGAAGACGAGGAGGACGAGGCGGACGAGGCGGACGAGGCGGACGAAGACGATGACGAGGACGATGACGAGGACGATGACAATGACGAGTAGGAGGAGAGGGTGGATCACAAGTCGGAATAGGTGAATGGAGCAGGAGTCGAGGTCGAGGAGCTCAGCAGCAGCTAATAATAGGCAAAAATGGCGTTTTGGGTGCTTTTTCAGCCAGTCAGGCAGAGTCGTATTAAGCTGCTATCGAGGTCCATATACAGAAGGGCAGACGTAACGGTTATACATGTGTGCTTGACGGAGTTTCAGATTCTCAGTACGTCCCAAACGCATCTGACCTTCATAGCTCCAGTCCCTACCAGGCAGGTAATGCTAAGGTATGATGACATTCCATGCCGTCGGCAATACAAGCAGGCAAAGCACCATCTCTCTTTCCACCTCAGAGCGAAGCAGATCGAAAGTCTCTTAGCCGCCTACCTACGAGACCTTAGTACTCTTCACAACAACCAAGAGACATCAGGATCCCACTCCACATCAACAATGACTGTCTCATGCAATTCCCGCAGCCTATGACCACAAGGAACCTGATCATCCCTCGAAGGTTTTTTTTTGTCACGGGGAAATAGACCTGGTCACGTCGACTATGATTCCAAGGTATGATTCCAAGGTATCATCACAAGGTACATATGATGACGACGCCTCTGGTCAGGTTGTATCCTCTGTTTTGAAGCAAGGTAGCAGGTGCTTGGTACATACATAGGTACCTAGCTAGCATTTCGAGGACATTGGGCGAGTGAAAGGGGTATGTCTCCACGTCGATAGAAGGGGGCAGCAGGGGTTCAGAAGCGAGTGCATGGTGTGATAGCTACCTAGGTACATGTAGTAATCGCTGCGTGATACACCCTGACTAATGTAACCATGTCTATCACGGCCATGAGTGCCCAATGGGCCAAGGCTTGATCAAAAAACTTCCGAGTCTGAACAATTACGTTGATCAGCTGCTCTCCTCGCCTTTGAACAGACGCCCTCGATTGGCGATGTGGTTGTGATTGCGCAAGTCTTGTCGCGAGATGCTGTAGCTGGAGTGCAAAGGACTATCGAGTAAAGGATGCGGCGGGAGAAGAGTGATGGCCATACATTCGTCGTCAGAAGTGACTGCACGGGAGAGTCGAATGTCCTCTGGGATGTATGTTCTGTCACCACAGGGCAGGATGGGGTGGCGAGCGTCATGGTAACACAACAATGTCTATTCGGGCCATCCACATTCGCATTGGAGAATTTCCCGGTACGTGTCTCGCTGCTGGCAGTCCACCTGCTATGAGGTCGATCTCTTCACTGCGCCGAGCCCAAGCCTCGCCAAATAGCAGACCGTATAGCCACCTTCCAGGCGGTCATCCGGTCAAAGCCTTACCCCTGCCGCTCCTTAAGTATCGAACTGCCACTTCTGCAATCCACCACGAAACGTGTCAGACTTCGGGGCAGCTCTCGAAGCCAGCTTGACGGGCGCAGTCTTGGAGTACTCTTGTGCCAGACTTGCGCAGACTTTCTTGTGTTGCTTGGCATGGGCTTTTTTGCAATCTCGCGAGCAATACGACACGCTTTTGCACATTGTACATGGCTTCAAGATGGGCGACTCTGCGTCTTCGGACGTCTCTGCTTTGTTGCAGTTGCCGCAAAGGGTTGTGGGTGAGGGCGCTGAGTTTTCTGGTATCATGAGTTTAGTGACGGCCATCGTTCACGTGACATAAAGGGGTAACTGTACCAGGGGATGAACTGCCGCTGTTTGTGTCATTTGCAGCGGAGCTGGACGCTTCTGCGGTGGAGTGTGACATGTTGCTTGTTGTTACGTGATATCCACCATAGACAAAGTGGATGGCGAGGGCGTATGACTTAGGTACCTTATGCAGATGGTGTGTGGTTGTCGCGGAGAACCTAGAAAAAAAGGCTCGTCGGGTTTGCTGCCGTCTCGGCCTCAAGTACCTCCTACCTCCGTTCCGGGTGTAGCTCTACTAGTTCTACCCGTGGACCTTAGCTCAGTTCGAACTTACAACCCAGCCCGCTACTTCAACTGACACTACTCTCAACCACCTTTTCCTCTCCACGCTCCTTGATCGACGACGCGACACCCCTCTGCCAGACAGCCTCGATCACGACAGCGACCACCATCACCAGCGCCTCCTCCATAGTCATTCAAACAGCGACATGACAGGATGAGACGCCCGCACTCCGCCCCGCCCATCCATCCGTTCTGACCTCGACATGCCTCGAGTCTACCCTCCTCTTGAAGGCCGTCAGCCGGCTGTCAACCTTTCACCATCCCTCGTCGAATCGACCGCTGGCTTCAGCGCTGGAATAGTATCTACGCTTGTCGTCCACCCCTTCGACGTGATCAAAACCCGCCTCCAGATCGAACAGACCGATGGACCGACCAACATCATTCGCCGTGGCGCATCCTGGCGTGTCATTCAACGCATAGCAGGCGAAGCCACTCATGGCCAGTCTCCAGATAAGCCAAAAATTCACCAAAGCCGTACGGCCTGGAGCGCAGCTATGATGCGCGCCTTTTATCGCGGATTGATGCCGAACACCATTGGCAACTCAGTCAGCTGGGCTCTCTATTTCATGTGGTACGGAAACATCAAAGATTTGGTTGGTGTCGCAAGATACGGCAGCGCACGCGCGCAATTGACCGGTGTGGATTACTTGGTGGCAAGCTCGATCAGCGGAATTCTCACTTCTGTCTTCACCAACCCTATTTGGGTCATCAAAACACGCATGCTCAGTACCGCCAAGCATGCCCCAGGGGCCTACAAGAGCATCGTTTCGGGGACGCTGAGTTTGTACAAGACCGAAGGGATCAAGGGGTTTTATCGAGGACTCTTGCCGAGCTTGTTTGGCGTCAGTCACGGCGCAGTACAGATGATGCTGTACGAGAAGCTGAAGAACCGATGGGCCCTGCACAGAGAAGGTGGAACCCTGACAAATATGGACACTCTGCAGCTGTCTGCAGTGAGCAAGATGGCCGCTGGGTCCATCACCTACCCCTACCAGGTGGTACGGGCACGGCTGCAGACGTATGATGCCGCCCAGCGGTATAAGGGAGCAGGAGATGTGGTGAAAAAGGTGTTCCAGAACGAGGGAATTGCCGGCTTCTACAAGGGCATGGGGCCCAACCTGGTGCGGGTGGTGCCCAGCACCTGCGTGACCTTTTTGGTCTACGAGAACGTAAAGTTCTACCTGCCTCGCATGATGGCAGACGACGTAGTTGACGGAGATGAATGAAGCTGAGGAAGCACTCTTACTCCTCAAATGAAGCTTCTCCCTCTGCCCCATGCCATGCCCACCATGCAATCAAGGTCAGTGGTAGGAGTGCTCGTGATGATTTCCGGATTGTAGAGCCCCCGCTTGATACAAAATCCTTTTAATCTCCAGATGTAAGTCGACACAACGCTTGCGAGGCTGACAGCAGTATGCTAATCCTTTTGGCTCGGTCATTCGAGGGAGGCCCAGGACACTAACCGCTCAGCTCTGCAAACCCGACAATCACTACGCTTGTAAGACTCGTGGCATCAGGCTTCTATCTTGATTTTCGATCTTTGAGTCGCATAGTAGTCCGCGTCCCCCTGTTCCCTAGTAATATCTTTGAGACCGCGCTCGCATAGACGCGAACGATAGGCTGATATTGTCGCTTCTAGGTATCAGAAGCGTACAGTATATAACCCTTTCTTATAAAGAGAGAGAGAGAGAGAGAGAGAAAGAAAAGAACGAAAAAAAGGGGAGCAAGCCGATATAAGTTAACCCCTAAAAGCTCCTACTACCTAGACTCGAGGAGCGTTCTGCTTCGAACAATCACAACAATATCCCCTTGCACGCCGTCGCGATTCCGACACTTCTCAACAACCATCATCACACCCATGACGAGCTTCGATATCCACTTCTTCGAACCACTACCTCACCCTTCTTCGCCGCTCCGCCGGTAACCCACCGCACGCTATAGCGTTCACCCGAGGTTGCGTAACCCGCGCAGTACATACGAGATGTTGTGCCCGCCGACCAGGACTATAGTTGGCCACACGGGCTGAGCAGGATGAGACTGGATACACCGCGATGTCTCTGCGATGCGCCCAAGTCGATCGCGATGGGGCGTGTTTGCAACGCCCCTGCTTACTGGGCCTGCGAGCCGTGTGCACGCTACCTGTGATCGAGGACTTTTTTCTTCGTATTCTGCTTCTAGATGTTTATACTTATCTAAGGTACATACTAGGTATCTAGAGCTACTACCTTACTATCATATATATACTACTTCCTTCTTTTCCTTTACTAGAATTCAGCAGATTGTGATGGAGTATAACAGCGCTGGGAACGCTCCGCACAGCGAAGCATGTCCAGGGCTCATCAGTTGAAGGGGAATAGCCTGGCTGATACATGTAGACGATGGCACATGTCTTCACTCATGTACCTAAACGATAGGAGTAAATATAGGAGTAAATATAGGAGGTACATACATGTAACTCAGGCACACCTCACTGACCTCAAGCACCGACGAGATGACGTGCAGACTGATGCCAGCCTGCCATCGGAAGCATTCTGATTGGCCGTGGAAGATTGCAGCTGGCAGAGCTCAAGATCTTCCTTGCTCCCATTGCTTCACGTGCGCAACAATTTCCGCATCGATGGCATTGGTGGCAGTATGATAGGATTAGCAGTAGAATAGCCAAAAGCAATCCCCCTCGGAATCCGTGCTCGCTGTGTTCGAAGAGCGACGACCGGCGAGACGTCCGCAGATCCTGCTTGCCATAGACCTCAGGAGGTAGTGCTGCCAAGACGAAAGATCGGAAGGGAAAGGAACGACTACGGCGACATCTTTCCACCGTCACGACGAGTAGAACACACCACCACCACCACAACCACCATCCCTCTCCACTCCACCCCCTCAACCCACCGACAGCATGTCCTCTGCCGTTCTCGCTCGCGTCGTGCGGGCATCGCGCCTCTCCACACCAGCCTGCCGCATGCGACCGATGCGCAGCTTCCAGCCTGCCCTGCTCAGGCCCACCACCGCCTCAGCCTTTTCCACCGCAAGCAGGAAGCTCGCCGACCACGATGCACACGATCCACACCACGAGGAGAGCTTTGAGGAGTTCACTGCCAGGTAAGGACGACTCGACACCGCTCCTCAGGAAAAAGAAGATGGGACTGGAATGTGGTGGTGCCAATGCCTGCATGGACCGGGTGCGCAAAATGAGCGCAAACTGCCTCAAACCGCGCCGACCACGCCATCAAGACTGGGGAAGCTGACGTTAGCCTTTCCTGCAGGTACGAAAAGGAGTTTGAGCAGGTCCAGGATGTCTTTGAGCTGCAACGCAACCTGAACAATGCCTTTGCATACGATCTCGTGCCCTCTCCATCGGTCATCATTGCGGCACTCCGAGCGGCACGGAGGGTCAATGACTACCCAACCGCTGTGAGAATATTTGAGGGTACGCGCACCTTGGGGGAGAAGCAGAAGAAGCAGAAGAAGAAGAGGACAGCAAAGGGTGGATGAAGAAGAAGAACAACACTAACGTCGTTGATAGGAATCAAGGCAAAGGTGGAGAACAAGGGCCAGTACGATGAGTACATTCAGGAACTCAATGGCATCCGAGAAGAGCTCGGCATCAACCTCAAGGAGACCATGTACCCCGAGCTGGCGTAATGGACGCGACGATGCATGAGATGTAAACACGATAGAAGATCAGAGCGCAGCAGAGCAGAGGCTGGACATGGACTTGAAGCAAGCGAGGGAAGTGTGAAGACAGAGGAGCACGTTGTCGCAGCCGGCGCGCTCTGATATGCTACAATAGCCTTGCTGAGCAATGTACATTTTTCTCTACTTGGACGCTGTGCGATATCAGTGTACACAAGAGGTATGGGTGATCTGGGTCCGACACGATACGGAGCTGTCGTGCCGACTTTCCCACCGAAGAGTGGTGGTATCCCAGATCTGCTCGTTCACAGTCCGCGGAACATTGCGCCGGGTCTGCGATTGAGATGCAGCCATAGACCACATCAACGTCCCACTAAATTCTCACAACAGATTCTTGCTCGGTCGAAATATGCCTTCTTCTTGCTCTCCAGGGTCGACCAAACATTCGGGAGCACCAGTTAGTCGCATTGGAAGCCTTGAAGGGAGGAGAGCGGCGTCTACCTTGCAAGCAGCACGCTGGCCGATTGCCCGCCCGAACGAATGTTTCTGTCCCTTTGGCCTGCCTACCTTCTGCGTACTGTCCTTTACCTCCTATCAGGTTGGCGTGGTGACAACAAGTGGGTTCCCGAACGGAGCGCTGTCAACAGGTGTAGAGAGGAGGGTGGAAGTGAGAGTCCTGACACGATCATATCTCATATCGCGCGCCGCTTACTTGTACCCCTCCCACAGCACAGCCTGCCTGTTCACCTCGTGTACTCGAGTAGTTCCGAATCAGCATGTGGTCCTGGCAGTCATCCAGGATTCGTTCCGAGAACAGCGGTTGGCGGCTTCTTCATCTCCAGAATCTAGATCTCCCGCAAGCTCTGCGTGGAGAGAAAATTCTCAAGTCGTCAGTTAGGGCTTTTTTTTCTTTCTTGGTTGGACCTGGATGAATGCTGACAATTGCGGCCCTTTTATAAAACAAATTCCAGCCGAGCAATTGAGTTGGCAAGAAATGCGAAGCGATTACGAAGCAATTACGGAACGTCGGGTCAGACCGTCAGCTTTCGGGACAGTTTTTCCCATACATGTATATGAATAATATGATGTATTGAGTTTCGGTGAGACGTCGGATGTCAAAAGGGCCTATCCGGCAGTTGGTTCCTAGCCTCACTTCTTTGATTCCATCTCGTTGCGACCCGCGAGTGTTTTGGAGGGAGTCTAGATCTACCTAACTGTACATGTACCTCCTAATCACTTGTGGCTTCCTCGGGATCTGCATTTGTGTCTAGGGAGACATTAGTTTTGCAGTTTTGAAATACTTACTACTATACCGCCTACAAGTAGTACGCACTGCACCGAAATTAAACGACTCGATGGACTTGACCTGCACTAACATCTAAGGTATTAGTAACTACCTATCTAAAGATGCCCTATGCCTATGGCCCGCTCGGGGAAGACCCTGCCGCATTTTCATACTGGCAGGCCTGTGGTTGTTGTCGCGTTGGATCATCGTTGTCCCCGGCACATAATCGTTCCTTTCCAGGGTCCCGTACTCTGCCATCAGATGATCACAGGCCGATAAAAGGTACATCCCAGGTTGCTTTCGTCGCACTGGGAAGACTGGAACTGGCCCAAAAACATGTGATACTCTCCCAGGGAACCTTTCGACTTTCAGCTGTCTACAATCCGCGTTTCAAACCCTTTCCTGTTCCTCCGACTACTACCACTGGTGGTGGTAAATAAAACGTCCTGGGCCCCAATGGCCGTCCTACGATACCTCTTTGCGCTAGCGATTGCAGTCACTGGACCTATAGCGACAAACGCCATCTCCAGTCCAGTTTTTCAATCACATGGCAAAGCAACTAAAGAAGAGCTCGCTGCTCGGGCTCTTGCCAAAGCCAAGTATCCCAGATCGAATACCAGAGTTACAGCGGACGCAGGTTACTGGTATGCATCATTCGACATTGGCGACAGCAAAGGACTTTCCCTGATTCTCGACACGGGATCCGATTACGTCTCTGTCAATCCACGCTTGTACAAACCCGGCTCCGCCTCGGTCGATGTGGGCGAAGAGGGTGTGTACACATATAGTTCGATGGAGGAAAATGGATGTGGCTCCGCAGCTGTATCCTATCACGCTTATCGAGACACTATGACTTATGAGGGGTTGACGGTGAAGGGGCAAAGTCTGGGTGCTTCCAAAGAAATGCCCGAGTCACCTGGCAATTATACGAAATTCGATCACGATGGCTTGATTGGGCTTACTCTCAGTCCTGCTTCAAGCCTCGCCAATACCAAATCGACGTATCTCAACTCGCTCTGTCATCAGAAACTCATCGAGCCATGTCGTCTCGGGCTCGCATTTGGTTTTGACAAAACTGGAACCATGGCGTTAGGTGCTGCTGAAGATAGTCTTTTCGAAGGACCGCTATCTACCATGCCTGCTGGTCCCAACTGGGCAACGACAGGAAAACTCGTCATTCATGGCACCGAGGTGATTGCACACGGCAAAGAAATCTACTATGACTCTGGCACTAGAAACGTAAAGCCTCCTCCTTCTTCTTCCCCACTACCCCATTACACGCGCCCTCCCTCTCTTTTTTAAACTAACATCAAATCTTCTCCCACAATCCAGGTCGTCGTCCAAACCGCCGTCGCCCGCGCCCTCTTCAAAGCCCTCAAAATCCAATCTGTCGAGCAGCACGAAGCCGGCTGCAGCAGCATCGTCTACGGCTATTACCCTTGCGACAAACCTCCCCAAGTGGGCTTTCAAGTCGGCGACAAGACGTTTAATATTGATGCTTCGCAATTCGCTCTCGAGGATAATGGGAATAATAATTGCACTGCTGTTGTTACGGGGATAGATTTTGATTTTGCGCCCGATTGGTGGCTTGTTGGGCAGGCTTGGTTTCAGGGTAAGTATGCGGATTTTCATAGGAGTGGGGGGGATGAGTATACGTTTGGGGTTGCGCATTTGAAGTGAGGTGAGGTTCAGGGCAGGTCAGGTCAGGTCAGGTAGGGGTCGGATATACCTACTATAGAATCTGGTACCTACCTAGGTAGAATCTACCGCATGTTCTCCCGCAATAATGGCCCCACTCTTTTCCTGCTTGCTTCTAGATTGTTTTGGTTCCAAAATCGCTCAAAGACAAATTTGCTCTGGGCGGATACATCGCTGCTGCTGCTTTCTCCACCTGCTGCGTCTTCTAATTGCAACTCTCCTTCTCCCTTTTGGAAAAATCTCTCAGCGGCGGTTTTTCCTTTGTCGTCGAATGCGTACAATACGAGTTCTCGACGAAAGCCGTCGTCGTCGTCGTCGTCGTCTTCGCCATGATGATGCGCAGTCATAATCGCAAACACATTCAAACATCTTTCTGATGCCCATTTCTGAACCACATGTCTCAAATCTTCCTCTTTTCGCTCTCGCAAATACTGCATCGATTGCACCACACTACTAATGCCCAATTTCAAATCTCCTTCTTGCCACTGTTTATAATCCTTTCGTAAAATATCCCTCAACGACATTCCCTCAATATTCGATTTCGCCTCATTCAACTCTGCGTAAAAAGTCTCACGAGAATAACTTTTACCGTATTTGTGGGAAATGTGAATTTTCGCCTCTAAAAATCTGACAGCTTTGGTATCTGCTTCGGAGATTTTGTGTGTGGCTTCTATATTGATACTGTCGATGAGAATGGGTCCCAGAGCGAGTTTGGCGACTTGTGCATCCCAGGTGGATGCATAGGCGAAATCGTCGACGAGTCGACCATCTTCTTGCGCGGAGCCAATGGTGGAAGAGACCATGGAGCCTAAATCTTGCCACGTTTCTCGAAGGTAGTTGGTCACGAGACTGCTGCAACTGGCGGATTTGGTGATGATTCGGGGCGAGATGTCGGGGTGGTGGGGGATGAGATTTTCATCTTCGTGGTGGTCGATGACGGCGTGGATGCGATGGCGGTAGAGGTCGCCGAGTTTGCCTTGTAAGCTGTTGTGGTCGACGAGCGTCCAGTCGGTTTTTTCGGCGGGGAGGAATGGTGGGGAGTTTTCTCTTTCTTCTCCTCCCAATGACAAGTCGTCCAAGGTGATTAATTCTGATGGGCTGATGTCGGCGTGTTGGAGTAATGCGGTGAGTTCTGGACGGAGAGAAAGATCGGAGGCGGAGAGATTTGTGATGGGGATGTAGAGTTTTCCTGTTCGTTTGGACTCGACTTTGCTGGATTGGATGTAGCCATAGACTAAAGCACACGTGATGGAGTCGAGGTCTGCGGACTCGTTGCCGATGATGAAGGATGCGGGAGTTTGGTTTTTGATTGCTTGTTGGAGACTGCGTTTTGCTGTGACCAAGAAGGTCCGTACGGACATGCGAGACATGTTGGTGATTGCGGTGATGATCAGATGGAGGAGGATGTGTTGGTGTTGGGATAGGTTGATATGAGCTCTAACAACAACGCTAGACAAAGTAGAGTGCCTAGTGAATGACAGCCTGAGGCACCAGCTTTGGAAGCGCTAAAATGGTGCTAGCAGGGGTTGGGCCGGACCGTGATGCACTTTCTAGAACATCTCGCTGAAACATTAAAGTACCTTACATGAACTGCTGTGCCGTACACTTCACTTTCAATCAACAACCCTTCTCAGCCAAACCCATCGCTAATTCACCTACCTACACCCCATTAATCCCCGGAGACTCAACTTTCAGCAGCCATGTCAAACTAGGAGCACCCGTTGGTGATCACAGCATACGATTATAATCTTCGGATTGCAGCAGTCACGAACGCGAGAAGGCAACGAGAAAGCCTCGCGGTCTATCACACGCAAATTGAGTACTTGCTGCTGAGCATCCGACTAGTACCCCGAGCCTTCTCACGGACTCCACAGAGAATCAGGCTGTATCGGGAGTTCAACTACCCGACAACTATCGACGAATTGCAAGAGCGGCTGTAGAATAGACTGGCCCGCATTTGTTACAGAATGGCTGCTCAAGCTGCTCGTGGCAAGAAGGCTCTGGAGGCTGGCAATTACGAAGAGGCCATCAAGGAGTACACGGACGCCATCAAGGAATCGCCTACTTCGCCCGAGTTCTACACCCAGCGATCGGTTGCCAATCAGAGAGCAGGCCACCTCGAGGAATCTCTCGCAGATGCTGAGTCTGCGGTACTGAAAGCTTTGTCTCGAGCGAAGAAGGAGGCCATCACAGAAGCTCAATTCCGTCGTGGTGTAGCTCTGTACAAACTTGGTCGGCTTGGCGATGCGGAGTTTATCCTAAACCTGGTCAAGCAGCGTGATGACAAGCACAAGCAAGCCGACATGTGGATCAACAAGACAAAGATGGATCTGGCAAAGCTTGGGCAAGGCGACGAGAAGCAAAAGGTGACTGTGACCGAGAAACCAAGTCAGCCAGCCACCACGACCACGACCACGTCTACGTCCACTACAGTTGCTGTGCCATCTACAGCACCAGAGCGGACTCCAGCAGATAAGATTCGATACGACTGGTATCAAAACACCGAGAAAGTGTACTTCACACTCATGGCGAAGGGTGTGCCCGAGGACAAGTGCGTCGTTGACATTACCGAGCGCTCGTTCAGCATCTCCTTCCCAACGGGCGCTGACTCCAACTACGATCTGCACATCGAGCCACTCTTTGCATCTGTTCACTCAGATAAGTGCACCACTCGCGTTCTGCCTAGCAAGGTGGAAATCACCCTTGTTAAGGCACAGCCAGGTCAAAAGTGGCACAAGCTGGAGAGCGACGAACCCGTCCCGGATTCGAAGAAAGTCGACAGTGTTGCTGACTCGGACGCTAAGAATGCCGATCCTGTCAAGCGTGCCGTCTTGTCAGACTCCAGTCGTGGACCAGCGTATCCTACCTCTTCGAAGAAGGGCCCCAAAGACTGGGACAAGGTCGCCAAGGAGGCAATGCCAACCAGCGGCAAGCCTGGCGCGGCCGAAGACGACGATGATTACGAGGGAGGAGATGAAGCCAATCACTTCTTCAAGAAGCTCTTCAAAGGAGCGAGCCCAGAGATGCAGCGTGCCATGATGAAGTCCTACACCGAGTCCAACGGCACCGCTCTGTCCACCAATTGGGACGAAGTGTCCAAAGGCCCAGTCGAAACCACTCCGCCAGATGGGATGGAGGCTAAGCCGTGGAAGTAGCGGTAGCGTCAGGGATTCAGCGTCTCACTCTGTCGACTATGGCCGGTGAACCGGATGTCCAGAGAGGTGCTCTCCCGAGCTGGGATTTTGTCTTTGTCGATTATTTGTCGATTAGCGCGGAGTAAGGTGTACTTTCCAGCAAAGCGTCACTCTTTGTAAGTAGCATGGCAAGCCACGATAGTCAGCAAGTTAATAATACACGTTTGTTGTCATGGCTCCGCCCGCGGGGAGAGAGTTGACTTGCCAAGAATTACGCGCTGCATACACGGGCGGCCTGGAGCGCTGGAGATAGCCAACCTCACCCTCAAACATACCAGGTATTAGGAGTAGGAGGTATGTTGCACACGCCACAGGGACATGTACTGGTTGGTCAGTTCTTGGCAACCCTTCACATCTTTCGCAGGCCGGCTGAACGGTTATTCTAAGCAGGCGGGAACGACTGCGACAGCGTCCGCCAACGTCACCACGTGGCAAATGGCAGATCACTGTCTAGGAGGAGGTATCGTTGAGTTTGTTGAGGAGTGTCCTTAGGAGGTACCTCCTACCTCCTAGAAGGGTATATGTTCTTTTTCCCGAGGCGACGGACGATGTCATTGGTACTACCTCCTCCTTTCGACGTCATGTCTCACTGACTGCTAAGAGGTGGATTGGAAATCGAAGCTCTCCGCTGCCTTTAACACTGTATATCCTCTCGCGTCTCGCACACGGCCTGAACCAATGCGACCATCACCGTCACTTCTCACCAGCGCAGCATCATCCACAATTATCCTCAATCTCTTAACATGGCCGGCGAAACCAAGTTCGAAGGCTGGTGCGGCCTTGACGAAGACTCGGTCAATGGCAACATGAAATGGCAGACGTATGCAGCCAAAACGTGGGAGGAGACTGATGTCGACATTGAAATCAGTCACTGTGGTGTCTGCGGTTCCGATCTTCACACCCTGCGTTCAGGCTGGGGCGAAACACCGTACCCTGCCGTTGTGGGACACGAGGTACATTTCCTCTCCTCTCTTATCCCTCGTCCACGGACCTTTTACAATAAGTACATGCTGACTGTGGTGGTACGGTGTCTTCATCCAGATTGTCGGCAAAGCCATCCGTGTTGGTAAGAATGCCAAAACTGCCGCTGGCAAGCCCATCAAAGAGGGCGACCGGATTGGCGTGGGAGCGCAATGCAAATCTTGCCTCAAGCCGGATTGTGAGCAATGCTCCGAGGGCATTGAGAATCATTGTACAAACGACTTTGTGCAGACTTATGGTGCCAAGTATCAGAATGGTGACACGGCTCAGGGAGGTTACGCCAAGTACTGGAGAGGCAATTCACACTTTGTCTTCCATATTCCCGACGCTATCCCCAGTGAGATGGCTGCGCCGATGCTGTGCGGTGGTGTTACGACGTACAGTCCTCTGAAGCAGAACGGTTGTGGACCTGGGAAGAAAGTTGGAGTCATTGGTATTGGTGGTAAGTTCCTTTCTTTTCCCCCCTTCTTCTCCCATCTCCACAAACACACAAAACAAAAACAAAAACAGAACATTCATCAACAGTCTCTAACACCACTTTCCCCCTTCCCCTCCTCAGGTCTCGGCCACTTCGGTCTCCTCTGGGCCAAAGCCCTCGGCGCAGACAAAGTCGTCGCCATCTCCCGCACACGCTCCAAAGAATCCGACGCCCGCAAACTCGGCGCCGACGACTTCATCGCCACGAGCGAAGACGGTTGGGAGCAAAAACACTCCAACTCCCTCGACCTCATCATCAGTTCCGTCTCCTCACCCAAAATGCCTTTGGAAGGTTATCTCTCTTTACTCGCCTTCCAAGGACGATATATTCAACTCGGAATGCCGGAAAATCCTTTGCCGAATTTTAGTGCGGCTGCGTTGGTCATGAAGCGGGCTACTATGGGTGGAAGTTTGATTGGCGCACCACATGAAATTGAGGACATGTTGGAGCTTGCTGCTGAGAAGAAGGTTCAGGCGTGGATTAATTTGAGACCTATGAAGGAGGCGAATCAGGCGATTGTGGATTTTGAGGCTGGGAAGCCGAGGTATAGGATTTGTTTGGTTAATTAGAGACTTTTTTTTGAAGGAAGGGAGGGAGGGGGGAGATGAAAAGTTTTTTCTAATGTAGAAAACAGTGAATGATGAAAAGATGTTTGTGAGTCCGAATGATTGTTTGTCTTTTCTATCTTTTTGATGTATTGCAACAAAGTGAAAGTCTGTAAATCATACCTTCTTCCCATCCCAAAAACTCACGACAGCCCACTTCCCACTCCAAGCCCACTTCCTCTTCTTACCATCTCCATTCTCACCACCATCCTGCAACTTCCTCAACTCCTCATCTTTCCCCTCAGGCAACCCCACCACCACATCAGCCTTACAAGTCCTCAACGCCAAAACTCTCATTCCACTCCCCAGCCGGCCCAACGGACCAATGGCCTCACTAAACGGCGTCGTAGGATCCCACATGGCATCCGCAGTCAATTTGCGATAATTGAGATCTCCTTTGAAAATCACGAGCTCGGATTCTTGGAGATCTTGATAGAGTGCGGGAGCCGTCTGGGGAAGACGCCAGTAGGAACCGGCTTCTGTCCAGAAGGAATTGGGGCGAAGGATGATTTGGCCTTGGGCGTAGAGGGTGGACCAGTTCTGGCAGAGGGATTGGAGATGAGAGGTTTCTTGGGCGGAGAGAGGTGGGGGAGTTTTGTTGCGGGCGAGATCCGCTTCGGACGGGGTTTCGTAGAATTGGGGAGCGTTCATGAGGACGGAGAGTAAGTCTGCGAAGTCTTGTGGGGTGACGTCGGAGACGAACCAGGGGATGTTTTTGGGGTGGAGAATCACTTGGGTGGCGAGGCCGGATTGGAGAAGGTATCCTGTGAGGATGAGATCGACGAAGAGTTCGAAGCCGGCGTTGTCCAGTACAATGTCGACGCGCCTCTCTTTGGCTCCGGCCTTTTGCGCTTGGTAGAGCGTTTCAAATGCCTGGTCGAAGTCGTTGACGATAATTTTGTCCTCGTTGGCTTTGCGGGCGTGGGAACCTTGCAGTTTCTGAATATCCTCATAGCTCAGATTCGTCAATAGACTCAAATCCGTCGCATTCCCCCACAAGCAGATTTCCGACATTTCCACGAAGAGTATTTTCTCCGCTTGAAATCGCTCTTCCTCCGAGGAGGAAGCAGAAGACCCCAGCAGTGCAGACTCCTTATTCGACTCCAAATGCCGTACAAGCTCATTATACCGCGCCGCAAGCTCCAACACCGCCGGCCTCGAGTCCCGAAACGTGGACATTTTCTGTTGCGAAAACACATCATATCGCTTCCAATGTGTCGATTGAGCAAATATGGTCGCTATGCGGCGGTAGAGGTAGCATTCGGCGTACAGCCATGCCACATTGTGCCATTTGGGGTTGCCGCGCTGCTCGAGTTCTTGGTTGTAGGCTGCGATATCTGCGCTGCTGCCGTCGTCGGGAAGAGGGCTGAATTGGATTTTTATTAGCTTCTTCCTCTCGCCATCGAGGGGTTTTGACTTGATTAAAGAGACAAAAAGAAAGAGAGAAAGCCTCACGTCAAAGGCCGATTATGTTGAAGTTCATATTTAATCGCCGCAATCTCATTCGTAATCTTCTTGCCTTCCTCGATCTTTTCCGCGCTGGTCTGTTCCGAAACGGCCTTGTGGATGTCGTCGATCGCACCCGTCTGGGAAGAGACGTGTCAGTCAGTAATTGAGCTTCGAAATATGAGGGCTTGCTGGGTCGTTTTCTCACCAAGATCACGGGCCATCGTTCTCGTGCAGAAATGTAGGCAAAGGAGTTGGGATCGGCAGTGCCCGATTGTGCTGAGAGATGGTCAGCGACCGTTTGCTTTGGGAAAGCGGTATATACTTGCGGACTGTTGTGTCGTACTCCATTATTGTCGGCGATGCTATTTGTTGTTGTTAGGTGCTGTTGTAGTACTCCAGCTCGATGGCGGGCAAAATAATTGGGGGGTCAAGTTTCTTGGTCAGCGGGGTTACGAAAGAGGAAAGTCGCTGTCCACCACTGTTACGTAATCGGATGAAGGTCTGATATCATCTGTAATAGACTGTATTCAGCGACGACAGCAGTCACCAGTGAGAGCTGACTTGCAATCGTTGTACGATTGAACAACTACATAACCAGAACCGAGCCGGGGTAGGACTACATGCAGACCAGCCTCTGTTCCCCCGGGACCTCTCGTCCTCGCACTCTCTTCTCTTCTTACATCCATCCTTCTCATGGTCTTGTCAGCAGCGAAGCGCAGATGCTGCTGCTCCATTGCTATCAGTTCATCCTGATATCGTGGTGCCCCTATACAGTATGTGATAACAGAAAGAAAAGCCAAAGTGGCAGCCATGGACTCATTATACATTCGTACTTCTCGTATCCCGCCTCTCGCTATCGCAACGCGTTGTAGTTCGCTTCGGGAAATTGCAGATGCGCATTGGGTCCCCTGGGGTCGAAGCCAGGACTCAAAGCAGACGGTGCCAAAGTCTCGTCGTACGATGCAGGCGCATATGCCGTCTGTGTCGTGGAGTGGTAGCTCGTTCTCCTCCCCGGATGCGTCATGCCCTCGGCATCAGTATGCGAGTACGTGTCCGATCCAGCTCTTCTATGTCCTGCTCCGAGTAGACCTTCCTGGTCAGCTGGCGCGGTTGTCTGTCCATACGCAAAGCTGTCCGAGGTATCGTTGCTGGTGTTCAGATCCGCCGTGTCTGTAGACCACGGATCCGCCATCTTGTCAGTCACGACCACAACTTCTTCTACGCTATTGTCCTGCTGATTCCTTCTGAAGTTTGGATTCGGAACAACACCCGTCTTTTTGTGATGCTTGATAGCATGTACAGCAATGGCAGTTGTGACCACGAACATCAGAAAGATGATAATGCCGAGCCCCACGGTAGCCTTGCTCACGTTGCACTTGCTGACGCTGCCAAAAGCGAATGATTTGCATGTACCGTCCTTTATCACGTCGTCCGCTCGCTTCGTCGGGGTAAACGGCTCGGTCTTCTTCTTGCCCTTCCCAATCCCATCGGCGTTCCAGACAGCGACAGCAATCGAGGCTGCAAACCAAAGGAGAGCGAAGAGAGTATCGATCGTGGCAATTGCCCAAACGTTGTTGAGTCGCCATGCACGGGACCACATTGGTACCAAGACCTGGTAGATGATGGCTGGGATTGTGAGGAAGCACTGTGTCTCTATCAGATATGCTCCAATGCAAGTAAGTGGACTGCGCCCATCATACCAGCGCAAAGTAAAAGCTAGTTTGTCCACCATGTTCACCCGATTTGGTCATGACAGCGAGTGTCAAGCATCCTGCAATGAAGACAATCAGGCTCTGGCCAAGGTGGATGCCCGCCTTGATCCGTTGAAGCTTGGTCTGTGGTATGCGCATGTTGCGGTTGGTCCGTCTGTTCAATCTGTCTGTTCGACGATGCTGTTCGAGAGATGTAGCAAACGGGAGAGGCAGTGGAAGCAAAGGGCGATGTGGCCGCCTCTGTCTATATGCGTCCTACTGGCTGAGACACATGCAGTAAACAGTTGTAAGACGGGAACGTGAACCCTAGGCGCCGCCCCTCAGCTTGCGCGGCGTGCGAAGCTTTTCCGCTCCGCCTCTTTTGGAGGCCTTTACGAGGTGACAGTGGTGGAAGATGGTCGCGGTGGTGGTGATGGTGCTGCTAGGTAGTTCTCGTTATCCTTCTAGTGGTGGAGTGACAGGCTGAGATAGAGCTATGTTCAGGGCGGTGTTCGAGTGTCTCTGGATTGAGAGTGATGGCAACTTCGAAAAAGCCATCGTATCGCAGCGCACAGGCAGTCGGTTTGTGAAACTTGAAGCATATGATGATTATTGTGGGGAGCATGTCGCGAAGGACAACGCGTGTTAGAGCTAACCAGGATGTTCGACGTGGGTCGAGCCGCTGCCAAGACTCAAGAGCGAGGGGCCGACGACGACGACGTTGAATATACCGCAAACATGGACGATTCGGAGTCATGTCCATTTCCCAAAACACTCCAGAAGAACAGAACAAGAATATAGAATACCGTTTCAACCCCTTCTCCTGACCTTCTCCTGAGCGGATGCGCTGACAATTCGATACGGGAAACGAGCCCTACAGTCCGCTTGCGAAGGCTGTGCTCGGCCATGTGACCATGAAGCTGAAGCAGAAGCGAAGTCCTTCTAGATGGTGTTCAGATGGACCATTGGGACCAATATACTGTATCCTCTCACACAGGTGGAGAGCATGGCACGGAGGCAACTCACCACGATATGAACAGACGGGGTTTTGACTTCTATCACATGGAGTATCGTGAGGAATGGGGTAAGTTTTCCTCCACGGACGAGCGAATCGAGATGTATTCCATGTACACCAACCAGATTTGCCGGAAGTAAGCCCATTGAAAGGCACCAAGGTCAGGTTAGTTCTAAGAGGTACAGTCGTCCAAGAGTATGGAAAGCGAATAGGCGCATTTGCAGAGCGTGCTTCCGTCAAGAATGGGACTAGCCCGTCGGTACTGACATGAGTTTGCAATGATCCTCTTGGAGATTGATACAGCTGTAGGTAGTACCCTACTATACCGGACACGCATACGGACACGCATGCAAACAGACACATTTCGATGTAAAGGGTGCATGTGAATTGCCATGTACTGGTGGCTGGTACGATGCATTCTACAAGGCGCGTCGCACGAACTCTGGAATGCAGTCCATGCAACCACTTACTCCTTATCGCCTATCAGCACAGTGCCTACCTCACGCAATGGCTGGCCGAGGAGATCATGTGGCGTGCAGCTTGCCGACCTTCCAACAGCCTCCCAGCCTGCTAATTGATGGGTAGCTAAGGAGCATCGATATCTCCCAGACAGCTACACCCCGGCAACGCATCTCGTGGAAACAATTCAGACAGCCGCGCGCAAATCTCACAGCAAAATGGGCGTGAAAGAGATGTACGAGCTTCCAAAGCCGCGCCAAAGACGATCACGAACGCCGAAGATTGGACAAGCAGCCATAGTCGTATGCCAGAATGTCCTACTCTGGGTCGCTTTATATGTCGCTGCGAGCACGATCTACATACTGGTCGTTGGGGCCGTAAAATTTCAGGACATCCCCTCCAGAGTGATGTATCTGGTAGCGGTACGCTCTGTCTGATGCTATAACACGAGTACAACGAGTCTAACATGCTTCGTAGAGCATCTTATCCCTACTCTATTTAGCAACGCAGAATGTCGCGACGCACCTGCGTACCAACGCCCGTAGCATGATCCAACATGAAAGAGTTGATGCGTACCACTCGCTGGCTGCAAATACTTTGCCTATACTCGTGACGATATGGACAGTGACGAGTGGCCTTTGCATCACTTTCACCGCCGCGCGACAGCCGCTGTGTTCGTCTAGCCCCACGGCTGCAGCTCTTGATCAAGGAAAAACTTGTATCATTGACAGAACTACGATTGTTGCCGGTCTCGTTGGAGTGTGAGTGATCGCACTGGCCATCTCAAGTGTCCCTGTGCTGACGGTTGACAGAATCGATACCATCATGCTATGCCTCCTACGCCGTCATGTTGCAGACGCGAATCGATGCTTTATATTTGGCGTGGTGCCCGAAGACATGCTACTGCCACTCCACCTATCACAAAAGCGACGAACGCTTCGAGCGAAGCCATCGGAAATGTCTTTCAAATGCCGATCATCGGTCTCCATGGCATCACAAGTGACGGTCACTCCCTGGAAAGGTGGTGACACGATACCATTCAGCGCTGAGCTATGTTTGCCCTCACAAGGACTCGGCATCCACACCAGCAGATCCTCCGCGCCTGCATCACTGCTATATCCCAGGCCCTCCGTCTCCTCGATTCGCTCTCATACGAGCCTCCCACTATATCAACCACCGGCTTCCCCACTACCGCCATTACCCGTATATCTTCCCGATGCAAGAAGAGCAACAACCGCCATGCACAAGGCAATACATCAACCTGCGTCCTTCTCTCGTCCCATACCGATCCGTCCTGCCCGCAGCGACGACACTCTACGCATCCTACCACCTCCCGTGCCTGCGTTCCAGCAAGGAAATTTGGCCGTCCCAGCAAGAAGACCCCAATCAGCGTCCAGTATATACAGCCGCGACACGACTGGAGATTCCGAAATCATTCCTCGGAGAAGCCCTCGACCATCTCTGATTACAAGTTCTCGGACTTCCAGTTCCAGTAGCGTAGCCACTATCAAGCCAAGCCCTCTACACGAGATGATCTTACCCAAGGCCTCCCAAGAAGAAGAAGAAGAAGAAGAAGAAGAAGAGCCTCCTTGCCCATCAAAACCAAGCGATCCCTCAAGCGAAGCTCCTAGTAATATTCAGCAACGAAGAAGAAGAGCTCATTCACTCGACAGCAGCAGCAGCAGTGCCCAAATCCCCTCCTTTGAGAAAAATTTCACTTCTTTTCCTCCTGCTGCTGGACATGTCAGAAATTCTTCCTTGCCGAATTATAATGCCAAGCTAGAGGAAAAACTTCGAAGATATGCAGAGAGTCAAAGCCAGATTTTACGACGAGGACAGATGGGTATTGGTGCTGGTGGTGGTGGTTATGACAGTTATCACGGCAGCAAGCCCAGTTTGATGATGCAACAGGCTTCGAGGGGGGAAGAATGTCCGGAGAGATTTCGGTTTGAGTGATGAAAAGTATACCCGCCAAAACAAGGGAAAGGAAGAATGAAAGATTGATATGTATATATAACTAAGGATACGAAAGAAGAGAGAATGGATTTTCCGTCTTCATCTGTAGAATTGACGCTCCGTATGGAATAGCCAAAACTGCGGCCGATTGTCCTACCTTGTAGCAGCAAAATCAATTCTACTACTCGGAGAATTCCTACTACTACTGAATACAAGACGAGGAAAAGAAAAAGCTAGAGTATAATAATAATAATAATAATAATAATAATAATATCTAATAACTTTTCAGCAGCCTTGCAGTAGTTTGGTAGTAGTACAAAGTCATCGGCTATCGGTTTCTGAAGGGCTACCCGTATATAAAGTCTAGTATCTGCCCGTAACCTTATTTGAAGGCGAAAGAAATATAGTAGAACATGTATATACGTACATGTACGTACGTACCTAACTTTTTATCTTTTCCCTTTTTCCCTTTTAACGCTCTCTCCGGTATATAAGGTATATACCTAAACGTACCTATACGTATCCGGTATATACAAAACTCCAACCCCCGAATCCGCCTCTTCCCTAAACTTTCTTTATCAAAATCTATATTTGTACATCTGTTTCTCTCGATCTCAGATCTAGGTACGGTACGGTACGGTACGATACCTTGAAAGCGGATCTGAAGTAAGTGGCGCGATCTGCTCCAAGTGGAAAGTATACTGTAAAGAAAATGCTATTTTTAAAAATAAATACACTTTTTTTTTCCAATGGCGGGGAATTCTTTCTTTTTGGGTATTCTAGAACTTCACCGCCTGCGTTTGCCTCTTTTTTTCTTTGGAAAAGTACCTTGCCTATAGGTACTAGGGGGGAGGGAGGTAGGGACTTGTGAAAAACTTATTGTTGTTGTTGATGAATTTACACTAGGTTGAGGTTTGTGATATTTGTAGTCGGGAGGACGAGATGGAGAGATGGAGAATAGGTTGTAGATGTGCGATCGTACTTGCAAGACATTTCTGCATTCTGCTACTAAGAGAGAGAGGGGGAGAGGGGTTGGTAGTACTTCCTAGTAGTAGTAGCAACGAGACAACCGCCCACGCATTCCGTGTTGCATTGGACACATCATCATCATCATCATTCACTTTTGCCACTCTGCAGTTACATACATACATTACACTTCCACGCTGGTCTTAAAAACAAGAGAAAATAGAAAAAAAGGAATACGAGAAGTTAACGAAAAAAGGGCTGAGAAAATCCTTACCAAATATGTCGAGACCATGTGCTATTTGCACACACAAAGGAGGAACAAACTGCAAGCGCTACCTCCTCCTATGTCATGGATGTACAATGTTAGGGTTGTATACATACCAACATAGGAACATTGGTAAGGTAACCAAATACAGGTAGGTAAGGTATACAGGTACAATGTTTAACTATACTGGCGTCTAAAAATGGAAAATCACAAAAAGGAAAAATAAGAATTCTGTGTGTTGAACTCTATCTATTCTATTGCATGATGGCTTCATCGGTCGGGGGTACACTTTTGGATCTGGAAGAGACTAGTTTTCTCGTATTCGAATGCATTCTTCTCTATTGCTGGAAATGGCATGGCGTGGAGAAATAACAACAAAAACCAGAAATGGAGGAGGAGGAGGAGGATGTATGTATATAAAGAGTGATCGAATGGCCTCTCTCTCTGCTGTCCTTCATCATCATCAGCATCTTCCAATACCAACAACAACAAGAGCAATACAATCACTCCGACCACACTTCTCTACCCACTCCAACAAACCGACATCATCATGCAATTCACCACCACCGTCCTCGCCTTCCTGGCCGCCGCCAGCACTTCTCTGGCAACCCCCGTCCCCGAGCCAGCAGTCGGCGTCAGCATGATGGCCGCCGCCGGCACCACCTGGACGATCCAGAACTTCAAGCGCACCTGCACTTCCGACGCCAAGTCCTGCAATTACAGCTTTGGCATCAACACCAATGATGGATCCGCTGCCACCAAGTGCTCTTACCAGGTCACTGGCAACCCGGCTGCTCGTGCTTCGTACAACTCGGTGGCGTGCGGAAACTTCCGTATTGGAAGCACCTGGTCCAACCAGTTTGGTGCGGGACAGGAGTTTCAGACGTTGAGTGTTGTGAGGAATGGACAGTGAGTATCTTCTGTTATGAAGTGTTGCTTGCTTACGTTCTTTTGGCTGACCTGGGATGTGTTTTCTTCTTGATAGGATCATCTACCCTGCTTACAAGGACAGCCAGATTGTCAATGGCAAGACTGTGAAGCCAGACCAGAGCTACACTCCTCAGAGACTCCCATAGATTCGTTCTTCCCACGAATCATGAATGTAGCCTTGTTTGGGGACAGGGGAGATGCAGAGACCAGTAACGATGACAGGAATTATGATCGATGACAGCATTGGGGATGGCGCGGAAAACGATGGGGTAGTTAAAATATGTAGTCAGTATTCTTACCTATGATTCCTGCCATATTCATTCCGCGTTTTGTTGCTCGTGAACAGCGCAATGCCCGCAGGTCTTCAACACTCCGGCACAGGTGTCTTGATCTTCCCGAGGCGATGCAAAGTCTGTGGTGCTTCATCGTCGCTGTAAATGCATACCTTCGTGATGACTGATGTAAGTGGTGGTCGTTAGCAGCAGATGGAACGTTATTGATCCTTCATATCCCGAAGCCTCGCCTAAGAAGAGCCGAAGATCTTGACCCTATCCTCCATGGGAAGATAACTCCGCTCCCTCTTCCTCACCAGTCCATTCACGGGCTTCCCAAAAACCAACTGTGACTTCAACCTCCACGTCCCCGGTAGTCCCCACTGCCTTTTCACCTCTTCTTCAAACTCCCCGATAAAATTGAAATGTTGCAAATTACACCCCAACCCCTCTAATTCCAAAGCCGTCCACGCAATGAACTGATGCATCCCCGAAGACGTATCCCCCCACCCCGGCACCAAGTCGCCAAAGAGGGGATTTTTCGCTGCGAGACCGTCTAACGCGTCCTGATCTTCAAACCACAAGACGGTACCATATGCAGAGCTGAATCCCGAGATCATTTTCCCCAGCATTTTGTTATACATCTCGGGTTGAGCGGATTGAGAGATGCGGTCGGCAATGTTCCAGAGCGTGTCATGCTCGGCTTTGAGGAGGATTACAGCTCGTGCGCTTTGCACGTTGAAGGATGAGGGAGCGTGTTTGACGGCCGTGGAGACGATTTCTCGGATGCGCGAGTCCGGGATCGGGGACTCTTTGGAGAGTTCGTAGCAGGAGATGCGAGTCTCGACTGCGGCGAAGAATGCTGGAGTTGAGGCTGCTGCCATGTTATGAGTGCGGTCGTGGTGAGGAGAGGAGGAGGAGGTAGGGTCTTTTTCTTCTTCTTCTTCTTCTTCTTCGGGAGTATTGTCAGCTTTCCACTGCGCGTACTGCAGGCATGAATAGATGTGGCGCCGGTTCTCGCGGTTGCTCTTGTTACTAGCAATACCTAGTCCATAACAGGCAGTGTTGGCATATGATACGTGTGACTTTGGTGTCAGAGTCGTAGTTTATGAATTGATGGTTGATGGGCTCTCGGCATGGCTACGGCGGCTGGTCGGCTGAACAGTCTGGTCCGAGTAGCGACAGAGCTCTGAACCTAGCAAGAGGCCAAATCTTAGTTTTCGGAAACTTGGGTTTCGGAAACTTCGATCTTCAATCTTACGCTATAGTCTACGCATTTCTATACGTATTTACGTATATATTTCTATACGTATTTACGTACTTATTTATATAGGTATTTATATCCGTATTTATATATATATTTACGTCTGTATTTGTATATATATTTATATATATTGAGATGTACCTAGGTACCTAGGTAGGAAGCAAAGATATAGGTACCTTTTATATAGTAAGAGAAGAGAGATACCTCCTATATAGAAAGGGAAGAGAGAATATCTTATATATAGAAAGAGAAAAGGGATACCTTATATATAGGAGTAGGCCTCTTCTCTCTAGGCCTCTTCTCCCTAGGCCTCTTCTCTCTAGGCCTCTTCTCTCTAGGCCTCTTCTCCCTATACCTCTTCTCTCTAGGCCTCTTCTTCTTAGGCCTCTTCTTCCTAGGCCTCTTCTCTTTAGGCCTCTTCTCTCTAGGCCTCTTCTTTCTAGGCCTCTTCTCTCTAGGCCTCTTCTCTCTAGGCCTCTTCTCTCTAGGCCTCTTCTTCCTAGGCCTCTTCTCTTTAGGCTTCTTCTTCCTAGGCCTCTTCTCTTTAGGCCTCTTCTTTCTAGGCCTCTTCTCTCTAGGCCTCTTCTCTCTAGGCCTCTTCTCTCTAGGCCTCTTCTCTCTAGGCCTCTTCTCTCTAGGCCTCTTCTCTCTAGGCCTCTTTTTCCTAAGTCTTTTCTCTCTATCGTTTCTTTCTAAGTATCTTCTCTCTAGGCCTCTTCTCCCTAGGCCTTTTCTCTCTAGGCCTCTTCTTCCTAGGCCTCTTCTTTCTAGGTCTCTTCTCTCTAGGCCTCTTCTTTCTAGGTCTCTTCTTCTTAGGTCTCTTCTTTCTAGGCCTCTTTTTTCTAGGCTTAGCCTCTTTCTAGGCCTCTTTTTCCTAGCTTCTTCTCTTTAGGCCTCTTCTTCCTAAGCCTCTTCCTTCTAGGCCTCTTCCTTCTAGGCCTTCTCTTCTTCCTAGGTCTCTTCTTTCTAGGTCTTTTCTTTCTAGGCCTCTTCTCCCTAGGCCTCTTCTTCCTATCTTTTCTTCCTAGGTCTTTTCTCTCTAGGTCTCTTCTTTCTAGGCCTCTTCTCCCTAGGCCTCTTCTTCCTATCTTTTCTTCCTAGATCTTAATATAGAGTAGAAGGAGAAGGAGAAGGAGAAGGAGAAGGAGAAGGAGAAGAAGAAAGGGAAGGAGAAGGAGAAGGAAAAGGAGAAGGAGAAGGAGTAAAAGAAGGAGAAGGAGAAGAAGAAAGAGAAAGAAGAAGAAGAGGCCTAGAAAGAAGAGACCTAGAAAGAAAAGGCCTAGGAAGAAGAGACCTAGGAAGAAGAGACCTAGGAAGAAGAGACCTAAAAAGGAAGAGGTATAGGGAGAAGAGGCCTAGAAAAAAGAGGCCTAGCCTAAAAAAAGAGGCCTAAAAAGAAGAGACCTAAGAAGAAGAGACCTAGGAAGAAGAGGCCTAGGAAGAAGAGACCTAGGAAGGAGAGGCCTAGGGAGAAAAGGCTAGGCCTAGAAAAAAGAGGCCTAAAAAGAAGAGACCTAAGAAGAAGAGACCTAGGAAGAAGAGACCTAGGAAGAAGAGACCTAGAAAGGAGAGACCTAAGAAGAAGAGGCTTAGAGAAAAGAAGTCTAGGAAGAAGAGACCTAGGAAGAAGAGGCCTAGAATAAAGAGGCCTAGAGAGAAGAGACCTAAGGAGAAGAGGCCTAGCCTAGAAAAAAGAGGCCTAGAAAGAAGAGGCCTAGGAAGAAGAGGCCTAAGAAGAAGAGGCCTAAGAAGAAGAGACTTAGAAAGAAGAGGCCTAGAAAGAAGAGGCCTAGGAAGAAGAGATCTTTTCTTTCTAGACCTTTTCTTCTTCTTCTTTCTAGGCTTCTACTCTTCCTCTTTTTTCTTCTCTTTTTCCTTCTTCTTCTTCTTCTCCTTCTCTTTCTTCTTCTCTTTCTTCTTCTCTTTCTTCTTCTCCTTCTTCTTCTCCTTCTTTTCCTTCTCCTTCTCTTTCTAGAATATAGAGTAGAACGAGAAGGAGAATAAGAAGAAGAATAAGGAGAAAAGAGAGTAGAAGAAAGAAAAAGGGAAAGAGAGAAAGGAAGAAAGAGAGAGAATACCTATATACGTATATCTAGACGTATATCTAGAGAGAAATTTAGAGAATAGATATATACTAGTAAGTTTCAAAATCGAAGTTCTTAGAAGGAAGTTTCCGAAACCAAGATTTGGCCTCTTGCTAGGTTCAGAGCTCCCTAGTAGCGACATCGCCGACGTGTTTGCGGGGTATCGACTTGAACCCTCTTCAAGCAATGGTATTCCGTACAACATATCAAAGAACTGACCCCACGCTGTTCATATCTTCGCGCGAGTGTCGGCCGCCTTCATCATTCTAGACCCATACTCGTCCGCAGAGATGATATCAAAGAACATAACTCGGGTATGCACTGTGGGGCGAGGAGAAACCACTGAAGCACTGCACAGACATACAGTTGTCACTTGGCATCCTACCCGACGGCCCTCTCCAAAGCATCTCGAGCTTGCGTTAATTAAAAGATCTACCACATGCTCGTTTTATACAGTATCATCACCAACTGACTGGCGAGAGATAGGTAGACCGTAGACCTAGGTTCCGACTCTTGACCAGCTAGGCAGGTGTTCTATACCTACCTTAGTCAAAGGGTCTGGAACCGAGGTCAGGTAGGTACAGGATACACCAAGTCCGACCACCTGAGAACAACTCATAACTTCAGGAACACAGGTCATCCTACCTCTCCTTATCTCTCCCAATAACAACAAGTCTGCTCCGGAAACCCGACGAAAGTAGGAAAAAATGCGCTGGCCTTTGCTGATCTTACTTTGCCCTCATGGGGCAGGTAAATCAAAAAAAGTTTCTACCCGAGTACATGTACTTGTCCTGATACTGCTGCTGCAAAATAGAGAAATAGGTGCAGTTGTAGCGCCGCCGTTCTTGCAGGTGTTTGCATGTGTAAAACGAAGACCACAACCACAATCAGGGTACATCCTACCTTACGTATACTTTACGCAAGACGACCGCTCTCACGTGGCAAATTGAACACGCTGGAGATATCGGATCTGCACGCACGCACGTATGTATGCAATGCGCGATAAACTCTCGCGATATACTGCTCTCGCTGTACTCATGAGAGCGTAGTTGCAGTGCACTTCATTCTGGACGCACGCATAATCGCTTTGCCCAGATCGCTTGCAGAACAGCTGCAAAGGCAAAAGGCAAAGATGGTGACGGCATATCAGCACAATCATCATGTCTCGCAGTTTCCTCATCAGGGCGGATGCGACAAAGCCAGGGCGATGGAGGAATAACACTTTCTTCGAAGAGAGAAACAAACTAAAGCTGTGTCACCACCTCAGACGATGTGCAGCTTTCCACACACGGATTTGGAAGGTGCACACGCATGAAATACATTACATGTACTTGTGAGACAGCTGCAGAAAGAAGAAGAGGAAGAGGAAGAGGTATTCGTTGTCCTGTTGTTGGATATTGCGCTTGTTGGCATACTGACAATCGATAGGTAAAACGCTGTCGTGTCGGCGGTCGTCATCATCACATCGCTACCGCAGAGTCAGACCCTCTCCATCTCGCCTCCACTGTATCTTTTTGTGGCGGTGGTGCCAGCGTAGCGTACAAGGCGGCTAAACGCAAACTCCCAACCACTCACTGAGAAGTGTGAAAGTGGTCCCGACGTCGATTCAAGTTCGTCCCCCAGTCCCCACCATCATAATTATATTATCCTTTCGGTCTGCTAGCACGCGCCGTCCGGCAATGGACGGTTCAGAGCGGTGAAGCATGACAAGCTGAACTGGGGGGATCCTTCTGGAACTGTTGCATGTCGTAACCATTGCGGGCCGAGTGGTCTCTGCTCGGGCCAGCGCCACCTTAGCAACTTCTGACATGCCGATGTAGGCCATAATGTCTCGCTTCAATTCCGGTCACTTTGGAGGTTTACTTTGCTCTCTCGCTCTTGAGCTTGAGAGGGTGAGTGATTAAGGTATGTTCTGTGCCTCGAGAATTTGATCGCCGAAAAGACCGAGCACGAGCTACGTGCGTCACGAGAAAACGAAACAACCACAGGATCTTCAGTTCCACTATCTCGCGAAGGGCTCTCATTGCGACCAATGCACAACAATACTTGTGGGTGCATCGCAGTCCCTGCACGAGGAAAAGATCGTTGTGGATGCCGTGTGTGCCGTGTTTTCCAGATCCATTGGGTGATGCAGCCGCATGCCGCAGACCTTCATGGATATAGGTTCTTCTCCGGACTTTGCTAATCAAGGTCCCCCACGGGTCAACAAAGTGGATACTGGATACAGCGGACATGGTGGATACATTAAGGGTATCGTTGAGAAGAGTCGTAACAGAAGTGCGTAACAGAAGCTCGGGAAGCAGAGGTCCACACTGCCTACCTTACCTACCTACCTCTACCTTACCTAGTACGTTGCGTTAGTTCTCATGCAATTTGGATGCCGGGGCATCCTGTGACCTCTTTTCAAGGCAATCGTATAGCTCACATGGAAAAGTGTGGATTTATATGGGTATATATATAAGGTATGTATGTACATGCCAACCTTTGGGGCCAAGCTCTTCAGCAAAAAGTCTTGTTCACTCTTGGCTACTTGTCCAAGTTCCCACGCGACGTTCGACCGACAGCTTTGCCAAGATGTCGCCTCTCCCTCGTGGTGGAAAGCGTCTGGAACTCATCCAGACGTTACTGATCGCACTTCCGTCTTTTGTCCTCTTTGGATACAACCAGTCTGGTCTGGGTGGCTTACTTTCCATCGAGAGCTGGGTCGAGACGTTCCCGGAAATTGACACCATTCACACGAAAGGAGCGCAGAAGTCGACCAACAGCACAGTGCAGGTGAGTTGAGTACTACCTCCTATGTATCTGAAGGCAGGCGGCGGTGGTGTTACCGGTGTGGTGGGAAAAAAACAAAAAAGACCAAGCATTCTGGCTAATTAATCTACCTTGTATTTCCAGGGCACGATCGTGGCAACGTGCACTCTTGGCGCGCTCTTCGGCGCTCTTGCATGCGCGTCTATCGGCGACATTCTCGGACGACGAAAAACCGTCTTGCTCGCCGCGACACTGACCTTCATCGGCGAGGTTCTGGAATGCAGCAGTTTTGGACTCGCACAATTCACTATTGGACGTTTTATTCTCGGCCTGGGTGTGGGTGCTCTGAGCACGACGGTGCCTGTATGGCAATCCGAGTGTTCGCGGGCGAAAAATCGTGGACAACATGTGGTGATTGATGGTCTGTTCATCACGGTCGGATTTGTTCTGCAGGCGTGGATTGAACTGGGCTTCTTTGAGATCAAGACGGGGAGCTTATCATGGCGAATGCCTTTGGTGATTCCGGCAATTATCAGTTTGGTCTTGATGGCTTCGGTATACCTGGTTCCCGAATCGCCACGCTGGCTCGCCAAAATCGGCAAGATGGATCAGGCTCGAAGCACGCTTTCCCAACTGCGAGACATGCCTATCGGCAGCTTCGAAATCGCTCATGAAATGGGTAATATTGAGCTTACTCTCGAGGCGACGAAAAGCGCCGCTCGGAAGCGAGACCTCTTCAAGATGGGCGAGGACAAGGTGTTCTACCGCTTCATGCTCTGCCTGCTCATCCAGTTTTTCCAACAGTGGTGTGGGTCAAATCTGATTTCTAGCTATAGCACCACAATCTTCCAACAAGGCCTCGGTATGGATGCAGAGATGGCTCGGATCCTTTCCGGGGCATGTCTGACCTGGAAGTTTCTGAGCTCATTCGTCGCCTTCTTCACCATCGATCGCTTTGGACGCCGCAAGCTCTTCATGTTTAGCGGATTCGGCATGTCCATGTGCATGACAGCACTCGCCATCACCGACAGTTTCCCAGCTTCGAACAAGTCCGCTCAGGTTGGATCTGTATTTTTTGTGTTTTTGTTCAATTTCTTCGTAAGTAGCAGCAGCAGCCTTTGACCGCGATATATATATATATCTGACTTGAGCTGCTGCTGACACCGTACCTCCTCCCAGGTTCCCATCGGCTTTTTGGGGTGCAACTACCTCTATGTCACCGAAGTGGCGCCCACGCGCCTCCGAATGCCAATGACATCCTTCTCGACGGCAAACCACTGGTAAGTCACTCACCTTTTACATCCATCTCTATTCCAAAAAATCACAGCAGAGAGAAAGAAAAAAGAATATGCAGCTAAGAAACTTTCTCTCCCACGCCCCCACCAGGCTCTGGAACTTCGCCGTCCTCATGATCACCCCCGTGGCAATCGAAAGCATCGGCTACAAATACTACATTCTCTACGCCATTCTCGGAGCATGTATTCCCATGCTCGTATATTTCATGTATCCCGAGACTATGGGCCGCAGTCTCGAACAAATGAATGCGTTGTTCAAAGAGCATGATTCGATTCAAGCGATTGTGAAGGCTTCGTTGAAGCAACCGGATCCTGAAATTGAGAGGTTGGCCGAGGCTGCTGCGAGGAAGGAGTTTGATGATGATTATTCTCATCATCAGAAGAATGAGAATGTGGAGTATGAGAGTTCGAGTTTGGAGATGGAGAAAGGGGTTTGAGAGGGAGGGAGAGGAAGGGAGAGGTTTTGGTTATGAGAGAGAGATATAGAGACATAGATATGAATGATGATGATGATTGATGATAAGGCTTCTTTTTCCTTTGCCTACCTGTAGATGTGATCACACGAATGAGCTGAAATAAAACACGTGTAGATGACAAGAGATGGTATACACGTATTTCCTTTTTCCCCCAACAGGTAGGTAGGTAGGTAGGTAGGTAAGATAGCTCCTGGGTCAGTCTTCTATCACCATACAGTAACAGATAATGAGAAGAGAATGCAACATGTGTATATTCAATATCGATTGTGAACATGAGTCATCATTATTTTCATTCAGGGAAGGAGGCTAGCTGAGCCTTGGAGCATCTCATAAAAATACAAGTTTGTGAAAGTAAGAGGCAAGGTAAAATTACCAATACCTTTACTTCTCACTCGGCAAATCTCCCGAGACTTTGTGCTCAGTCTTCTTCTCCCCATCCAAGCGATGTGAGAACTCTCCAACAGAGATAGGCTCCTTGGTCGTCACGCCGTGGTTCTGCGATTGGTCTTGAATGACTTCCTTGACGGGAATGGTCTTGTGTGTTACAGATGGCTTGACGATTTCTGGAAGGGGGTAAATGTGCGTTAGCTTTCACGTAATAATGTTTTTTTTGGTGCAGGGACGTCGTCGATTGACAATGATGATGATTGATTGCTTACCCTTTTCAATGACAGGTTGAATAGTCTCATGCAGGTGGTGGTGGACCTGCTCGCCGACAACGTCACCCTCCTTGGTGGTCTTCTCGTGTGTCATGCCCTCAGTGGTCGAGTCCTTGTATTGATTGCGGTCGGAAGCAGCCTGTGCCTTCACATCGTCTCTCTTGGCATCGTTGTCCACTTTGCGGTATTCTGTGGGGGCTTGCTCGTGGTCGTGCTTTGTGTCTTGCACCTCGCGGTCTTTCAGAGGCTGCACAGTGGTGTGGTAGTGGTCTTGATGCCTTTCCTTGTCGATGACCTTTTGTTCCTTGGTCTCGTGCTTCTTGGTGATGGTGTCGTGCTCGACGGCGGGGGCCACGTCCTGCTCGACTGTGGTGTCCTTGTCGCCGGCCGAGTTGAGGAACTTTCCGACGGCGCTTGCTGCTGCGTCCATGATGAGTGGTAGTGTATGGGGGAGATCTGATGGACGGGAGTGGGAGGCTTGTTGAGATTCAATGTTCAGTAGAACTGTGTAGATATTCGATGATGGTGGGGGAATGGAAGCATTGTTGCTGCGGGCAGCAGTCGCGCCTACCTATATGCAACGGTCGACGACCATGACGATGATGGTAGTTCGCGTCATCAGAGGGTGATGTCGCAGTGCTGTGCCCTGGTGATGAAAGAGGGGAGTGGGTGAGTGGGTGAGTGGGTGCCCACATAATCGATACCTCATACCTCATTACCTCCTAGAAGGTACAGGTTACAGGTAAGGTACCTTAGTGGTGGTAGCTTAGTGGTGGTGGTACCAATGGTACCAAGTCACTTTACGCCACAGCACGCTCCAGTCGTTCTGGACTCTCCTGTTGTCCTAGGAGGTAGTACTAGAAGGTATTGTGGCGAGGCGCAGAAGGAGGTGGATCATCGACAGAATCATGCTGCGTCATTGCAGAAATACACCTCCATCTGTGGCTGAGGTGATCATTGATGGCCGTAGGAGATACCTTACCCTCTACTAGGTATGCACAGCGACATAATGTCCCGTTTTTGCTGCTGCTGTGCACAACTCAACATGCACTACTGTCTGCATCATACATCCACTTACAGGTGGAGGTCTTCCCATCAAGGAACCGTTGCCCCAAATCAAGTTTTTCCAATATGCGCCAAGCATCATAATCCCTTTGATCGGAACTTACCCAGCAACCAGTACTGTAATCCGCCGTTGCATTCCAGCCCAGCGCTTCACCGTTGAAGTCAGGTTGAAGAGGGATTTCGGGTCTTGGCACTAACCCACGCAAATCTCAGCCTGAGGCAACAATATCAAGATTACCACCACTCCCCTCCCTGCCCATTCCAACAACATCCATCCTGAACCTACGGAGGTACCTCCTAGATGGTATATCGTTCTATCAACAGACATCGACATTGTCTACATAGACCTTGTCGAACATCGTGACATTCATCATGATGCGCCATGTATGGCGTTACATCAGCTGCGGGAATGCCCCGGAGTGCGTTCTTTCAGCGGCTATGTACACCTGCCAGCTGGTGCCCTTCAAGATCTAGGCCAAAAGTCCGACTATCCTATCAACACCTTCTTTTGGTTCTTCGAGTCGAGAAAGGACCCTAGCAATGCGCCACTGTCAATATGGCTCAACGGAGGACCAGGTTCGAGCTCAATGCTCGGACTACTAGCGGAGAACGGGCCATGCTTCATCAACCCGGACTCGAACAGCACCACTTTGAACGAGTGGTCGTGGAACAATGAAGTCAATATGTTATATCTGGATCAACCGGCACAAGCTGGCTTCTCCTACGACACTCTAACGAACATATCCCACAATTTGGTGACCGACAGAGTATTCTTGCTCAACGATACCGATCCTATCCCGCCCCAGAATGCTACTTTCCTCGTCGGGACCTATGCCTCCCAAGACTCGAATCGGACGTCGCTCGGATCCGTTAATGCGGCGCAGGCACTCTGGCACTTCGCCCAAGAGTGGTTTCAAGAGTTCCCAGAGCATCGACCTCACGATGGCCGAATCTCTCTTGCTACCGAGAGTTACGGAGGAAGGTACGGCCCTGCAATCTTTGCATTCTTCCAGGAGATGAATGAGCGAATCGAGAAGGGTGACTTCAACGTGGAGGGCGAACAGCACATCCGTCACCTTGATACCCTCATGCTGATCAGTGCCTGTCTTGACCAACTGGTGCAAGGGCCTTCCTACCCACATATTGCTTATAACAATACATACGGAATTGAAACTGTGAACCAAACCATATACGAGGGAATGTTAGATTCCTTGTACAAGGAGGGTGGCTGCATCGACCAGATCTACCAATGCCGCAATTTATCTCTGACCTACGACCCTGAAAATCTGGGACACAATACCACAGTGAACGACATCTGTGCAAAATCAGACAGCTATTGCTCCAAGAATGTTCGCTCGCCTTACAATCTCTACGCTGGTCGTAACTATTACGACTTTGCTACACTCGACCCAGACCCATTCGTCCCGAAATTCTATTACGGCTTCCTCAATCAGCCACACGTCCAACAAGCTCTGGGTGTACCTCTGAACTTTTCTCACTCATCTGCAGCTGTGAGTTTTGCTTTCCGATCAATCGGCGACTACAACAAACCCGGCTGGCTGGAAGACCTTGCGTATCTGCTGGAGAATGGCATCAAAGTGACCATGGCCTATGGCGATCGAGACTACGCCTGCAATTGGCTCGGTGGAGAAGCGGTTTCCTTGGCCATCAACTATACCAACACGAGCAACTTCCATGCCGCAGGATACACCGCCATCGAGACCAACAGCAGCTATTGCGGGGGACAAGTGCGACAATACGGCAACCTCAGCTTCAGTCGTGTGTACCAGGCCGGACATGAGATCCCCAGCTACCAACCCGAGACGAGTTACAAAATCTTCATGCGCGCACTGCACAACGTGGACATTGCCACCGGTACCGTTCCTGTGACCTCGGAGGATGGCTCGATATACAGCTCGGTGGGCATCCCGGATACCTGGGCCATTAAGAACGATCCGCCACAGCAGCCTCTCCCATTCTGTTACGTTCTCAATCCACGTATGTGCAGCAAGGCACAAATCGACTCCATCTACAACGGGAGCGCGGTCATCAGGAACTATTTGATCGTGGATAACTACACCACAGCACTGTTTCCAGATGTGGTGGGTAATGGTGGTATCAATTGAGACTACGGAGGAGGAAGAGGAGGCTGCAGGACTTTAATCGTGCTACCTATCACAGCCAAGCCAAATCTCCCATCCCATCCCATCCCATTCCATTCCAAGTTTTGACACAACAAAGAAAAAGACTTCCATATTTCCCACTCATCCAGTGTGCTCCTGCCTATCTTGATTGAAAAGGCACTCACTTCCTACTAATGCGTGCGCCTGTCGGCTGGTCGGGCTAATCAGACGACCACCCGTTTCCAAGGGTGTTCTCACCTCACCTATCCCTTCCTAACAAACCAAGTGACATCGGAAACTCGGTATGGCGTGCTGGTTGCGTGATGCAGATCAATATCAAGATAAAAAAAAATACAGTAGTAAGATAGGTACGTGTTGTGTTTCATCATGGGAATTCGGAGGTGGCCAGTAGCAACAGTACCTCATGTATTACAGTGACGGTGTGACGAGTTTTTGTTAATTGAGAGACTTTGCCCTGCTTGAGGTATAAGGTAGGTACAGGTTTCTGGGACTACCTCTTTCTCTCTGCTTTCTCTCTTCTTCTTCTTGTTCTCTCTACTCGCTCATCAACACAAGACACGCACGAACTTTCATGAGATTTGGGGACTGTTCCTTTTCACATTCCAAGTCGCGCCGCCAGCTAGCCCGCCAACCACAGAAACGAACGGAACAAAACGATCATGATGATCAACAAGGCTTCTTCTTCGTCTTCTCCACGAAGCACTCGTCTGGGCACATTCCGAGCCTACTACTTCGGATTTTTCGTGTGTACGGCAGGATTCTTATTTGGTTATGATACGGGCATAGTCGGTATGTTTTGTCGGAAACAGGGCAGGCGTTTCTGATGGAAAGCCAAGGTTATATTTACCTTCACCCGCCTTTTCTTGCTAATTTTCAAAACAAAATCATATAGGTGGGGTGCTCACCATGAAGGCCTATCAGCGAGATTTTGGATATACGGATCATACGACTGTATCGGCAGTGATGGTTTCGCTGCAGAATGTGGGAGCATTTCTTGCTGCAGTGGCGATTTTTCCTCTTTCGGAACGATATGGGAGAAAGTCGACGATACAGATTGCTTGTCTTGTCTTCATTGCTGGGGTGATTCTTCAAGTCGTTCCGTCGCATTCTTTGGTGTGTTTTTACATGGGTCGATTCGTGTCCGGTTTGGGACTGGGCGCTGCAACGGCTGTTGTGCCGAGTTATAATGCAGAACAAGCACCCAAAGAGATCCGTGGGAAACTTGGATCGGGCATGCAGTTGCTCTTCGCTGCGGGTGTGCTTGTCTCGTACTGGATCGATTATGCGACTGTACACGACATGGAGGTATCTTCTGCCCAGTGGCAAATACCAGTCGGTCTCCAGATGGTTCCAGCAGCGTTCTTGGCGATTGGTCTCTTCTGGCAAAAAGAGTCGATCCGATGGCTTGCGAAAAAGGGCAGAACTGAAGAGGCATGGGAAGCTCTGGCATGGATGCGTGCAGACAGTGGCGAACACGTGAAGGCGGAATTCCACGAGATCCAGACTGGTATCGCGGAGGAAGTCCGTGCTAGTGAAGGCTTCAAGAAGCGGGAGCTACTCGAGCCTGCGAACCGGTATCGACTAGGGCTCGCTGTTGGTGTGTTTCTCGGACAGCAGTGCACTGGCATGACAGCACTTGCGTACTTTGGTCCGCAGTTCTTCCAGCTTTTGGTTGGTGCGGGAGAAAAGAATCTCCTCATTACGGGACTTTATGGAGCGGAGAAGTTCATTATGGTGGCTACCTATATCTTCTGCTTTAGCGAGTCGTGGGGACGCAAGCCTACCTTATGGATATCAGCTCTGGTCATGTCTGTACTCTTCGTCGTCGTCACGGTCGTGAACAATACGACTTCTGCTCCCGTCAACAACCAGACAACGGGCGCTGGTATCGCGACCGTGGCTCTGATTTTTCTCACAAACTCGGTCTATCAATTCTCATGGGGTCCGGTACCGTGGCCTTACACTGCTGAGGTACGCATATCACATGGCAATTCTAATCTGCTCGAGCGCTACTAACACTTTCTCCCAGATTTTCCCATCTCGTATCCGGGAGTTGGGCACTTCCACTGGTGTTGCCACGCAATGGCTGTTTAACTTCGTCTTCAGTTTAGCAACGCCCTACATGATTGCATCATGGGGATCGTACACGTTCTTGTTCTACGCTTGCCTCGATATCATCATGTCGATATGCGTATATTTGTTCTTCAAGGAAACCAAAGGCCGCACCCTGGAGGAAATGGAACACGTGTTTCGATCTCAGGCAACTTCCGATAATGAGGCGATGCGGAGGAAGGTGGTGGATGATATAAGCGAGGATAGAGTCAGAATCACAGATGTTATTCCAGGTTACATGGGGAAGGATGATAATGCGAAATAGAAATGTCTTGACTCTTGGGACTCTTGTTGACTTCTGGAGGCGGTATAGAATAAATTCTACGCTATACTCCTTTTGCATCTCTCTCTGCCGCGCTCCCGCTTCCCGAGTCCCGAGCTCCATCCATCCTCCGATCCATCCTTGGCATAAGTTAGCAGCAGCAGTATGGCTTTGCAAATAATGGCCTTCATGACCAGCAAACATCGCTTGTTCGCAGCACACTCTTCGCCAACCACATCTAATCATAGTACTCAGTGCGCTGCGTTTCATCATGTAAGTTTGGCAACACATGGACGCTGACTGCAGCATCTTTGGCTGACTACTGTTCTGGCATAGATTATTCTACTCATGAGGCCTAAGGGCTTCAATTGTAGTTGGCAAGACATGACTACTGTAGTAGTATGCCAGCCTGGCCAAGTATTACCCCTCGTCGTCGCCGTCTGTGTCGTTCATCTCTGCGCTGAATGCTGCATAGTCGTGCCGACACTCAACACTGCTCTCCCATCTCTCTCTGTCCTGGGCTCTGAGATCAACCCCCCCTCCCATCCCATCCTATATGATGAGCTGCCCTTCTACACTTCACCAGCTCCTCGTCACGAAAAGCACGACATTTCACTTGCTAAACACTGATCTATAGCATCTCCAGGCTGCCACTTCATACCAAGCAATCCACAAACGCTCCCTTCTCGACATTGACGCTTGGACCAATTAGAATCTTGTGGGAATAGCCTTGCCGAAAGCGATGCCTCCCGCAAAACGCGACTCACAGGGAATCCTCATCCACACAACATCCACAACAATCCAATTTGCGACCATTCCATCCACAACGCAACTATCAGCAGCTCCCCTCGACGCGCGCAAAAACTCCAGCAACCATCCTATCGCACGACACTCCACATCCACGCAATGGCAGGCGGAAAGGGTACGGACAAATCGCGACGGCTCGAGTCACGCGCCTATCTAACTACTGTACAGGCAAGACTGGTGGTAAGACTGGTGGAAAAGCGGGCGCCGACAACAGTGGAAAATCGCAGAAGTCGCACTCGGCGAAGGCGGGTCTTCAGGTGTGTATCATCGCGCTCTCGCGACAGACAACGAGGTGGCAGCGGCCTTGGACCGGATGGGCGCGTCGCAAAGCACATTCCTGCGCACAGCAGTCATACTCCCCGACTGCTGCGCTGCAGTTTGCAAACGCGACGACCTGTGCTGCGCACATGAGCGAACACTGGTTATCCGGTCCATGCCGACGCGTCGTATCAGACTCGAGCTGACACATTTACCCCACCTAGTTCCCATGCGGTCGTGTCAAGCGTTTCTTGAAATCGCAAACCCAGAATAAGATGCGCGTGGGTGCCAAAGCTGCCGTATACGTGACCGCCGTTCTCGAATATCTCACCGCCGAAGTACTCGAACTTGCTGGAAACGCCGCGAAGGACCTCAAGGTCAAACGTATCACGCCGCGTCATCTCCAACTTGCTATTCGAGGCGACGAAGAACTCGATACCCTGATCCGAGCCACCATCGCGTTCGGAGGTGTCTTGCCACACATCAACCGCGCACTGCTGCTCAAGGTTGAACAGAAGAAGAACAAGAAGGCGGATGCGTAGTAGGCTTATCTTTTGGAAACATTGATGAGGACGAGGATACCCCAGTGGCAGGTTCAGAGATTATGGTTGGAGTTCTGGAGCAGATGGCGTCAGGAAATATCAGGCGCTACGAAGCGCTCATGACTGTAGCAGTAAACTGGGCACCGAACGCATGCTAAAATTGCTTTTCCTTTAGGCCTTTTTCCTTTTCTCCCACTTGTGGCAATAATTCGTCGAATTCTGTTGTTCTCTCTATGTGGAAATGTGGCGTAGCCTTCACATTCCTTAGTATACGCGATCCTTTTTTAGCGGGAAGGCTTGTGTTGTGAAATAGCGATCCTCATTTGACAGGATTCCGCACATCCTGCCAGACAGTAAGTACATTGGGTCGATTCTGAGGAAAGTTCGGCACACACCGGATACTGTGCAATTCAAGCAAGCGAACCACACACACCTAGTACTTTGAGCCGGTCGATGAGCAACGTTACATGTACGCCATCGCTAGAGCGAGAGAGAGAGAGAGAGAGAGAGAGAGAGAGAGAAAACAAAGATAATTTCCATGAATCTCGCGCTCCCACTCATCCACATATTCTACTTTTACCACCCACATCGCCGTATCGCCATTTTTCCACTCACGCAGCAGCAGCAAGTTTATTCTCCCAACTCCCCAACCATCTCCACTCCCTAGCCACCGCACCCAATTCCTCCAGAGCACGATTCACTTTCCCCCCTCCTTCTACTCCTTCTCTGTGCAATTTCCGACCCAAAATTTCCACAAAAAACACATAATGCCACGCGCTTTCGGTGCTGGGTCGACTGTTGATACTCGAGAGATTGAGATGGTATTTTTTGAAAACTGCGAGGGAATCTGCTAGTGCACCGGGTTCGCTATGGTTGTTTACAGTAAAAGAGATGAGGGTTTTGTATTTTTGTTCTTCATCTTCTTCTTTTTCGTTGTTGTCGTCGTCTTCTCTGTCATCGAGTGTGTTGTGCAAGGCAGTTGATGCTACGGCGCTACTAGAATTAGGCTCGGAGATAGGCGATTGAGAAGCAGCAGTGGCGAAGACGTCTTGACGATTACGCAAGATGAAGAAACGGGTAGTATTTCCTTCTTTATCTTCGATGCCTTCGGCGAGGATATCGAGATTATTGACATCTCCTGCGATTCTGCTGCTGATGGCTGCACTCGTGCCTGTTTCGTCTTGAGCGACTAGTTCTGCTGCTCGACTGGTGCTGGACACGTCTTGTTGCTCGATGCCTTTGAGATAGGTGTTGAGGAAGAGTTTGCATTGCCCCCACGCCTGCGGGTGGGAGTAGAGTTTTGTGATGTGGGAAATGTCTTGGTTCGGCTTCACTCGGGGCTTGGGTGGGATGGGAGCTGCTTGTGTCGGTGTGCAGGTTCCGGATGCTTCGTCGGGAAACTTTCGGAATGCTCTTTCTCGCTCTGATATTGATGATGATGACGCTGCAAGCTTGCTGTCCGAGCGTGCAGGTTTGGCAAGTAAGCAGTGGTGCACAGGAAGGTAGATTTCGCCTTCGACGAGAATATCTGGATGACGGTTCTGGGCGTCGACGAACAGGTCCAGAGTGAATATCACCGAGCCATTGCTGGAATTCTCAAATGGTACAACTCCATATCGCACTTCTCCGTTTTGTATGGCGCTGAAGACGTCTGCAATGTTGATTCTTGGCTGCAGGTTATACTTGTCTGCGGAGAAGACTGATAGAGCGGCCTAATGTATCGTTTAGTAGTCTCATCTTATGGTGGTGAGTGCATCAGGAAAACCAAAAGAGAGAAAAAAAATTACGTGCCTGGTGAGTGTACGTTGCCCTGGGGCCGAGGAAGGCGACAATTTCTGAAGCTTGATCCGGCATTGTGTCCTGTAACAGTCTTTGATGTCCTCTGACTGCTGCTGTAGCGGACGTGCACTGACCTCCTCGTCCGAGAATGTATTCTTCAAGTTCGTTCAAAAGCACAGGAACCCGCAACTAAACGCGTGAATGAAAGCAGTTAGTCGATCATGACACTGTTTGCCTGCGTGGTCGGCGACAGTCAGGAAGAGCGTGCAGTGGGCAAAACTGGAGAGACTCTGCAGCACGGCTCTGGCTCTGGCTCTGGCTTTAGCTTTGGCTTCGGGGGTGGGACTGTAAAGGTTGTAATGGCGATTGTGAAAATCAATGTGGAAAGGTGAAGTCAAAGTTTTGCGAGAATGAGAAACGGTATATTCTATTGCCAGTCCGACATGACGTGCTACCACATATACCTTTCTTGCAACTGCTATATTGACTCGGCAGTCCGATACCAGAAGTCGCGTGAAGCTGGGACGATACTGTATTGAGCACATTTTGCCCTGGATCAGGGTGGCTATGCGTGTTGTATAGGTACCTTGTTACCGTTTTCTTACGATTTCCAAGATACATGTACCTCCATAGTTCTACGCGTTGCATAACCCCCGCACGTGCCATTCTGCCAAGATGTTTCCCATTGACGTCTTCTTGCAAAATGGAAATAGATACTGGAGACAACAAGTCGCATGTCGAGAAGACATCTCGATATATCCCAAGAATTTTTACTTTTAATAAGCTAACTGTGTATAGACCTCAAACTGTGACTTCGACACATGTATCGTCGAGAAGAATTGTACCTAGAGAAAGATACCACCAACACCAGCCAACTACATGGCCACTCAGCTGACAGGCACATCCTGCGGATCCGCATTGAAAACGCCCTGGGGATCCAATGTTTTCTTGGCTTTGATCAATCTGTCCCAATTGCTCCCGAAAAGGTACTCGGCCGTCTCCTCCACGGTCCAATCCGCATCTCGATAATTGGGGAACCCTTGCGGAACGCCCCCATCATCCTTGTAAGCGTTGATGAAGTCATAAAATCCCTTCCTCAGGTTCGCCTGGTCATCCTTAGTAAAAGGTTTGTCCAGTGTCAGAGCACGCAAGTCCCATCTGACCAGGAGGAGGTTGTTGTCGTGTTTCCAAGCAGATGCATCGGGAGCAACAGTCTTGGTGAACGCTCCGCCCCATAGATCGACAAATCCGGATGCTCTACCTGCGCTAGGCGCAGGTGCGTAAGCAGTATTCTCAAATAGGCTTGTGGCGGTTTCGTTGGTGAGGGGATGGCTGTCGGGGATGACTGTTGAGGTGATGTAGAAGTATCGGCGCTCTGTGTTGGAGCCTTCGATAAGACCGGGAGTGGTGACTGGTCATGTTGTATTAGCTAAACAGATCTGAAGTTTGTGCAAGACTCCGAGCGAGGCAAGGAAGGAGATACTCACAATTCTCCGAAAGCAAGAAGTCAGTGTACGGCTGCTGCTCCAGAAGAGACATCCTTGCTGGTAGATGTTTCAGCATCCCAGCCGTAACAGTATCAAACTCAGATGTGCTTCCATAGAAAAATCCCTTCATGGAAACATTGGTTTTGAGATCCATGCGCACCGAAATGGTGTCCACATTGTCAGCACTTTGCGCCCAAGCCTGCAGACCCGTCAAAGCACCAACATTCTCCTCCATCGTGATATTCTTCACCTCCTCGGAGAAACCAATGGTATACGACACAATAGTATCCGATGGTTTCGCGAAAGTCTCAATCGTAACAGTCAATACAACCCCAAAGCTCGCAGCGGCTCCTCTGACCGCCCACAGAAGCTCAGAGTTCTCCGTAGCAGAAGCATCCACAATCTTCCCATCCGCAAGCGCAACTCGCACTGAAACTATGTCATCCAGGACAGTCCCGTGCAGTCTCGAAAGCGTTCCGAATCCTCCACCAAATGCTACACCCGTCATTCCCACATCTGGGCAGCGGCCATGCATGAGAGCGCGGGAGTGCTTTTCCCACAAGAATTTCGCAGCCTCGGAGATCGTCACCGGTCCTCCATATGTCAAGGTTTGGGCTTTATCGTCGTATTTGAGCACTTTCATGTTACTCAGGTTGACGACGAGAGCTCCATCAGTTCGACCAAATGCCATGCTCTGGAAGGATCTGTTGCCGCCAATTGTGGTGACTTTGACTCCACTTTCTCCAGCGCACTTGATAGCAGAGGAGACTTGATCTTCATTTTGGGGAAAGACAACGACAGATGGGACGGGGGCGACGCGGGCATTCCAGGCTTCAGAGTCGAGGGACCAACTGGAATTGGAAGGTAAAGAGAATGGTACGTCTGCCGATTGGAGGCATTGTTGTACAGAGGAGTCGTTGCCTTGTCGCTTTTGGTATTCGACAAGATTTGCAGATGCCAGAATACCAAAGAAGAGGAGCCGCAGGAGGAGGGGAATGCTGGAGGCCATCGCAGAGAGAGTGGGCTAAAGGGTATGATGAGTAGGAGTACATACTGTACAGCTACACCTTATATATGCGATCGGTTCCTGGTGACTGAATCGGACCCTAGTTCCGAGACAGAGATCCCGGGTCAGCATGGCAGCCATAACTTACGACGATATCCTGGCGACCTGGCCTGCGATTGCCCAGGGGCCAGGATATCCCAGCATACAGCAGTGTATACCGGTTGATATTATGCTTGGCTGTTCTAGTCTAAAACTAACCTGGAAGGTAGTCAGCAAGGGCAGATGTTCGGCCACTGGTTAGTTGAAACCTCAGGTGGTCCGGTGCATGCCTGAACCTTCGCGGGCTCGACGGCATCCGCCTTAGCGAGGTCATGAAGCAGCAGCCATTTGAATAAGGTAGTTTCCAGCCCGGTTTTCGGCAGATATTTCGTGCTAGGTAATGGCTATGTTCAAGAAAGTAGTACACAATGAAGACAGTATAAGTAACAGTATAAGGCCCAACACATACCTGCATCCGGCGCAGCGGGCAGAAAAAAAGGCTGCCGCTTTTGCTTCAATCTCAGGCTGCGCAACACATACCTCCTAGTTGAGAAGCCCCTTTCTATTTTCTCACCCAGACGCTCGGCGGTTTTCATACCATGCCTGTCTGCCCAGTATCATCTATGCGAAACGCCACTCCTGCGTTAGTTCACTGTCTCTCAGTGAACGTCTGCTCACCGAATTTCCGAACGAACACATCATGCCGATGCTGATATCTTGCTGCTGCTACTCGCTGCTGCGACCTCTTCCAGTTCTGTTCCCAACTCCTCATCAAGCATTTCGTTGTGCGTGCCCTCCGGATTTCCAAGAAGTCATGACTTTAGTGAATCTTTCATGCTCTGCGAACTCGCGCTTGTTGTGGGGAGAACGCTATCCTTGCTCTTGCTTGACCACACTTTCGACAGCGCGAACACGAGTCCCGACACGAATCCGACAAAGATGGCGGAGCAGCTGGCTAGGGTGACGGGTGCATTGAAGAACACCAAACCTGAGATGGCGATGGGAAGCTTGTTCAAGGCACCGACCATGGAGTAGGTGGTCGAGGAAGTGACGCGAACACACCACGCGCTGGTGTAGCTGATGAAGATGCTGCTGAGTCCGGTGAAGATCATGGCGGCAATCATGAGTTGCTGTCTGCCGGGCGGGAAGTTGATGGCAAGATTGGCGGCGGACCAGTCTTCGAGAAGGAGCGAAGCAATGAGCAGGATGGGAATGGAGAGCAGATTATTGTAGTACATGGCTGAAGGTGTGTTAGCATGATCTTGAGGCAGCCTCCCAGCCAGCCAGATAGTTAGTATTCGAACTCACTGTCGAAATCCTTGAAGTTGGTAAGCTTGATGCGCTTCCTCATGCCTAGGACGTAGCCAGCGGAGCACACGCAGTTCAGCGCCATCCAGATGTAGCCAGAATTGAGAGTGGCGATCTTCTCGGCGGCCTCGCCAGTAACAGCGTTGCCGCCGTAGGAAGCCAGAGCGTGCGAGATGTCCGCCCACGCGGCAATGATACTGCTCAGCACCATGAGGCCGAAGCTTAACAGAGCCATTCCCGTCACAGAGCCACCGAACCACAGCACCTCGCCGTATGCAATGAGGATGATGGTCAAGTTCTTGAAGATGGTGTAGACGGGAATGCTGAGGAACTGCAGGGCCTTGATGGAGGTGTAGATCATGCCAATCAGGAGCAGCGACACGGGGAACCATTTCCGCGCCTCGTCGACGTTGAAGCCGCGATATGAGATGAAGCCCATGGCCTTGCCAGATGAAATGGCTATTATGCACACTATGGCCTATAACCACACCGCGTGTTAGTCTTTTTCCGCATGCCTGCAATCCGCCCTTCCTTATATCGTGAAGTGTAGTGTCGCAGAGGGGGGAGTGCATACCTGCACGGCCAGCAAGAAGAAGCTCAGATTCCAGCCTGTTCCATTGACGCAATACTTGTTCGACACTGTCATGAGAATACTGCTCCCACAGTAGGCGAGAATGGAGAAGAGCGGGTTGTTCACCACGGCTGGGGCCGACATGGTGGGCACGATGGGTCGCGGCGCGGCTTCGAAGTGCGCGGAGGGAGGCTGGCGGTCGTCGAGTTCGATGGTAAAGTCCTTCTTTTTCTCGTCTGCCATGAACCGATCCCCGTCGTCCTGGTGGTGGTGGTGATGGGCTGGCGGAGGGCCGCGCGTGCTAAGGGGGCTCGCTTTGGTCCACAGGGAGGTGGAAGGGGAGGATCGCTGAACGCCGATGAAGGTAGTCGTGGTGAAGACGGGTGGAGCGCTGAACTCCCACAGTTGGCAGTGTGTGTTGCTACAGTGGTATAGTCAGGTATAATACAGCAAAAAAGGAGGATCTTCTCAATGGATGATGGATCACGACTCAAGACCACGCCACGTTTGCCCCGAACTCCCACGCTTCCTCCAGCCTTCCATCGGTAATCTCGTCTCGTCCCGTCCCGGTATCGCTACGGAGAACGGCACGACCCTCCTACCTCTTACTGCTATTCTACTTCTAGCTTCAAGTACAATCAATCTTCCACCACAGCGCCCGCCACCCAACAACACCAAAAATATCGCCAAAAATATCTCCCAAATGGCCACGACAATCGACTCCAAGGTCGCTCAAGTGCTGGACTCGCGCCATCCAGCCCACGACTCAGACGATGAAGACGCCCTCATCGCAGAACTCGAAGACGACGAAGACACTCAGTTCTCTGCTCTCCGCGAAAAGCGTCTCCAACAACTCCACCAAGAAGTCACGCGAGCAAAACTCATGAAAGAAACCTCTCATGGCACCTACTGCGAAATCAAATCCGAAGAATCTCTCATGGAAATTTCCACTTCGGAGAAACTCTGCATTATTCATTTCATGAAACCCGACTTCAATCGATGTGGTTACATGGATTCGAAGCTGGCGATTCTGGCGGAAAAGCATTTCGACACCAGGTTCGTGTCGATCAATGTTGAAAATGCTCCTTTCCTGGTCGTCAAGCTGGGCATTAAAGTTTTGCCGTGTGTGATTGCTTTCAAGGACGGTGTCAGTGTGGATAGGCTTATTGGCTTCGAGGGGATCGGGTATAAGCCAGATGAGTTTACCACAAAGGAGTTAGAGGAGAGGCTGTTGCAGAGTGGCGTGTTGGTGAGAAATAAAATGAATGATGATGACGATCGGAGAAGGGCAAGGAGAGAGCAGGAAGAACGCGAAAGGGACGAATTGTGGGATGAGGATGAGTGAGAGTGAGATGAGAGACTGTGTGTTTCGGCATGCGACTGGAGGTTATCACGCACGGCGGCCTTCATTCCCTCTGATCTGGCAGCCTACTCAACGAACGTTATATTTCATGCGGCGATGCAAGCGCTACAGAGGCATAACAGACATCAAGCTCGGAACTCGAAGTTAATTTGGATACGCCGAGGGACTCCGACATGCAACAATTCTTCCACCAGCATCCATCTGCCTCCTATCTCAGACTAGCTGAATACACACGAGCCTCCTGGAGCTTGCCTGATTCCAGCCTCCCGTTCTGCTTGGTGTCATTTTTCAACTGCCTGCAACCCCTTCTCGCGCTACGAGTATTCCTGGCTGGCTTCCTTTATTCTTGCAAAATCCACCAAACTTGTAGCCATTGTACATGGCTTCAGCATCGGGTTACTGCCCAGATGCATAATCCCAGCCGACCAACGGCCACAGCATGCCACCTGCTCAAATGCGTCGACCACGGAGCAGAAACATGTTCATCCCGTTGCCATAACGAGCCCTCTTCCTCCACGCTTTCAAGAGCACTCGTCTTCTTTGAGCATTGCTTTGCAGCTCTATTTCTCCCAGGAGGTTTTCTTGTCCACTGTGGGTGTCGATGGGTCTGGTCGGCTGTCGTAAGAGCACTTTTCTTTGTGTTTTTGATCCTGGGCACTTCCAGATGATTGTGAAGTGCGCGCACGCATAGCTTCAGCAATCTGGCAAGCCTCGCATTGTGCATAGTGGGTGCGCCTCTTGCGCGGGAAGGAGATACAATTGCCCATAGTGCTGGGTTATGTCTGGTAGGATCTGAGGTCTCGTCGGCGTTGCCCTCGGCGTTGTCTTATTTGCGCCGTGTATGGTGTCTATCGAATTGAAGGATGTGTGCATTAGGAGGTATGCTGGAGTCGTACAGCTCGCACATTGACATTCGAGAGTACGATGTCATAGTGATGAGGAGAGTCGACTCGGCACCTTACGGATCATACTGACTTTAATACTCTACCATGGATCGTGGCTTTCGCGGGCCTTTCATGCGTGCCATTTGCAGTCTTGGCATACTCTTTTTGGTTGTTATGCCAAAAGTACAACAGACTAGTAGTAGGTACATGAGCGACATATGGTCTATGCACCACCGCACACGACGCTCTCTACAGACACAGCATATACATCACATCTCAGGCCTCGCATCGATGCCCACCAAGATAGCACATGGTCTATGAACATAAGGCTGTCCACAAGCAGAACAAAACTCCATAGGCCAGGCCTCATTGGGAACTTCGACGAAGCACCGTTCCCATAATACAGCGTACCCTCCCTTTCATGAAGTCGGACATTTCAGAAAACAATTTCGGCGCTTATATTGCCCTTTCAATCGTCTACATTCCCGTCGGCCTTGCTTTGCCAACAGCATTCTCGCTTCCCGCGACGCCCAGCAGAATTAATCACTGCTTCCATTTTATGGCCTCTCCCAACTAGGTGCAAACGGAGAGTTCCGCCTAAAGATGAAAGGATGCTTTGGGGAAAGCGGAGCAGAACTCACATGAGGATTGCGGCAATTGAGTTCGTATCATGACGCATATCAGGCATGTTTGTGTGGAGAGGAAGAGGTCTAGCAGGCAGCCTTCATCTCAAGGATTGACAATATCGAATTCGAGAGAGAAGTTCCAACAGTGGACTCTGGGATCAAAGATACCCTAGTAATACCTCCTAGAGGTGACATGGAGGAGGCAGATAAGGTGAGAAGGGTTGCAAGTTGGAATCAGATAGACGAGAGGACCGGGACCCCACCCTCGGCTGACTGAAGAGAGTGGTCCATTTGAGACCCTGCACTTTAGTGGTATTCGAAAAATTCGATTCCTACAGGCTATTTGAAACTTCACGTACTCCTTGGCCACTCCACGGAATGGTGAAGCTATAACGAAAATACCCGCATACGACCACCCAGAAGACATGGATAAAATGCGAAACAAACGACGTCGCTCCTGAACATGCATGCGTTACATAAGCGATATTTGCCTTGCTTCAGCATCGATGTTATTGTTGGTTCTACTCAGACCTCTCCAACCTTCATGTCATTCCAGTCCGAGCTCAAAATTGGTCTACAGCACTGCGGGCGACAGAGTTGTGGCGCTGAGCAGTACATTCGCCTGTTTACCTGGCTCAACTCCGCAACCTCACAGACAAGCAGTGGTATGTCACCCGGGCCGCGCTATACCACTAAGCTTGTTTGCACGTAAACCAATGGCTCTGCAGAAGACGGTAACTCCTAAGTCACATATGTCTTCGCTATGTAGAGCGGCGGTGGTACCACAGTGCCGAAGCAACCGCCATGACTGCTATAGAGATGATCATAATGTAGGAATCAGCAGTTAACATGCGTTCCACAATAATCTCTTACACAGTTCCGCTGCCATGGCTACCAGCCTACGCAGATCAAGAACCAGGAAACGAAATCACAGCTCTCAGCGATATACGAACCACCCTCTGCAAGGCGAAACATATGTCAAGATCCAATACGACAGACACGTCGCTTCCGAAGCATGGGTTCTGCTCCCCGACCGCACGATTGAACATCTCATCTGCTATCCACGTGGTCGATCGGCTCGACTAGCAAGGAGAATCACTCCGACCCATGAGAATCTCTCTTCGCCCTTCTCCAATCTTGGTCTGGTCACTGATAATGGTGATGGAGGAAAGATACGTGATGAGGAGAAGAGTCCCGTAGATACGATCGTCCGAGATACAAGTAGCAGTAGCAGCAATAGTCATCTCATCTCCACCGACGAGAAGAAGCAACACACCACAACCATCTCCGAAACAACACCAACCCCAAAACCAAAAACCACATCCACCCCCATACCCACCACTACAATCCCCCACCCCCTCCTCGACCGCGTCAAATCCGCCCTCATCCAAATCGACACTGAGTCGACCCTTCTCCCCAACAACACCAACACCAACACCACCAACACCAAGAAAAAGAAAAACACAATCATCTCCCCCGGCATCCTTCCCCGAGCAGAATACATTTCAGGCGACGGACGCAGTTGGATCGGCACATACGATTTACCCACGGGAGATTTTGTGCGAAGGACTTCGACGTCATTGGACGCGTGCGAAGAGAATCTTCATCATCATCATAATGATGTGCCGCGGACATATTCTTCCTCCTCGGTGGGCGAATTGACGGTTGTGCAGTGTCCGTTGGATGGGCAGGGGAGGGCGATGGTGAGGTTTCAGTATGTGACGTATGAGGATGATGGGGATGATGGTGGTGGTGGTGATGGTGATGGACAGAATGGAGGAGGGGGAGGTGCTGGCAAGGGAAAGATGGCGGTGGCGGGGTTTTGGGAGAGAGTTTTGAGGCGGGTGGTTTGTAGGTGAGTGAGTACATAGGTGAGTAGGTGAAGATGTTGGAGAAGGAGAAGGAGAGAAGTTGTTTCTCTAGCGAGATATAATTATTACCAGGTACTATCTTGATGGAAGTATAACTAAAGGTACACCATCTACAAAACTGGTAAACACCATCAGGCAGTCGGATTATATAAAAAATCAGTACAGCATGGATTGGAAAAAAAGAGAACCCGATCCTCCGCCCAGTCATACAATAGGTCTTGACAGATACATGTAAGCGTCACTCAATGAATCCCTTCTGTGCCTTCCTCTTGACAACTTCCGAGTAAGACTCCAGTTGCCACGCCGCATACATCTACTTAGCGAACAGCAGCATATTGATGGAAAAAGCAACCTCAGCCAAAACTCTTCCCCAGCTTTACAATTCCATAGCGTCATCGTCCATGTCACCACTACCCTGATGGTGCTGAACATTTCCTGGGGCTGCCGTCTCCTCGTCGGTCCACCACTCAGCATCCAGACTGCTATCATACTCTTCGCCAGCGGGTTCAAGAGGAACGCCCCCCATGCCGCTGTCGGGCTCAGAGTCGGAGAAGTCATGAATCATAATACCTGTATCCGCGAGCACCGCCTGTTGTAAACGAACGTAGTTGTCGCGGTCGACGGTTATATGACGCAGTTCGTCACTAACATCCAAAATGACCTGTCGAACCTCATCTCGCCTGTTCAATTCTTGATTACGTCGTCGTCTGAGATCATCGTACTGTGTATTGATAGCAGCCTCATCGGGAGCACCGGGATAGGCTGGGGCTTCCAGATTTCGGAGCTCGTCGAGAATCGAGTTGTATGCGTCCCTAATCCCGAACCATGCTTCAACCGCAATTGAGACACGTTGGTGAGCATGGTCAATACGTCCATCACCATCCCTGTCCGAATCATCCTCCTCTTGCTCATCATTATCCTCCACTGAGGAATCGTCGAAATCGTTTAACTGGACTCCTGTAAGTTGAAATACTTGTTGAGTTACCGTGTTGTACCGATCCCGACCATAAGGCAAGCGACGTAGTTCGTCGCCTGCGCGCAATATGGTTTGTCTCGCGGCGGCCAGCCGAGCCACAGCGTCGTGACGTACCCGCGCAAGTGCAGCGATATGTGGGGGTACTGATGGAAGGCTCTCATTTGTGCCGTATGTGCGAGCTGTAGCCCCTATCCAGTCGTTATGGGCTGTACGCTGTGCTTGCAAGAGTGCGTCGAATCCATCCGCGGTGGCACCAATAAGCTGAAGTGCGGCGACTATTCGTTCGCTCTCGTCATCTGTCATGAAAGCTTCGTCCGCCTCACGTTCGAAGTCGTCATCCTCATCATCTGCATCGTCCTCATCCCCTTCTTCAATAACTTCGTCATACTGAGGAGCACCTGTGCCAGACGCAGGAAAACGCGGGCATCGCTCGGCCCAGTGAAGATCATCTGCTTCTGCGACTTGCTGGCCGCAATGGTGACAGCTAGAATTCACGCGTCGAATGTAAGCAAGTATCTCCAATGTTTGCATTGTCTGACCGAGGCTCGATTCCCTGTATGCAAGCCTGCCGCCCTGTCTCGTAACAAGCCAGGATGAGAGGTCGCCACCCGGGCATAACTTCGTGTTGGGGTTTACTTACTATCGCATCTTGCACACTAAACAGCGCATTTCATTGCACCCATCAATGCGGCTTACTTCAGCTCGACACGTACGGTTGGGACATTGCTGCCAAGTAGTCCCTTTCTCCTCTGTGGGCAGTACAGACTCGGTGGTACAGTCGTGGCTCCTGGCGTCTTCGTACGGCTTTTTACATATACAAGTCTCTGCCTCGCAGGCTGGACAGCGCACAGGAAGCGGCGCTCGAGTACCGAAGTCGGTTGAGTTGCCAAGGAATCGTTCGCAGCCTCTTCCTCCTGGTCTTGGACAGCAATAAAGTCGATAGTAAAGCGGAGTGTTATACTCCCTTTCCCTGGCCTCAAAAGCCGCAACGAACTCTGGTTCGAAGATCTCCCTGTAGTCCCTCAAGTGCACTATCGCACCGCCCATTCTGAGTGGATATTGTCCTTCATCGGTCAGCGCTGTTTCGAACCACGCGCGCAGACAATCGTGGCAAATCTTGCGTCCGTTAACATCGCAGAGATCGCCATATGCGTAGGTATCTGTGCAAATAATACACGTATCGTGACTCGGCGTGTTGCCCATGGCGACTGATCAGAGCGGAGTGTGGTGAGGACTGGGCAATTCAAGTCTACGCCGGGGAGAGTGGTTCACTTGAAGAACATACATTCAAGCCGTTTCCGGCGATGTTGATCTTTGTCGTTTTGTAAAGAATACCAGACGATGGAGCCCCGACGGAAGAAAGACAAAGGGTTCCAAAGCAGCACATCATGAGGTCGAAGTCTAGTGTCTCCTCCAGTAGCAACCTACAAGATGACCTGAACTTTTGGGATCTACGGGCAGGAATCACAGGCAGACTCTCAGACCGACAGGTTCACTAGAAGTCTGTAAGCACTGAACCTATGCCGCATAACGTAAACTCCTTCATGAATACTTCCCCAGTCCTAGTGACAAAGCCCTGCTCGAACCCAATGCGGCGACAAAGAAGGCGTCGCATCTGAAGCGGGCATGGACCCTCACGAGGCGACAAAAAACCCAAGATGCGCGGGAACAAGTCGAAGACACAATGAACAGAAGGGTATAAGCCCTCTAGGTGAATTGCCAACAAATGATGTCCCGAGGTCTGCTAACGGATGGACTTGAAGGACTGGAATAGAAGGAGGCCTGTGAATTTGCCACTCCATTAGTTTTTGTGATAAGCTCACTTCAGTACAAACTCCGCTTGTAGCGAGCGGCGAGAAGGCGGAGACACATCGCCTTCGAGCAGATAGAGAGATCTGTCAAAGGCACTTCCGATGCCTCGAAACAGATGGCCGCCGGAGTAGGCATTGGTGTATATAATATGCTGATCAGTCGCCTTGCAGCTGTGATGCGATGAGAGCCCCAGATCCATCAGTAAATGTTCATGGGAATTGGGACTCTTCAGTTGTCGTGTTGTCGAAAGAGGAGGTGAAGTGAAAGGGGAGTGAGGGTCGTGGTAGAACGAGATCGGCGCTTCCAGTTGCCGACGCCAAGCCCGCGAATTTCAATGTGGCTCGTCGAACTTCTGGCTTTGGAACTTCTGCTCTGGTCGACGAGGTCTTCTATCACGTACTAACCACACAGCACCTTCGCAATGGCCTCCCGACCGACCGTGACCATCATTGGCGCCGACGGTGCTCCTTCTCAGGACACCCACCCTCTCCCAAATGTCTTCAAGGCCCCCATCCGCCCGGACATTGTCCAGTACGCCTCCACCGCCGAGAACTTTGCGATATGTGCACAACGAGGAGGGAGGGAATACTAATGGAAGCGCAGGACCGTCCACACCGGTATGGCCAAGAACAAGCGCCAGCCATACGCCGTGAGCGAGAAGGCTGGTCACCAGACCAGTGCTGAGTCCTGGGGTACCGGTATGTGGGAACAGGGCAAAAAGAGGAAACGGGGAAGACGATGTGGAGCATACACTGATGGACATGTATAGGACGTGCTGTTGCCCGTATCCCTCGTGTTAGCGGTGGTGGTACTCACCGTGCCGGTCAGGCTGCCTTCGGTAACATGTGCCGTTCTGGACGCATGTTCGCACCCACCAAGGTCTGGCGCAAGTGGCACCAGAAGATCAACCTTGGCCAGAAGCGTTTCGCTACTGCATCTGCCATTGCTGCCTCTTCCAGCGCTGCTCTCCTCCTCGCTCGCGGTCACCGCATTAACGAGGTCCCAGAGGTCCCACTTGTCGTCTCCTCGACTGCCTTCTCCAACGCCGGCATCAAGAAGACCTCCGCTGCCGTCGCACTCCTCAAGTCCGTCGGTGCTGGTCCAGACCTCGAGCATGTCAGCAAATCCCGCAAGCTTCGCGCTGGTAAGGGAAAGCTGAGAAACCGCCGCCACCAGCAGCGTCGCGGACCTCTCGTCATCTATGAGCCAGAGAAGGATGGCAAGGAGCTCGTGAACGCTTTCCGAAACATCCCAGGTGTCGAGACATGCACAGTCTACTCTCTCAACCTCCTCCAGCTTGCACCAGGTGGTCACCTTGGACGATTTGTCATCTGGACCTCGTCCGCCTTCGCTGCCCTTGACAGCGTTTACGGCAGCACCACCGAGCCATCCGCCCTCAAGCGCGACTTTCTGCTCCCACAGAACTTGGTCGCTCAGTCAGATATCGCCAAGCTCATCAACAGCAGCGAAATCCAGAGCGTGCTTCGCCCAGTCAAGGGCGGTGCCATCACCAAGCGCACTGTCGTGCAGAAGAAGAACCCGCTCAAGAACAAGCAGGTTCTGCTCCGCCTCAACCCATACGCCAAGGCATACTCAGCAGAGGGTCTGGGTCATGTCAAGAGCACCGAGAAGCCAATTGCCAAAGACTCCACGTACAATGCTACGCTTCACGAGAACTAAGCGGGTGCTTTTGTTGTTGTAATGAGGTTTCATGGGAGCGGGTCATTGTAGCCGGACAGGACAAGCTGCATGGCGTTCAATGTAGCGCCAATCGAGACTCTTTTCAGATCTGTCACTTTCATCGACCCATTTCTCAATGTTCATGACTTGTGCAGCCCCCGCGGCAGTAAAAATGCTATTTCCAAGACTTGCTGACTCGCTCGTTGATTCATGAACCATGGGTAAGGTAGAGTAAGTGCTACCACAGCTCCATATCCACGCAAACTGGTCCATCCTTTGAGAGTAGCAAGTTCCTCGCATACATGTATCCAGGTGGTGGTCGAACGAAGTTGTATTGAATTTAACAGAAACATGCACGTCGAACCGATCAAAGATATGTAGAGCTCATCATGGCACAAGAAGAAATGTGGAGAGAAGAAAAGAACACGAAAGCGCAATTCCGCATACTTTGCAGCGATGAAAATACTCTAATCTTCTGTTCATAAAAACGACTGTGCCTCTGGGTCTTTTATCCCCCTTTCCATCTCAACAAGTGTCTGTCTTGTTTGTCTGTGCAAGCCAAAAACAAAAAAACAAATTTGGCCACTGGTATAAACCTTCCATCATCAAAGTCATCAAAAAAAGGACGCCGTTAAAAAAACGTTTTCTTGGTTCCGTTATGCCGCCACCTTCACCGAAGGTGATCACAAATGCAAGCGCTGGTTTATGCATCGCGATGAAAACCTGCTAGCAAATCATGGATCGGAAAAGATCTCAGAGAGAGAGGGAGAGAGCGTAACGCGACAAAAAAAGAACAACGGCTAGCGCTTGTGTCCGTGGATTTGGATGTGTTGCCGGAGATGTCTCCCCATGTTGCTACGCTTGGAGATAACGCCCGCTGAGCAACTCATGCCATCGGACAGTTGCATGGGAACTGCGAATCCGTTGTCACAAATTCCAAATTTGCCGCCATCCATGCAGATGATCTCGTCTTGGGTGGTGCAGGCGATGGACTTTGATGAAGAAGAGGTTTTATTGCCCGTTGCAGCTTTGTTGGAAGAACCGGATTCATCAGAGGTTTCGGGTGGACCACTCGCGGCAGGTGAAGCGTATCCACTCGGCGCCGGTCCGTCCGCTGTGATGGTTCTCATGGCAGTCTGAGTGACGACCTCGTATGCAGTAGCCACTCCACCACCTGCTGGTCCGCCTTCGGCACTGCTTGCACCGCCATAGCCTGTGGGGGCTGGTGCTTGTGCTGCAGCAGAAGAAGTGCCGTAAGAAGGCGCGGTAGGAGCAGTATCAGGAGCCGAGCCCTGTGCAGGAGCCGATGCTCCTGAACCTGAACCATAACCAGTTGGCGCAGCAGGGGAGCTTGCAGGAGTGCTGTAGGCAACAGGTGCAGAGGGGGCAGCACCGCTAGAGCCAGATCCTGCGCCTCCAGTAGCAACAGCACAAGTCCCAATGGTAGAGCTTCCGAGGGCAGTCTTCATAACGGTCTCGACATTGCGGCCACATTGCGGGAAGACAAAGTCCTCGTTCTCACACGTAGTGCAACCATTGCCAATGTTGGCCACGAACATGTCCGGCAGTGTGTCGAGCACATCGTTGTTGTCCGCGCCACCAGTGACTGTGATTGGGGCACAGTTCATGTACATCTCTCTGTTGCCAATCTTGTTGAACCATGTCCATGCCATTGTGTACTCGCCGTTAGGCATACCCTTAGGCATAGTGTACTCAAATGTTGGATTCCCGGCGTAGTCGGGAGAGCCATTGGCATTGCCCGCGTCCGAGTTGGGACATCCGCCGAGGATGGAGTGGATGACTTTCCACTGGCTGTTCTTGGTGGGTTCCTTGTCGAGTGTGACAGAGAGCTGACATGAGCCACCACCGTGGGTGGCACCGCCCTTGAATGAAAGCTTTTGGGGTACGCCAACCGGAATCTGGTTCATTGTGCCGATATCGTAGACTCCAGATCGTTGTTTGCATGGGAAGTCAGACCCATCGGGTTCGAGAGGACTGTTCGTAAGGCTATCTGCGCCATAAGGGACAGGGCTGGTGATGACCATATGCGCGTTAACGGAAGACACAAGCAGACTGCAAGCTGCAGCTGCGGTCAGAAATGATTTCGCGAACATTCTTGCGGAACTTTCGTAGTGAGTGTGGATGCAAGGTATCGAGATTCTTTGAAATGCTGTTTGATATCGCTAGACCGGCTAGACGATCTAATAGATGTCTTCTTATTCTTCTTCTTCTCAGATTCGGTGACGACAAGGCAAGTGTCTATAATATGACGAGAACATCAGTACGGACTTTCGTTTTGACTGGTCTCGACTGCATCGAGTGTTAAGGAGATAGCCCTCTCCGATGCTCGAGCTCGAGACATGATGTAAATCAAGGGCACTTCGAGACTGGGCGCGAGCCGTATCGAGACGAAGCAGTTCGATGGAAGAAGAAGAATAATCCAAAGGGGAACGAGCTCACCTGGTGTGTCTCAGTCGATGGAATCCTGCGACAAGGATCTCGGGCAGAAGTCGGAGTGGAAGTGATCAAATCAGCAAAAGAGAGTCTAGCTCAAGTCTCGCAGAGACGGATAGGTCGTCAAAGAGTGTGATTGCACGATGCTCCAGGCAAAGGCTGTAGGAAATGATGCTCAACAAGAATGCACAACGACTCTGGGAAAATGCGTTTGTATTTGAGCAATTGCAAAGAGACAAACAGTAGGGAGCATGAATCTTTATGACTTACTGCTTGGCGCGATCTGCACATCTCTAAACAGCCCCTGTCACATCGTTGATATGGATGATGCCTATGCACGATGACCCTCCTTACTCCTTACGCGCCGGTCCCGCTATAGGAGCCCCATGAGAAGCGGGACTGCTCGAGTGTGGCAGCAGGAAAGCTCATGCGAGGTGTGGGAATGGTCAGGTACTTTCTTGGTGCTGCGCGGCTAGCATCCGCAACGAGTTTGGCATACTCAGCCACGACGATCTAGTGGGAAGCAGATGCGCGCGATCATCTGGAGGCGGACCTCTGGCTGAGCTCTTCTCCGCCAATACTTCGACAAGGGAACTTGCAGACTGTGCCGGCTTGTTGGCAGTCTTCCGTCTCCGCGCTGGTGGCGGTGACGCTTTTGTCTCAAGGGCCCGAGCGAGACGATTGAAGAGGGACGCTGAGTGCAACGTTGCAGAGGAGACATCGGAGCGTGCCTATCAATCGGGTTTTATTCTGAAAATGGAGTTAGAGGTGAAGTCAAGATGTCCAATCATGACAGAAAAGTCGTGTCGTGAGGTTGGGAAAGGGGAGCCCACGGCAGTTAGCGTGATGTGCCGCAGACGCTGCTGTCCAATCGTGGTGTGTTTGATGTTTCACATCTAACGTTCTCACATCTTTCTCCACCTTCCAAGGCGCTTGACTGATGCTGCACAGAAACGAAACGAAGGCAGGCAAATCATTACTACACTGCGAACGGTGGAGCAAGCAAGGCAGCAAGCATACAGAGACTTGTTCGGAAATGGTTACATCCAACATCTGCTTCAATAATTCTACGCGACGCGGCGCAGACCACCAGCTGCTTCACGCTCGATATTCTATGTACTCCTTCCCACGAATTGATCAACAATCTTTGCCTCCGTGCAATATATCTTGAAACCAGTGTACAAAGTACCGCACCCCACAACTCTCGCAGTGCATGTGGTCTCCTACTCCTCCCCGTTCTTGAAATAGATCCTCACGACGCCGCATATGTTTTGTCTTTGAACAACGGCGCGCTACAGCGGGATGAGCTTCTCCGACCTCACAGCGATCGGCCAGGCTGGTCTATTGCAAGCATTGTGTGGTATTGCAGAGCAGCTTCGACATTCTGGGCTCAACGCAAGACGGAGGCATTCGACTCATTCCGCAGACATTGTCCTGTGTGCTCATGCGGCAGAACCAAGTTCCAAGGAATCGAAGACGTGGAACCCCGTGGTATCCGATCGCGTGGCACTGACGCTCGCCACCCCGAATGACTGGCTGATGATTGCCGTTCTGAATCATACTAGTCGTATAGAATGTCTCTTGCTGATAGACTCATGTCCAGCCGAATTCGAACGTCTTCTTGAGCTGATACTTGGGCTCATACTTCTCAGTCGCTGTCGGACAGATTTCCAGATGGTAGTCTTTTCCTGCGCTTGCCGAGAGGTTTTACTTGATGTGGGGATAAGAGGCAAGGAATGCTCGAACGCCTCGCCAGAACCATAGTCAGGTATAGAGAGTACGTAGCTCTCCTCGAGGAAGCATTGATGTGCGTCCAGTAAGCTTGAAGTCATTGCTTTTCGTCCTGTAAAATAAGCCTTGTTGCTAGAGGTATGCTGATTGCCCGGAATTCGAAATCTGAGTGTAAAGCTGGAGTAGCGAGTTGAATTTGGGCTTGACGCTCATACTTATCTTTCCCCTCAACGCGTCTCCCAATTGTGGTTGTGCTATATTGGGCTTTGCCCATGGGGATCCCAAGGATGTGTATGGAAGCGTTTCAAAAACTTCATGCAATGGCTCTGCACATATGCCAGCATACACATAATGCGAGACGCCGCGAGTACGGTCAACCTGTGGTAGGACAAAGATACATGTGTCATCTGTTTCAGGTCCTTGTATAGCGACGCGGGTGCACACTGGCGCGGAATGGTCGGCGCTTACGTGTCGCTTGCCAAGAATAATAGCGAACAAAAGACGAGTATGTGATAGGAGGGAAGTTGATAGCCAATATGCGTTGTACCGTCTGCACTCTTTGAATGCTATATGTACTTGCTCGTATAGAATAAGATCATGGGTTTTCTGCTTGCTGAGCACTTTGCTCAGCCGCACAGTGTGGTCAGCATGAACATGCAGAGCCCTCATGGGCTGTGATTGTAAGCCGCTCTCACATCCAGCAGGCCCATGAAACTGGCTGTTGTGTTCTCCAAAGTTGCGCGCAGTGCACGAGGCGCACATAGAGCTAGAATGACACTGTCCACCGTGACTGCGATCTCGTAATGTGGGCGCGCGATACGGGTCCTTTGAATGTAATGTCTTGTTCTACCTGTGGTTCAGCATCTCTTTGCCGTCCTCATGTGGGCTCTTCTCCTCATCTCAACGTCGGGAGGCCACGTCGTTCCTTCTCGTTATGTTCTTCTCTTAATATATAGAAATTCGATCGCCTTCACGTCGAGATGCGTCGCAGGCGCGACTCGCAGTGGTGTAGGCGGTTCAAGGTTGGGAAAGGGCTTCGTGAGCTGGTGATCCTGGGGGTATACGACATGTCTCATTGACGATGTAGCTGGTCTGTTCGCCCGACCGTCGCCTCATGAACCTGTGATCAATATCATTGTCTTCGTGCCGCTAGCCATCGCCGTCGTGGGAAGGTACGGTTGCTGCCGCCGCCGCCGCCGCCGCCGCTGCTGCTGCTGCTGGCATCGTCCATCACGATCGCCTTGGAATTCCCTTCGATGAGCCCAAAACTGCAATAGCCGGGTGGAAACCGTGTACACGCAGGCTATTTTGCCATATTCTGCTCCTCGATTGTTACATCCTCAAGTGGATTGCTCTGGTGGACTGAGAGGGGCAGTAAGGTAGTCAGCTGCTTCAGCCGCACGTCCTTGACCCCCTATTCTCGAACACGGACGGCAGATTTCTGAGCCGCCAGCTCCTCACCGGTGCCACCCCGCCTAAGAAGAAACAGTCGCGTGGGCACAGCGCTTTAGCCACGAGCTATCCGAATCAACCAGTCGACTCGCACAAAGCAACGTCACCAAAAATCACCACACGATCGCCTCTTTGAATCCGGCCACGAGCACAACAGCATAGTCTACAGGAACGAGGTCGGCATACAGCAGCTGCCCAGCATGGATGGGCAAGATGAACAGTGGGCAGACAATGCAGCCCGAGCGGTGCAGAATAAGGCGAACAAACAGATTCCAGAGATCGACTTCACACTCCATAGTATGGAGGATGGGACGCAAGTCAGCACGCAGGAGCGAGTATGCAAAGGTATCGCCTTCCATGGGCCAGTCTCAGGCGCAATCGTTCTTGATGCGCCATAGACTGAGCCGCCACATTCCCACCGCCAGGAAGAGCTGAATGCTAACTGAGGTGAACCCAGATGTGCAGGCGCCAGCCTTCAACGTTCCCACCGAGGATCAGATTCTCTCGCCGCAAGATCCTACGAAACCCAACCTGCAGTTCTTGAAGCAACACTTGTACCGGGAAGGTCGCCTGACAGAAGAGCAAGCGTTATGGATCATCAATGGCGGCGCGCAAGTGCTTCGCGCAGAGCCCAACCTGCTGGAGATGGATGCACCCATAACCGTATGCGGCGATATTCATGGACAGTATTTCGATCTCATGAAACTCTTCGAAGTTGGGGGTGATCCAGCAGAGACTAGGTATCTGTTTTTGGGTGACTACGTCGATCGTGGCTACTTCTCGATCGAGTGTGTGCTATATCTGTGGGCGCTGAAGATGTGGTATCCTAATACGCTCTGGCTTCTGCGCGGGAACCACGAGTGCAGGCATTTGACCGACTACTTCACATTCAAGCTGGAATGCAAGCACAAATACAGCGAGAAGGTGTACGAAGCATGCATGGAGGCTTTCTGCTGCCTTCCATTGGCAGCTGTCATGAATAAGCAATTCCTATGCATCCATGGAGGTTTGTCCCCAGAACTGCACACACTTGACGATCTCAAGTCACTAGACCGGTTCAGAGAGCCACCCACACACGGACTGATGTGTGACATCCTCTGGGCTGATCCGTTGGAGGAATTCGGCCAGGAGAAGACTCAGGAGTTCTTCGTACACAACCACGTGCGAGGGTGCTCATACTTCTTCAGCTATCCTGCGGCATGTGCGTTTCTGGAGAAGAACAATCTGCTGTCGATCATTCGAGCCCACGAGGCGCAGGATGCTGGGTATCGCATGTACCGGAAGACGAGAACAACCGGGTTCCCTTCTGTAATGACAATCTTCTCTGCCCCAAACTATCTGGATGTGTACAACAACAAGGCTGCTGTGCTCAAGTACGAAAACAACGTCATGAACATCAGACAATTCAACTGCACGCCACATCCATACTGGTTGCCCAACTTCATGGATGTCTTCACATGGTCTTTACCATTCGTGGGGGAAAAGATCACAGACATGCTGATTGCAATTCTCAACACTTGCAGCAAAGAAGAGCTCGAGGATGAGACGCCACTCTCATCGGGACCCTCATCTCCGCCTCTCATTGGTACTTCATCTACAGCCGGCATGGATCCCGATAGTGTTGAGTATAAGCGAAAGGCCATCAAGAACAAGATCCTGGCGATCGGCAGACTTTCCCGCGTGTTCCAAGTGCTACGCGAAGAGTCTGAGCGCGTCACCGAACTCAAGACAGCATCTGGAGGACGTTTACCAGCGGGTACACTCATGCTCGGGTCTGAGGGGATCAAGGCTGCCATTACCAACTTTGAAGACGCCCGCAAAGTGGACCTCCAGAACGAACGTCTACCGCCAAGCCATGAGGAGGTCCGACGAAGCACTGAGCATGCACGCGACGAGGCACTCAAACGTGCTTCCAGAGATGCGGAGAATGACCAGCAACTACAAGGTGTCGCTCGAAGAATATCTATGTCAGTGGATGACCTTTCTTATCTTCCTGCTAACCGCAGGGATACTTCATTGCCAAGTCGTCCACGAGCGAAGACTGGTATATGAGTGCTTGCTCCCCACACATCACAGTGGATCTTACTTGATCAGAGTTGCAAGCTGACCGAGCAACAACAGGTCATCCGGATCGAGGCACAGATCAAAGTGAACAAGGTCGGCCGACAGCGAAGCCTTCACTATTCAGCGATGAGCGTGATCGATATACAAAGTAGCGGCACTTGTGGGCCAAGCGGATACAGCACGCTCGTGCAAGTGCAGCTTGATGCTGCTGTAGCATGGGAGATCTTTAGCATGTTTATAGATGCTATACAGGGAATGCTCGCCTACAAGGAGCGTATTAATGGTTGCCAAGGATGATGGGAGGGGACTTCATCGGGGGAGAAAGTGCGTTGACATATGCTGTATAACGAAGACCGCAGGTGCTCAGTAGTAGCGAGCGACTCATCTCTTGTAAACGGTCTTTGCCGATTCACAGTTCCAGCCTTCTCAATGATCAGCAGACGGATCGCCGCTGCTTGTACCGCACTCAAATACATGTAGTGTGACTGTTTCCCTCGACGCTTTTCATGATCCCCGACCCCAGGCCCCAGCGACCAAACAGTCAGTAGATATCTTTTTCACATGGAACGGCCAAGCAATCTCACCTCACCCATCAGACCGCCCCAAGCCAAGCTACATATGTACCTTAGATAAAGTACTATTCATAGAAACGTTTCTCTCTGTGAGGCGTCGCACTCGCTTTCTTTTCTTTTTTTCTTCAGAGCGTTACCCTCGTCAACCTCATTCCGTTCGATGTCGTATTGCAAACGTCAGCTATTCTGACAATGAGGTTACCTTACTTCCTTCTGTCATCTCAGCCAAGTCCTTTGTGAAGCGCAGGGGGAAAAAGAAAAAAGAAGAGACACAGTCTGCGTCTATTCTCCAAAGGACGTAGCCGTCGTATCGATGACTCCCGGTATAACGACTCAAAACGAGCGACGGGATGTTTCCCATTAGAGAATATGTCACTGTGCAGGAGGGAAATGTTTGAGCTATAGCAATTGGACAACGAAGTGATGGGATGAGGCAAGCAGCGCCTGGCTGCTGCCAAGATGGGCACCACCAGAGGTGCATCTTCGATTCAATGATGACTAGGTGCCTTATGGATACTTCATTCCAATCGACAATTAAAATACCGTGCTGGAATTTTCGCATTCAAGGATTCCCCTATCCTCCCTGCAGCGCAGCCACGGCTTCTTTCGGCGTCAAGCCTAATGTGTTTGTGAGATACTCGAGTCTGTTGGCTGTTAGTCAGCTGAGCTCAAAATCATGTGTGCAATCAAAGGTACTTACTGCGCAGCTCTTGCAATCCTCTGCTGCACACTCTCATACTCTTTCCGACACTTGTCCCACACGATTTCGCGTTTGTCTGGATCAACAGTCTTCACCCGGAGCTGTAATCGTCCACTGACCGGCCGGTGATCCGAAACCCTAATCTGGTCCCATCGTCTATATTCGTCCATCTTGACCCTCCCGAGGCCGCGATAAAGTATCCTATCGCACCAGGCTGGCGCTCTGCGCTTTTCCGACGTATCATACTGATCTGTGTGCACGTTGTACTTGTAAGTGGGAGCGAACTTGATCTGGTTCTCTTGAAACGCTCGCAAGCGGAATCCAGGATTCTTTCTACGACTCAGCAGGAGCTGGTCGCGCTCCAGCAATCTTGCAAGATTACCTTGTTGGACGTGTTTGATCACGCTATCGCGACCCATGGTGTCAATGCGGTAATTGAGGTCACCATTCAGAATACAAATCTCGTGATCCATGACCATGCTTCCATCGCCTCCCGAAGCAAAGACATCGCTGTGCTGCGCGACCTCACCATCATGGAGCGGATAAGATGGCAACGTGTTCGCTTCTAGTATCTCAGCAATATCGTTGTTGCGATGCATCGTTTGGGTCTGCCCGGCAGCCAAATGGCAATTCACCATGCATATACTGCTGTCGTCCAGGACCATGCGCACAATGATTGCGCCTTTGTTGCCGTGATGACCACCCATGCCACGCTTTACTTCCGACGCGTGGATGTTTCGTATGCGAGGCCGTTCGGTGGACTTGACGAATATGCAAGTAAACAGTCCAACCATGCTTGCGGTATGGACAAGCGTATAGCTTGCGCTCGCAGGCATGAAATCATCGAGACTCTTGCCTAGGTAATCTCGCCACGCACGGTATTGAGAAGACATGTGCTGTTGCTCGTCTGGCTCCTTCTTCTTGCTCTTGAAGAACGACTTTGCAGTCACTTTCTTGTCTTCAAGGTCTACCAGTTCTTGGAAGCCGAAGATGAAGATATCCGGCGGTTCCCGGGCTGTAAGATAGTCGCGAAAGAAAGTATTATCCTCTGGAGAATGTTGAAGATGGCCGGGTTTACAAGCTCCGGCGTTCCAGGTGAGTACCGCTGCCGTCAGTTCTCGAAACCTGCAAAATTCGGAGTCGCGCACTTGCATGCGAGCTTCAAGCCAGTCGTCTTGGAGCATCCCATCCCATATGCGCAGGAAATTGTCGAGACCCAGCGTTACAACGTTCAAACGACCGATTTTCCACATCGCAGAAGAGTCGGCAACGATGCTACACATCTGCTTCTCATGCGCCTTCCAGTCTTTTCTAATCATCCATGGCGTCGTTGACGTGTCGTAAACGTACGCCATGCCGGTGCTGTAGCCGGCCCATAGGTATTCGCCAACACCAGCCATGCAGCTGATTCGGTATACACTAACATTCACAACAGCTTGGCACGAGAAGTCGCGTCTGTTGTATATGCTCACTTTGCCATCGGAGTGTCCAAAGTAGATCAGCTCCTGTCTGTGGTTGAGCGTAGCTCCGGCAGTCACATCACCGGTTCCAGGCTGAGATAGTGGTGAGCGTGTCAGTTGATATTCCGTGTCCGATAGTGCGCTGGGCGCAAAAACGCGAATCTCCTTTCCGGTTGCAATCCACAGCTGCTTCCCGCATGCTATCGAGAATGAATGCCCCTTGGGGACTCGCCAGTTGTTGTATTGCGAGTCTAGACTTGGCATTCCCTTGGGATCAGGTTTCCACACCAGTAACTCACCACCATCGTCCAGAGTCCACAGCTCCGATGCATATCGGTACATACGAATCACTTCTCTGCGATTATGAGCGGCAATTTTCGACTTGACCACCTGTTGAGACGGCACATCGATCTCGTGAATGTCACCAGCATTTGTGCCAATCCATATGCGATCGCCTTCATGCTGTACATCGGGAGATGGCTTGAACACAATGGAAGTGACCTTGGTGTTGTCTCGATGTTCCATATGAAGCAATTGCTCGCCAGTGGTGAAATTCCACACTTTGGTGATGTAGCCCGTCGTACAGACGTACTCGCCACAAACGGCGAATAAGCGCGTGTCGTACTCGGTCGGTATATGCCACGGTCGCTGTTTGAATTTTGGAGCCCTTCGGTTGGCGCGAGTCCCATCAGGGTAGTCTGACAAGGCCACACCTTGTTCACTGCTTGCATATGGTATGACCTCTTCTTGATCGTCGTGCGACTTTCCATTCACTGCTGAAAGTGGCGGAGGCGGCTCCCTTCTCCTGTCGAGTGACCTCCGGTTGTCCACTGATCTTCGTGGTGCCGGGATTGCGGGAGGTCGAGTCGGCGTTGCAGTGGCGGGCGAAGATGCAGCACTGCCAAAGCCCTGACTAAGAGCAGATTTTGTATTGATCCTCGTCGTGGGCACAGCAGGTATTCGAGGCGCAGCTTCTGGGCCTGTCCTCGATGCCGCTCGCCGTAGTCCGTCGACAGACCGCCGAGGCGGCAGCATTTGTGTTTTCAATGGGCTTGTCCGCCCGGATCGAGGTTTTGGGGGGCTGACTCGACCTGTTCGGGATTGCAGTTCCGGCCTGGTTGGCAACCTTGGTACGTCTTCGCCCAGATTCTCGGTAGATCTCGCGCCTCTCCCATTCATGCCAGTGTACCGTGCAGGCATTGTAGGGGCTCGTTGCAAGTGTCTCGGTTCATGATCACGTGAGCTAGGCCGGTTTGAGTGTGGGAACCAGTCGTCTGGAAGTGAAGATGGCTCCACGAATGATGCAGTGGAAGTGTTGGATTCAGCTCGTGCACGTCCAGTTAATGAAGCGTCTGAATCGCCGCGGACTCTCTGTACCCACGAAGCATTAGAATCAGCCCTGATGCGATTGACAGCTGAAGTATGCAATCCTCCTCGAGCAGGTTGCTGGCTAGTACTTGCAAGATTCAAACGGGGAGAGCTTGAGCCACTGCTAGGAGGCGTAGTGAAGGGGGACGGAGTCTTGTCTGCAAAGTCGCTACCTGGCTCATGGGGCGACAAATTGCTTGGCTTCTTTGCAAGCACCGGTGGTTTCACGGGAACTTTGGGCTTCGCTGCTCGATTGAAGCTGGGAGGTCCTGGAGTAGAGTCTGACTTTGCATCACTTTTGGGCTTGTTGTCCGGGAGAGGTGGTGGGGCCATGTCCTCTGCACCGGGAGTCTTTGGCGTATCCGCAGCTTGCAAAAAGGCACCCATCCGCGCCTCCAACGCAGGAGTGGTAGTTCTACTGATATTTCTGGCGTGTCCTTTGCCTGCCGAATCTCCGGTCCTGTCCGGAGTCAGAGGGGCCAATAATGGGGCCATGAGAGTGCCGCTGGCTGCAGGCCGCAAGTCCAGCGAGAATGTCTTATGGGGCGATCGAGGCGAATTGACCTTGACAGTAGGTGGAGACGGTTTCGTGGGCGTCAAAGACACCATGGAGGCTGGCCTTACACCAGCTGTGCCTCCTGGAGTGTGAGACCGTTGTGACGTTGGTGAAGGTGCGAGCAGAGATTGTCCACTCGGTGTTGATCGCACGCCCATGTCTACACTCCTCCTCCCTCCATCTGTTGTTCCCAGTCGTGCCGTAGGCGACGTCCCTCGCACGCCTAGTAACGCAGCAGGCTTAGCTCCCACTGGAGTTACTGGAGCCGTATCTGGCTGCTCTTTCGCCATGCTCTCGAACTTAGCCCGGAGAGACGACATGGGCTTGATCGAGGTCGTGTCCGGACCATCCTGCTTGCCGTCCATGTTACCAGCTCAGCCGTTGAGGCCGGAGTAGGAAGGAGAGTATGTGTGGGCGTAAGCGTTGCCGTGGCGCATTCAATGGGCAGCGAAGCTCAATAGGCTGCAGGGTAGAATGATTGGGCCATGTAGTGGCGCGGTCGGGGGTGTTTTTTGTTGTTATCGTTGGTGCTGATATTCATTGCTCGTCAACAATGAATAAGCAGGCAGAAGTTGGCCGTCTCATGGCATCTCGATCGTCGACAAGGTCCAGGTGCGCCCAGTGCAGCACTATCCTGGTCAACACGGCGTCCTTGACTCTTGCGGGGAGGAATGCGGACCGTTCGGGTACGGAGGACGGTCGGAGGTGGTGGTGGTGAGTGAAGATATGGCGATATGAGTTCCTCGACTTCCTCCACTCGTCGGATCGCGTAGATGTTGTTGTGGTGGTGGTGGTGGTGGAGACGAGACTTCCGGATGTGGTATGGTTGGACAAAATCTTTATATTAATATGCGGAGAGCTTGGGAGAGTTTACGCGTTGATCCCTGTTCAAAGCCACCTTCCGTGCTTTCCCTCCGACGGCAGCTACGGCAAGTCGCCAGAAGCCGCGGGACCTTTCTATAACGGTATTGACCACTAATATAACCTCCTGGTCACCGCGCTTGGCGGTTAAAGGTAGGCACTTACAACGTTGTGCCGTCCTTCAGTCTTCAACCACAGAACAAAACTACCTTACTTTCAGTGAGGTACCTATACAGCCAACATGTGGTAAGCTCCTTCGGTTCCATTCATCAAACATTCACGCCTCTTACTCAAAGTCTCCCAGTAAACACATACTCAACGCCCAGGTTTCGATCCGCTCGCCGTGCTGCAAACAATGGTTCGACTGCGCCGAATGCCACGCCGAAACGCAAGACCACACCCTCAAACAAACGATGGAGATGGCTTTCGCCTGCAAAAAGTGCAAAAAGTGCTTCCGCAAAGACATGACCGAATTCGAGGACAGCGACGAGTACTGTCCCCACTGCGACAACCACTTTGTGATTGAGGCCAAAGAGCCCAAGGCGAGATTGGAGGTTGAGGGCGAGGATATCAGAAAAGATGCAAGGATGATCAAGGATGAGAGGATCAAGCCCAAGGAAGACTTGACCATCTGGGACGATGAGCTGGAGGCCGCGAGGCTTGGGTAGGAATCATACGGCACGGTACGGTACGATACAATGCGACACGAATGCTGAGGACCAACATGAGGAGAGGTGACGATAAGGTCATAGAACATGATGACGGATGCGACAATACGAGGCGACATACATGGAGGTGCTGCTGCGATGACAATGAATGGCCGAGGTTGCGCGGCGGCACCACGTACACGCGAAAAACATGGCTCACTCGACAGGGTGCTCGTATTTCAGTGCAAAGCAAAGCAGACCAGAGCAGACCAGGCGGACCGAAGTGCCATCGCCTGTCGAGGAGTAATGAATTCGTGTCGGGACGACCGCAAAGGTGTGTGTTGTCAGCTCATCTACTATTGTGCTTTCAGATCTCCCAAGCGCCTGTTTCTAGGATGCGGATATCCGGCCGATGTTCCAGCTTCAACACAGCCCGTGTCTTGGAGATGTGTCTATGTCAGCACCACTGCTCTGAAGAACATAAGCTAGGTTCTTGGAACGACGGTTTCTTCGCCAACTCTGCAACACTAGCTTTTTGTCTATGTACACATATCACCTCGTGGTTGTTACGACGAGCCTCCAGCTGAATATTTGCTCCATCTACGGCGTTGCTCCTAGACCCTCTAGGTCACCCGACTCTTCCGCCCCCGCCGTGGCGGTGGTCTGTCTGTGTATCTGTCTGCTGGAATTGCGCAACAGACGGAATATGGTTGTCGGACGGAACCCTATCAGGAATCGCGCTTTGAAGATAATCTCGATTGCAAACCAAGACCGGGCATATGAAATTTGATTGGAAACGAGAGAACGAGGTACTCAAACAAAGTCGGAATCCTGTGATGACCATGCATCAATGTTTGCTGGCAAGCCTTGACAGGTGGCACATCTAAACTGCTATCTATCGCTCTAGAACTTTTTAGTCATTAATCATCCTCAGCATCAACCCTGGTACTACCTCTCGGAGGGAATCTCGCAAATACTAGAATCACAAAGGCTAGAATTGCAACTCCGCCATTGACAGCGAATGTTAACGAGGGCTCCCCGATAGCTGCAAATGCCGAAAACACGTATCCGAACAGCCCCGTCGTTGCAAGCCTGGCCGCCATTTCTACCAGACTGATCGCGCTCAGAGCATCCGCCCGTTGTGCTGGAGAGCACATTTGGAGGATGGTGCCTTTGGCTGCAGAACCTGTTCCAGCTGCCAGAGGGAGCACTATGGACACCACGTACATGTGCCACCCTTTCGAGCTGAACGTAGCCAGTGCTGTCAAAATGCCATCAATCAGGATCGAATATCTGCAGTACATGAGATCAAAAGCGAAAGATTCCTCAAGGTCCACTTCCGGCCTCGGAGGCTCGATGGGCTGCTCTCCGCCGCCGATCGGTTCTGGCTCGAATTCCTGGGGATGCGTGGGTATGTCCTCTATTTCCGACTCTTTGATCAAGATTCTGTCCATATTGGCATCTCGTCGTTCGGTCCACCTCCTGCCTCCGGCAATAATCGCAGGGAAGGCGAATGTCAAGAAGCAGCCTCGGATGAGCGAGTTGATCGATATCAGCCACCCGTTCTCCGTAGTGCCGAAGTCGAGCACATCGGTGGCATACATTTGCAACAGGACTGGAATGTAGCCTGTTGCCAGCAATGCTGTAAATGCTCCCGCACCGAGCAAGATAATGCCATATTCCGTCTGGATTCTCCCGTCCCTCAACCTCCACTTCGAAGGCACGAACATCCTCAAAGGATCGAAAAATGATGACAGAGACTGCGTCCTTTTCTGCACCTCGGGTGATAGATCCGCCTTGATCCAAGGCAAGAAAAACAGAATGTAGACTGACGACAACAAAAACAAGCCCAGGGTGATCCTGAATGGCCACACAATCCCCAGCACATCCGCCGAATAACCACCAATAAGATAGCCCAGTGCAGTCCCAAAGAATGCACAGCCCTGCAATCTCCCCATTGCAGCAGTCCTCGCAGCATGTTCCACCACCTCCGCAGCGAAAGAATTCAACGCCAATAAGTATCCCGCCGGCCCACCCACAATCGTGATGGCCTGCGAAGCCTGAATGATCCAAATTCCCATTCCGCCGCCTAGATGTACTCCGACATTTTGTACCGCCAAGCGAACGGCTGGCCAGAAGACACTACTCAGCAGCGCGGATTTGACGCCGAATCGTTTGATCGTCCAGCCCGTGTAGAACAGATTGATGACGCCGAAGAGAGTTGTCCCCGCTCCGAGGAGTGCCACGGCTCGCGCTGTACTGGCTTGGATGATGGTGTTGTGACATCGTAATGGGTCGGAGAGGCCGGGGTCTGGGTGGGTTTTGTAGTATTCGTTACATGTCATTGTTCCGAAGACGTAGATGAGACTAGAAATGGTAAGTACAATAGATATGAGTGGGATGTCTTTTTCTTTTCTTTTTCTTTTTCTTTTTGTGATTATTGGTAAAATTATAGGATCCCAGGTGCCTGACTTACGGAACTTGTGTCACACCAAATGACAAACTCACAATGGTGCTCGTGAATAACAATTTGAAAATGATTGATGCACCCCATGGCTGCAGTCGTTGTTCTTGTTGTTGTTCTTGTTCTTGTTCCTGTCGTCGACCCGTATCTTCCCTCCCACCAAGAAGTGGAGAGCGCTCCGATGCCGTCGAACATGTACTATTCGTATTATTCATCACTGTCGATTTCGACTTGACAGATTCACGATCCCCGTCTTCTCCTCCCGCAGCCATAATATCAACATATAAAGTCGCGGCGGCAGCGGCACGTTGTTTGTCAATTGTGGCGCATCGAATATTGTATATAGATCACACACACACAAAAAGTAGCAGAAACAGAAAAAGAGAGAGAAAGAGAAAGAAGGAGAAGTTAGGTGGTTTGGTGATTTGGTTGATTGGTTGAGGCTACTCTACCCAAAGGTATTGCGTGCCCCCCCGACGCCGGCGATTCTACCTTACCTTACAGTAGCTTGGCCGAGATAGGGTACAAGTACAGTAGCTTAGTGGCTTATGTCCGATATGTGAAGAAGGCCACCTGCAGGGAGGAAAGGGAAGGGACCAACCGGTTTCCGCCGTTGGGGAAATCTTGGTGGGACCTTCCCTTTCCTTCCTTGTTCGATAAGAGAGAGAGCCCTTCAGGTTGGGTGGGTCGGAAAAGTCGGCAAAGAGACGTTTTGCAGATACCAGGTATATTATATAAGATAGGTAGGTATACATGAAATTCTATAAATGTTTTTTGCAAGGAATAAAAGTCATAAGAGGGTATCGTGGGCACACCGACAGAGATCTACATGGGATAATTCTCGCGGCATCTATCAAGCTGTTTCGACCGAGAGAGTAGAGAGAAAAAAAAACATGTATAAGGTATCGTGGTCTGGTTGAAATCATCCTTTCGTATTCGTATCAGGTTTCTACTCCAGTCACTACCGTACTGTCTCATGCAACTAACAGGTCATCCCGGCTCATATCTCGTGAGAAACAGCTCCAGAACTTCAACTCTTCTCTTCTCGACCACTCCTCTGCCTTTCTCATTCCCTTCCGGTAGCCTGATCACCGCAGGCGCGAAGACATTTGCCAATGCTCGCGCATGCAGCCTGCCGCTATCACTACCCGCAAGCACTGGGGACGGCTTTCCTTTCCATGTTGCCATTTTCTTCAGCCCACCAAAGGCCTTCTTAGTTGGACTCAGTGGAGTAGCAGTACTCGCTGCTTCGTCAAACAAGAGACGCTTACTGCCCGAGACTTCCTGCACTAGTCGTTCAAGCATGCTCGTGATCAGAATGAAGCTGATGCTATGGCTTGGACTGGTCGAGATGATTTCTTGAATGGCACTGCGTTGGTCATCGTTATGGCGTTTCCCTTTGGACTTTTCGATGCCATCAAGATATGCATTGACGAGAGTCCAAAGGTCTGATGTAACAATGCCATCGGGCATACTGTGCAGGAAGATCAAGAGGAGGTTGCTCAGAACGTACAAACGTTCAGCCCTGGGCATGGTGTCTGGGAGAGAAGCCTCGAGTGGCAGATCACAGTCGAGTGCGTTGCAGGCCTCACTGAGCGCAGCGTCCCCATCAGCCGTGTTCCGTTGCGTCCAGCCTTCTACATCGAACGGCCAAGCTGGGTATGTGGCCCACGGAGCTGTAGGTGGTGCGACGATGCTAACACTTTCGAGACTTGTCTTGGCTGAAGACGTGCTAGTACGTGGTGTGGGGGATGTGCTCGTGGTGGGTGTGGCGGGCGGGACATCGTGAATCATCTCCCACTCGGCCACCACTCTCGTGCTCAGCTCCTCTATCGCTTCCGTCAGCCTGAACAGCTCGCGAGGAGCAGAAAAACGTACGGGAAGCTGATTCTCGGTACTCTTTGCACTCTTCGCACTCTCACGAGACTGCCTTCGGCTCGGATCAGCGCCCTCACTTGACCCAGCAGCAAAAGCGTCCGCAGCTTGCACCGCATTCACTGCACTTTTTGCATTCTCTTTCCCGCTCTTATGACTCGGGGTCTGGCCTTGAAGTCTGCGAATACCACCCTCTGGAATTCGTACGAGGGTGTGTATTGTTCTTGTCAGGCTACTCTCCAGCCAATGTCCACGAATGGGTATAAAGTGATCGCGTCCATTCTCAATGCGCAGGACAAGAATGTCATCGACGTCAGGCTTTCCCTTCTCGTTGTGATGGCGCACATCTTTCATGTCACTAATCTTGAGCTCTAGCTCCACCACGGCCGCCTCTCCCGGTTTGAGTGTGATGTTCGGCGACGAAGAAGATGTGTTTGGTACCTGTATGCCTTCGATTTGGATTGAAAGCCATCTGGGTGCAATGCCACTATGTTCGTCGGGCTCCACAGGTCGCTCGATGAAGCTGAAATTAGCAGGGACACGGCTGGTGTTGGCGATGGTCAATGAGCGATGTTTGGCCTCCATATACCTCACATCCCCAAACCACACCCCTTCGTCGGTTCGACCACCAGGCAAATTTTCGTTCGACGCTGCAGCTGAAGTGTGCGTCTGCTTATCCACAACAACAGTCACATTAGGACGTCCTTCGTTCTCGGCTTTGTCCAATTCTTTAGCGCATTCGGCATGAATCCGAGCCTTTAACTCCGGCACAACGGCATCATATTTTAGCATGAAGCTCGCGTCCAGAGGCTTGTGATCAGAAGATAGCACTCGTTGATGAGCTGTGTAGTACTCCAATGTCAGCTCGTCCTCAAAACCTTCACGCGTCACAACTATGGCTTCGTCGCGCGCTCCCACGGCGTCATCGTACTCGTCGTACTCGTCGTAGTCTACAGCGTTGCCTCCATCGGTCTCAGGATCGTAGTCATACAGCACGTCCTCCTCTGAAGCGGCCTGGTCGACCCCACTTGCCCTCATCTCTTCGTCCTTCTTTCGAGCAGCCTCTTCTTCGCGTATTTTGGCTTCGTACGCCAGCTTATCCTTGCGAGTGCGGAACAAGATGCGATCGCACCAGGATGGCGCTCGTTTCTTTTCGGAACTGTCAAAGACACCCACACTCCCTGCATCATACTTGTAGGTCGGCAAGAAACTGATGGGTCCCTCTTTCCAACCATCGTGGAAAACTTTTCGCTTGCTCATCTGCTGCCGTAGTTCATCGTGTGGAAGAAGGGAATCGAGAGTGGTCTGTAGTGAAGTCGGATCATCTTTTGCTTGAACTTCGTCGACCAGCGTGCCTTGACGGGGATTGTCGCTGCTCGATCGTTGGTCATCCAGCTTGAGCCCATCATTGACTGATGCTGTTGCTTCCTTGACTTCGTCCTCGATTGTCTTCGCAGCCGGCTGACTAAGATCATACTGGTTCCTCGTATGCAGCATGAGGAGCCTTCGTACATCGTCTCCTGGTATTCCTTCCATTCTGAAGTTCAGATCACCACACCAAAAGGCAAAGTCTTCGTCTCCGATCATCTCGCCTGACGTCTGGTGTAGGTCCATAGCATCCTGAATCGGCTCGAACTTGGTCCTCTGCACAATCTGCTGAGTATCCCATATCCTTCGATCGAGAGCTGCTTTATCTGTGCCAGCTGCAAGATGACTATTGACAAAGACGAGTCTCGTGGTGTCTCCCAGCACGAGGCGAGCAGTCACGGCTCCTTTATTGCCCATGTAACCAAAGACCCCAGTGCCCACACTTGTGGTACTGACAGCTTTGATATCCCTTGCTACATCTGGCGAAGCATAAATGAGTAGCAAGAGCCCAAGAAGCTGCTGTTCTGCAACCAGCTGGTATCCTCGTGGCAAAGCCTCGAGCATCGACTCTTTCCATTTGTTTGCAGCCGCAGGATCGGTGTAAGGTCTCAAAGCCTCGCCAACAGCAGTAATATCGACGACTTCCTGCAGACCCAGAACATAGAGTCCGACATCCTCATCATGGGGGAGAACTGATTCATCTCCCCGTGGTAGAGTTTCCTTCTTCCGCTTGTATCTGCTCTCCTGTTCAGTCGCGTCTTCCACGACTTCTGTTCTCTCTTGAACATCCGTGGCGCCTGTCAAAGCATCTGCTATGCCTTTTCCTCCCACGAACCAGCCCCCGACGTCCTTCTCAGTGCCCTTGAAGGCCGCGACATTCCAAGTCCCAACCTTGATCCGGACGTGTTTTGGCCGAACATACTCCGTCCTTCGCTCGTAGACTGCTTGTGAGAGACTCGTGAAGGTCAGCTCATTATTGTCGTCAATGCCGTCCCCGTCAATGTGGTTTTGTTCATCGTCGTGGTCGCGTTGAAGGGTGGGGAATGCGCCAGGGACGTCTTGCATGAGACTCGAGTTACTGGCAGAGGAGATGCCACGCGAATGTCTGGAAGTGATGTTTGACATGGTGTAGAACGAAGTCGTTCGTTCTACTGCACAGCCCGTCCTTCTAGCGAACTCAATCTTGAACCAAAGTTATCACAGCGAATTATGCGGTAGATGCGCGAGAGAACAGCTGAAGGATCTCATAGTGGCGTACAGAGTATAGTTACCTACGTAAGTCGTCCACGGGTAGACTTAGGTATGTAGGTAGTAGGTATGTATACACGTACAGTAGGGCATTTTGAGTCTTGCCGTTATCCCTCTGTTAAATCTCAAGTGGGCTTTGATGATGCAGGTGTGGCCCCGGATTAGAACTAGGTAGAACTAGGAGGTAAAGGTAAAACTACCAGGTACCATAAGCTTCTAACGTGCCAAAACACCAACATCAATAACAAGGTAGGTTAGGTACACCGCATCACCATCTGCTCCTACGACGACGATGCCTGTCGGTCGCAAAAAGTCGCGTCAGCCGTCTGCTCAGCCAACTAGCGATTACGAGTCTGACACTGCTGCCAACTTCACCGACACCGCACCCATTCTCCCGCCTCCTCCGGTCAGGAGCAACGAGGAGCTCAATCTGCTGGTCCTCCGCCGCTGGCAACCCCACGTCACTTCGATCCTCACAATCGCGCCCTTTGCAGTACTTTACCTCTTCAGCGCCGAGTCACAAGGCTGGGAGAAGTGCGAAGTGCAAGGCTCGCTGTTCGTATGTGTATTGAGGAATGGCGGGTACAAGCTTGTGATTTTGAACAGGAAAGGCCTGGAGAACTGGGAATTTGAGCTCAGATCTGAAGAGGCCATCCAAGTCACTGAGGAGTATGTCATTGTGCAGAAAGAGGACCAGGACGGAGAAGTGCAGATCTATGGGATTTGGATCTTTGAGGAAAAGGGTGGGAACACGAGAGAGGTCATTGGGACTGCGATCTTAGGATGTGCGAGGGAGGTCGAGGCGTTGAACGATGAGTCCTTTGCTCGTGGGGATGACATCGGAAACGAGGGCGAAGAGGAGATTGTGGAAGGCTACGATAGGACATATGCGGAAGAATATGAGAGCCAGCAGCGAGCAGAGATGAATGAACGGGATGCGGGCCAGGAAGTCTGGCCTAGGCAAGAGACTCCGAGACAGACGTATGAGGCGCGGCTACCACAGCAGGCGCAGGGGCAGCCTATCGATCTGGCAACGCTCTTTGGCAAGGCGAGCGCGCCGCAAGCACATCCGCCCCAGCCTCCGGCAACACAGATCAACGTTGGTGGGACGGTTTTTACAAGTGCGCCTTTCGCTGAAGAGAGGCCAGCGGCTGCTAATGCACCCCAATTCCCACAGACCGCAGACACAAATTTTTTCAGAGGAACAGCATCGCCTGCACAACCGGCCGAGCAGACGCAGCAAAATACACTACTTGATCTCTTCAAAAATGCGAAGAGAGGGTGAGGAGAGCACAACCTCTGCACAAGCCCACCATCGCTTCGGAAAGAATAGAACGACTTATTATAAATCAAGATACCCAGGACTTACGTAGCTGAAGAAGAGCTGCCTTTGAGTACAATTCCATGGGAATGGGCTTTTTTTGGACTCTCCTTGGACTTCCTCTGGAACACCAGCCTGAGTGGCAAGCAGTCTGGGGAGGTTCCCAACACCGATTCTTCCACATGACATGTATACACCATCACTGCCAAACGATTAGCATCCGATCTTACGTCAACGATCTTCATGCGAGAACCCCAGGTCAAATTGTTGGTCAACTTAGGAGGTAGGCTGAACGTAGTGCCTGTAGGTTGCCTCGTGTGACAGTGACCTGTCACTATCGACAGTCTGAGGTTAGGATACGGCGAGGATGTGATGTTCACGCGTCGGCGACTGCATCAAACTTGGTGTGCATCGTTGCATCCACATACCGGAACTCAATATGCTCGGCCCCAGACTTCGCGTGCGGGACCCTGCAGGAGATTATGGAAGCATTGACTATTTTCGAAGAGTCTATACGTCAGAGTGAACGTGTGAACGGTTCTCAGCATCACGATTGACAAGTACGAACGTAACATGAGCCTGAGGTAGTACCTAAGGTAAGGCAAGGAGGTACAAGTACATCTTTGCACTGGAAACATGGTGTTCTCGTTGAACTTTTTTTCTTTTGCTGTCTTCCTCAAAGACCTTCCCGCTACATGATTAAAGCGCTGACCCATCCTTTGCACCGAGTCTGTGCACCTGCTACTACTGCCCGGCGTGCTGCTTTTATCAAAGCACCGTACATCTTGGCAACATCCATGAAAAGATCCGCCTCGGGTACATCCAAGATGTCCAACCCAGTAAAGCAACAGCACGAGGGACAACAGCCTAATAAGGACGAGCATGGCATGGAAGAGTGGAAGAAGCGTGCACCGTACAGAGTTCACGACGACAATGACAATTTCGAACACATCTACGAAGCAAGCTGTCACTGCGGGGCTGTCAAGTATGAGCTGAACAGAGAAGTGCCTTTGGATTCCAAGCTCTGCCATTGCACAACCTGTCAAACTCAACACGCAGCACCCTTTCAATGGGCTGCAATCTTTCACAAGGAGGACATCAATTTCAAGCATGGACACCATGATCTGGAGTGGTATGATCCCACCACCAAGTCGAAGGAACACCAATTGCCTTGCAAGGTGAGATGCAAGCATTGTTACAGCCCGATTATGGACGAAGGAAGAAACATGATCTTATTGTTTCCAAGCTTGATTAAGTTCAAGTCCGAGAAGGAGAAGCAGAAGTTCAGACCGAGCATGCATATGGTACTTATGGCTCGAGTTTCCAACTAGGTTTGGTAAATGCTGATGATGTCGTAGTTCTACACGCAGCGCGTCATGGACATTCCCGATGGTCTGCCCAAGTGGAGTGGGCTCAACAAGACTTCAGACCTCGTAGAGGATAGTCCTCCGGAGGCAATTCAGGAGCTGGAGCGGGAGCGGGCACAGCAGCAGCAGGAGGAGCGTGCGAATGGTGGTGCCAAGAAGGATGAGAAGAAGAAGTGAAAGCGTAAGCTGACGCAGGTCTCGCGAGAAGTGAAAAGATGGCGACGGTAAATTGAGCATTTTTTGCAGGAAGCGATCGGACAAGCGAGATAGATCGTCAGTTCCAACGTGACCAAGCGCGCTGCAGCCGTCTACCTCGACATGTCATGTGCCATTCGCAGAGAAGCATTCAGGTAGCCACACAATAAAATGTCCTCATTGAATTCAACACGGGGCGGAGGCTGCCTTTCTGTTGGACCACATCTCTCTCTCTCTCAGTTCGGTTCGCTTGCTGCCTGAGTTGGAGTTCCTTCCACTGCTTTGAGTACCCCATTCACTCCGCAACATCCGCTACATGAGATACCTACTGGTGTGTTGCTACCTTGTACAATCGCGTTACAGCTCAACTCACAACTACAGGTAGCTGCCTAAGCTACGTGTACCTTAACGCTTGAAAGGTTTCGTGCGCAGCGATATTGGTTGCCCACGGCGGCAGGAACGCCAAGCACCGACCTGCTGTGAGTTCAACCTCGTCCATCTGTGCTCGCGACTCGCGACGCCATGTCCTCCAGCAGGACCGCGTCACCACCGTTCGATAACTAATACAAGCCATGGCAGTTCTCATCTCAACCACTCCTGTCACTTCGCAAGGCCACAATGGCTGGTGTGCGAGGTAAGAAGCGCAAATTAACCGAATATACTGGACGTCGACCACCTGGAGGCCCGTCCAAGAAGCGCGCTACTGGCACCCATCCTCGCGGTAGAAACGTAGACTACGATAAGGAATACAAAGTTCGGTCTATTGTCGGCGAGAACGCAACACAGTATCATATTGACTGGGAGCCGGACGAGGAGTCTGGTGAAGTCTACGAGCCGACCTGGGAGCCTAAGGAGAACGCGAATCAGCTTGCGATCGACGAGTGGGAGGCTATCAAAGCTGCAGCTGCTGCTAATCAGAGCGCGGAGCAAGCAGGTATGTATTATCACGTGCAATATCGTCTTCCATAAAAAGAATATGCTAATGCGTTGCTGTCAGCTGCTGGAAGTGACACTGCTGCACCCCCAAGACGGACAAGGAAGATAATCGAAAGCTCACCTCCACCTCCATCTGAAAACCCTCAGGAATCAGGTACCACTACTGCCGCTGCCGCTTCTGCAGACGAGCAACTCCATCAGGATCTCGAGGCTGTTGCCGGTGCGACTGAGCCTGTGCCTGAGATTGAAGAGAGTCAACAGACTGAAGCCGAAAACCGTGACACTCCTTCTCTGAAAGCACTAATCAAAGAAGGATTTGTTGCGCGATCAAGTCCCCCGTCCAGCTATCTTGCTGGAGAATACCAGCGGATTGTCTCCCGGCCTGCAAGCAGAGACGAGGATCCAAGACCATCACAATCCTCACCATCACCAGCACTTGGTATTTCGAGTTTTCATCAGGCTTCGACTGTGCCACCAGAAGACTCCACACAAAAAAGCACGAATAGCACGAGTTTGGTCATTCCAGATTCGCAAAGTCAAGGCGCTATCCTTGAGGAGTCAACTTTCAAAGAGTTCTCTCCTACGCAGCGCTCTCCGAAATCGCAATTATATCAAGAATATCCCCACGAACCACTTACCGAGGAGCCACCCCAGTCAAGTCCGCAGTCAAGTATAGCTGCTGTTGAAGCGGCGCAATTGTTAGTCCCCTCCGCCATAACGCAAGGCTCAGATCGCCCGTCGCTAGGCTCGGCTACTGCTGAGGTACCCCATTCTGTGTCCAGCTCCAGAGCGGCGGCTGCGACCAACGTCACTGCCGAAAATCCCGAGCTTGTTATCGCAGAAGAAGCAGGCCTTGCTCTTGCTCAAAGTAGAGCAGTATCGAACAGTCTGGAGAGGCGAAGCGGAGGTCTTACTGCGACAGAACCTGCTATTGCGAAGCAGCCCAAGAAGTCGCCTTCTGGGTCGGATTCGGCCTCTACGGCTCAGGAAGCCCCGGACCTATTTCCTCCCACGGAGTCTTCCCGCTCACAAGACCAAGCAGTTGGACTTAGACAGGTGATCGTGATCTCAAGCACAGAAGACCAAAGTGATCAATCTGCTGTACTCGATTTCGATTCGTCAAACCGCGATACAGACTTCGAACCTCCTCCTGCTGCTCAGCGACCTCTACCATCGTCTCTACTCAATAAGACTTCTCAAGTGAAGTGTCCTGGACCATCTCAGATAAACACTGTCGAGCCGTTAACACAACAGCAAGACGTGTCCCAGGTTGAGACGCCTGTCGGGCTTTCTCAAAGCCACCAACAGGAGACGAGGAGGATTCACTATTACGGGTCGTCTCAATCTTTTCCCTTTCAAACGCAGATACACTCACAGACGACGCCGCGGAAACTCGGGTCTCCAATCAATTCCACACATACTCCTGGAAGTAAAGCATTGTTTATGCCCACAGCCGACCCGGAACGTCGGTCGTCTGTTGCTCACTTCTCGAGATCGCTAGAGTCTACTCCATTTCCTTCCTTACCACGCGACCCTCTTGGCGCTCTTGGTGAGAGCGCACCAGCTCGACTCTCTCTGTCTTCTCGAGAAGGACCGACGATGGAGTCTACACCGACGCCAAAGCGAGAGACCTTGGCGGAAAAGATTAAGCGATCACGAGAGGCCCGAATTGCAGCTCGAGCATCGGCAACACCAGTGCCGAGCGTTACCAGCAGCCTCGTCGACGGGAGCATTGAACATGCTCAGCCAGCCTCCGCGCTTCCTCCGAATCTGATTGCAGAGGTCGCGGTCGCGCAAGCTGCGCGACTGGGCTCTCCTTTCGCGTCCTTACACGACAGATCTCCATCCGCAATCCCGGCGGTGGAGGAGATTGCTCCTATCACACGGGAAGAGATGACGACGTCCGAAAGATACGAAACGCTCTTGCCGCAAGCACAAGCACAAGTACAAGCACAAGCACAAGCCCAGAACAGCTCCAAAATCGAAGCCGATCAGAATTCGACATTGACGAGCGCTGCAAATAATCTCCAAGATGCGCTTGGGGATCCAGAAGTGGCCAGCATTCATGTCGTCCCGATTGCTCCGTCGGCTTTCCAGCGTGACCAGTACCAAAACAATATCTACTTTGAGAAGAAACTCATCGAACAAGTCATGAATACCGGAGGAGCTTTGAATCACGAGACCCTTGTCCGCACCAATAAGTTTCTGGAGACGTTGCGTAAGATCGCTCTGCACCCTGACCTTATAAACCCAGAAACCTTGTCGCAGACCACCGAAAACGAGATTCAAGCAAAGTGGGACATCAAGACTAGTGCCAAGTTTGAGTTCTTGAACGAATTCATCAGGCACGTTTCTGACCACAACATACATGTTGCCGTCGTGGCGCATGGGGAGAGAATTCCGACTATGCTCCATAACTTCTTTCAAGGTATCAAGGTGCCGTGCAAGAGGTGGTTGCATCCTTCCAGTACCGACCCCGACTTGAGCCCAGTAAATCTCGGCGTCAAGGTTTCTATTATCGATCTGGATGGTGGACTACAAAATGTGGAGCGTGCAGATGTGGTTATTGCAATGGATCCTCTCGTGGACTATAGGCATCCGTTGGTACGTGCGGCACGAAATCAGACGGGCGACCAGGACAAGTGGTCTTTACTGTTACCGCTTGTGCTTCCGCATACGCTTGAGCATATCGAGCGGTCCTTGCAAGCAGACCTACCGCCTTCGATTCGGACCAAAATCCTTGCCAAGGCTACGAACGAATTTCGTTGGGAAGCAGGACGGCTAGAAAGCACACAATCACCTTTGAAGCACGCGGCCTCCGCCATCGCCGAGTTTCTGGACGACACTTCCGCAGACTGGCCAATTGCAGCACTGAGCCAGCTTGACGAAATGGACAGTCAGACAGAGAGTGATTTACAGGCAGACTCTCACGGCGTAAAGCGATCTGTGGATGACACGGGAACAAACATTACTGCCGAGACCAAACGTGCACGACTGAACTCAGTGTCTGGGACGCAGCTCCCCACTACTATCAACCCCCTCGAATTGGACATAACCCATGTTAGCGACTCACTTGACAAGGGCACAGAGTCAAACATGGATATGGTAGACGCACCCGGAGCCTCACCAAGCACAGAGCAGCGGCTCCGAGAAATTCTACAAGGCGTACAGGATCGTCTTGATGAGCATGTCAAAGCGCTGGAAGATTTGCAGTACAGACATGAAGATCAGCGAAAACATCTCGTTGAGGTCAAAAAAGAGCGTGATGCTGCTAGGTTAGCGGCAGAAGCGGCGCATGCTCGAATGGCAGGTGCGGAAGCGAACAATGCGACCCTGCGCATTGAACGAACGCAACTGAAGGAGGCGCTCGCAGAAGCAAAGAGTGGACTGCTCAGCCATGCCGTTCCTGAAATGCGCGAACTCGAAGCGGTGCGAATGTCTGCCGAGGCAGCAAAGCTCGAGGAAGAGAAGGCGAGGAAGAAGAGCGCAGCAGCAGAAAAGGAGCTCGAATGGACGCGGTCTATGTATCAGGATTCCTCCAACAGAGCTCGCGAGCTTGCGCAGAACAACGCCGAGCTCGAGACGCGCCTCGCTCTCGCATCACATACGGCACAAGGAGAACAAGCCCGAGCTCGGGAGATATCAATCCAGGGTCACAACAAGGCACTCGAGCAGGAGTGCCAGAAGCTGACCGCACAACTCGAAAACTGTAGACTTGCCTTGAAGAATAAAGACGAGCAGATTGCTTCGTTGAAGGAGGGAAGAGGGAGGATTGGAACTAGAGGAAGCTCTGTCCCACGGAGTCCCAGGATGGGAAGTCCGATGAAAGGAAGAGTGAGTAGACAGCCGAGTCCGGCTGCTGCTGCTGCTGCCGATAGTAGAGGGAGGGGAGCACATTTGCATCCACTCAGGAACAGCGCCGGTACTTAGCCAAGGGCACTGATAGACTGAATCTGAGGTGATGCATTCATCTTGCACCCGTATTGACGTTTTGCTACTTTTGCGTGTGCTTTTTCCAATGGACTTTACAAGCTCATGTGGCTCTCGCGCAGAAGGCAATGTGATTATTCCTGAGGTATGTAATATGTATGCATTGCACTGTATATGTAAGGTTACCTGGTACCTATGCAAGGTATACAGCTCAGAGTACACAATATGATGCCAGCATTCTGCAAGCGGGGATTGAAGACTGTATTGAATACGAAAAAGATGCTAGCATTCTCCGGTAGGGGTTCGACGGCAGACTGTATGAGAAATGATCGATGCATGTGCATGGCATGTACATTAACTTATCCTCCATGACAATGTGGTGACTCAGTGACTGTGCGGGCATACAATACAGGTATTGACAGTTGTCGTAGGATGAATCGTGAAAGGCACTCTGTAACAAGGGAGGGGCATGTTTCTCGGCAAGGATTGCTCGATTGGCGCATTTTTTTTACAAAGAACTATAAGGCGCAATGAATGCTAGTACATGACGAGCGCGACATGCAAACATTTTGCAGCCAAAACTTACCTCTACCTTATGTAGGTGACTCTTTCGCTGACCTTTCCCTCTCTCTCACACCTCACACCTCTCACATCCCTCACCATCACACCCTCCGCTCACACCCTTCTTCACTCTTCCCTCCTCTCTTGCACGCTCCCACTTACCTCACTTACACATTCGCGTTTCCTACCACATCATCACAATGCCTTCCAACGGCATTGACATCCCTCAGCGTCCTTCGCGCTCTTCCAGCTCTACCGTCTCGAGCTCGTACAAGGACCGAGACACCTTCGCGACCAGCCCCACCTTCAACTTCCACAGCCCGCACAACTCGTTCCACGGCCCACCAAAGGCGTCGACGAAACAGCTCAAGCCCTTTCAGACCACCGACATCAAAGTCCTCCTCCTCGAAAATGTCAACTTGTCCGGGCAGGAGATCCTTAAGAACCAGGGCTACCAAGTCGAGGCTTTGAAGTCCTCGCTGCCCGAGGAGCAGCTCATCGAGAAGATTCAGGACGTTCACGTCATTGGTATTCGCTCCAAGACACAGCTCACGGCAAATGTCCTCAAGCACGCGAAGAACCTGATTGTCATCGGCTGCTTCTGCATTGGCACCAATCAGGTCGATCTCCAGTATGCCGCCGAAATGGGAATTGCCGTCTTCAACTCTCCCTTCTCGAATTCGCGCTCAGTCGCAGAGCAGATGATCGGAACCATCATTGCACTGGCGAGGCAGATTGGCGATCGCAACATGGAGATGCACGCTGGAACATGGAACAAGGTCTCGGCAGGCTGCTGGGAAGTAAGAGGAAAGACGCTGGGGATTGTTGGATATGGACATGTGGGAGCACAACTTTCTGTCCTCGCAGAATCGTTAGGCATGAAAGTCATTTACTACGATGTCATCAACCTCATGGGCTTGGGCACTGCGCATCAAGTGGCTTCATTAGATGAGCTGCTACAAGGCTCTGACTTTGTCACTCTTCACGTCCCTGAGATCGAGGAGACCAGGAACATGATCGGTGAGAAGCAATTTTCACAGATGCGCCAAGGTGCATACCTACTCAATGCCTCGCGTGGCAGTGTGGTGGATATTCCGGCTCTCATCAAGGCAATGCAAGCTGGAAAGCTTGGAGGTGCAGCACTCGATGTCTTTCCAGACGAGCCAGGCAAGAATGGAGATACCTTCAACTCCCAGCTCAACGCATGGGGCGACGATATTCGCAAGCTTAAGAACATTATCCTCACACCACATATCGGTGGATCGACAGAAGAAGCGCAATCGGCTATCGGAGCCGAGGTCGCGGATGCCTTAGTGAACTACGTCAATTTCGGAACTACGCAAGGCGCTGTCAACTTCCCTGAGGTCACCCTTCGCTCTCTCACAATCGAGGAACCCAACCACCTGCGTGTCATTTACATTCACAAGAACGTTCCCGGCGTGCTGCGCAAAGTGAACGAAATTCTTGGAGACCATAACGTCGACAAGCAGATGACGGATTCTCGCGGAGACGTAGCATACTTGATGGCGGACATTTCCAATGTCAACGTCAGCGAGATCCAGAACCTATATCAAAGTCTGGAGGATCTTGGAAGCAGAATCAGGACGAGAGTGCTTTACTAGAGTACGAGCGCACTCGGTTCTGCCCCCACTCTGGTTGCTTGGATCGAGGATTGAGGTTGCAGACACGAATGACGAACCACACACGAAAGGGACTTTTGTGTTGGGTCATGATTAGATACAGCGAGGCGCTCAGAAAGGCGATAGCTAGTGATAAAAGTCTATGATTTTGGTATCAGAAGTGGCTTTATGGCTGTAGAATAGAATAGAACAGCACCATTGCATGCGAACATGGCGTTCCGTCCGGAGCATTACCTTGAATACCTTACATGTATTATTCTCAAGTGACTGTCGTCTGTGGCTACCCCTCTATGATGTTTGCCCCGCCAGGTCTTACACACTCCAGGTTTACTGAAGGAACGAGCCAGTGAAACTTCTGCAATAGTAACCTGAATTGCAGCTCAGGCGCAAGTATACTCGCTTCCTGTAGTGTAAGTGTATCATTAAGGATAGGTCATAATGGCAAAGCATCAGTACATGTAAGGACTGGAAGTGAATGTTCGTGAACGGGAACCAGGGTCCTCATATTAGCGCGTATTTTGCAATCCATATCGATAGCGAATAGTGACTAGCAGGTAGTAGCTACATAGTTGCCTTCCATACCTGCAACACTTCCCATCCACCACCGAAAAACACTTATACATTCAACGCGCATCAGTACCGACACACGAGTCCCTTCACGCACACCACGAAACCACCACGAACCATGGCCGACGTAGAAATGACCGACGCAGCCCCCAAGAAGGCTAAAGCCGGTCCCAGCGGCGGCGACACAGCAGACGGAAAGAAGAAGTTTGAGGTCAAGAAGGTGAGTTTTGTGCAAAACAAGCAGAGAGATGCACACATACACATAGAGAACATGTTCTCTGACGAGTCTTGTGTGTGGGTGTGATATAGTGGAATGCAGTCGCGCTGTGGGCTTGGGACATTGTAGTCGACAACTGCGCCATTTGCCGCAATCACATTATGGACTTGTGTATCGACTGCCAGGCCAATCAAGCAAGTGCCACCAGCGAGGAGTGTACGGTCGCTTGGGGGATTTGCAATGTAAGTTCACGTTTGCGGAAAGGGGGTCGCAAAGTTGGAGTTGTAAAGCTAATAAGGTGGTGGTGGTTGTTGAATTGTAGCACGCCTTTCACTTTCATTGCATTTCGAGATGGCTCAAGACGCGTCAGGTGTGTCCGTTGGATAACAGAGACTGGGAGTTTCAGAAATATGGTCGTTGAGCAGCTGGAGGGGAAGATATCGCGAGAGATCCAGTTTCACCAGAGAATGCTCAATTGGGCGGGGACCGAAAAGAAGCGCTATGGGCGTCACGATGGCATGAAAACGGAGCGCAGGCAGACACTTGGGACATGGCATCTCGCGGAATATGGGGAATACTGAGATATTGGCATGAGAGACGATGCGATTTTCTGCCCAGTCAGGTAGGCATGACGAATCACTATGCTCTGAGTATCATACGTCGTAGCTAGCTAAAAGCCAGCTGATACGACACATTTTCATACGAACACTTGTTCGAACGCGTCCTTGATGTCTCCGCAGACCAGTTTATGTCTCTCCATGTTGCCCATTGCCTTGTAACCTGCAGCATTCGCCCCGACTTGGCTGACCCAGCTAGCTGATCTTCTTCCCATCAACTTCAATTCCTGTCAAATCCAGCCCTTGCATCGCGCCTTGTGTTGTCCTAGGTGGCAGCCAATTCTGCGGGTGTTTGTTGAAGAAAGGGTACGGTGGCACGACCACGAGGAAGGCGAGAGCGGTGCCCCCAAGGCCGACATAGAGGGTCGCGTAGATGTTTTGTGTGAAGAAGCCGACTAGGAAGGCAATGGCGCCCACAAGGGATAGAAAGCCATATGTGATATATTCTGCTAGACGTTGGCCTTCGAAGTCCTGCGGAAAGAGGGCATTAGCGTGGACTACGAATGGATTGTCGAGAGGTTCTCATGACGCACGATTTCGCCTTCGTAGATTGTGCGTGCTTGGTCCAGTAGTGCGTCCATGACTTTGGTGGTTGGGGTGTTTTGCTCCTCTTGGAACAAGTGTGCTTATGGTGGAGATTGGATCGGTGTATGGAATGGATATCTGGCACGAGCCTTTCTGGGATCGGAAGCTAGACACCGGAACCTTGTATACGTAGAAACTGGGTACCTAGGTACGGTAGCGCTGGGCTACTACGGCAGGAGGATAAGCTTGTTTGTGTCACGGCGTCTCGACTACTACAGTTCGGTTGCGTCGATGCGAGAAAGTGACGGCTGGATCGCGGTCTCCGGAAGCGTTTCAAGGCTGCACGACTGAGGCAGATATTGTCATTGCTGGGTTGGAACCACAAAACCATGTATGATCGGAGACTCGGAAAGCATGACAACCAAAAGTCGTACCCGACTGGGCCAGGAACCAACAATCCATTCGACGCTCTCTCATCGCTGCACGTGCAAGCTAAAACTAGCGCTTGAAAGGCTTTGTTCTGATCAACCGTCCCGTCGCCTGCCTCTTCTTCTCCTCTTCTCCTACTCCTCTTTCCCAACGACACCAGCTCGTTTTACCACACTCTACACCACCCAATTCTACCACCATCTGGAAACACGTACGCGATCGGCTTTCGAGAGGTCGCACACATGCGCCATTTTTGACTGACCGACTTGGAACACACACCCCACGCCTCCCCTCTCTCGCTAATTCTGGCTTTACGTGAGGCAATTTTTGCTGCTCTGGATTACCACACGTCAGGGCGCGACAGCGAATACACACCAAACACCTTCAAATTGGCGGGGAATCCAGGAGCCCAGTTCTTCCAGATTCGACCTCTCCTCGGACCAGTCTGGTTCGTTGGGGGCGACATTAAGCAACCTCCATAACCTGACCGGACGGAGTTCACTATAGATTGCGACACAGCGCGATCACCACGCAAGCATACATTAGAACCGATGGGATAATTGAAAGCCTGAGGGAAGGCGAGTGCGGGTCCAGGGACGACCTGGCTCACAACTGGGAATTGAGAATCGTCCGTCGAAAGGACAGGGAGCACTACCCACCAGGAGGAACAGGAGCAGTAGTCATACATCGAATCACTGTGTTACAATACCACTACAGACCAGCAAAATGAACTACCCACGGTCTGAAAGATCTCAGACGCGATACAGCACGCCCGAGCCGGACTTGGACGACCACCGGAACCAGCCAGAGAGCCTTCCGCCTGCGCCTGCTACGGAGAGCTATTTTCAAGCACGACGCGGTACCTTGGCAAGCATCGTCGACAACGAGCGCCCACCGATTCCTAGGGTGGTTGTGCCAATTGAGGCGCATGGATCGATTGCACGGGACTTCGAAAACGCCATTGTGGACGACGACAAAAGTACCAAAAGCAACGTCACCAAGAAGTCGGCCAATGGCCGCTCTCCAGACGAAGACTGGCACCGCGAGCGACGCATGCACCATGAGAGACGAGGTACTGCAAGTCCTGTTCCAGCAAGGCGGGCTATGTTCAGACGGCCCAACAACGAAGGCGACGCCAATTCTATTCGCTCGCATGCCTCGGATGGCTCCACGTCGCCACCAAATTCCGTGGACGCATTTGCGCCGCCATTGAGGCGCGGTCGGGCTGGCACCATGAATAGTCGAGCACCCTCTACAGCAGCGTCCCTGCACCGGACCGTCTCAAATGCCACTCATCCAAGAAGACGGCCGACTTTTGGCGAAGAGGATGCGCCAGGACGCCTGAAGTCCGATGTTGCTTCTCATCGCAGCTCTGCGATTGAAGATGTATGCTTTCCACCCGAGGATCCACCAAACACATACACGATTGACTTTGAGGATCTTGAAGAGTTCGTTGCGGAAACTCACACCAAGACTCCTGTGGCGCATCCATTCTTGCCACAATTTGCCAAGACAGCATCGTCGAAGCGAGTGTTCGGTGATCAACGCAGCGGCTCCCAGCCAACCCATTTCTTCGGCCTTGGTAATGGCGCCGCTGATGACAACGAAAAGACAGAGGAAGAAAGGGGTACGTCTAGTGAGGAAGAGACTGGTGATGGTGGTCTTCATAGGACTGCAAGCACTATCGATCTTCCTCTCAACCGCTGGACATTCTTCTCATCCGAGATTGATGAGACGATCCATGCACCAGAGCTGGGCGGTCTCCTCATGCCTGGCGAGACGTTCCGCGATATCTTCGAGCTTGGTCCAGAAGGCGGTGTCTGGTGGCTCGACATGCTCAACCCATCCGAAGAAGAGATATTCGCGATCTGCAGTGCCTTTCGTGTGCATCCTTTGACCCGTGAGGACATCACCACTCAAGAGACACGCGAGAAAGTGGAGCTCTTCAAGACGTATTACTTCTTATGCTTCCGGTCATGCTACATGGTCGACCCGAAGCACGAAGACTATCTGGAGCCGATCAATATCTATGCTGTGGTGTTCCGCGAAGGCCTGCTGACATTCTCCTTCTGCCCGAATAACCATGCTGCTACTGTGCGGAAGCGTATCGGACGTCTTCGTGATTACGTCAATTTGTCTGCGGACTGGATCTGTTACGCCCTGATTGATGAGATTGTCGACTCCTTTGCACCTGTGCTTCGTGAGCTCGAGCAAGAAACCGACACGATCGAAGACTCCGTCTTTACTGCACGTTTTGAAGATTCCCGTGCCATGCTTCAAGGCATTGGCGAGTGTCGTAAGCGCATCATGGCTCTGGCTCGTCTTCTCGGTGGCAAGGCAGACGTCATCAAGTCCTTTGCAAAGAAGTGCAACGAATCTTACGCCGTCGCTCCACGCGGAGACGTTGGACTGTACTTGTCTGACGTCCAAGACCATATTGTCACCATGATGTCCAACCTGGGGCATTTCGAAAAGATGCTCAGCAGAAGTCACACCAACCATTTGACGCAAATCACCCTGCAGCATACCGAGCAAGGCTCCCGCGCCAACGAACTTCTCGGCAAGATTACAGTGTTGGCTTCCATTTTAGTGCCGATGAATTTGGTTGCCGGTCTCTTTGGTATGAACGTAACTGTGCCTGGTAGTGCGGATTCTCACCCTGGGCTCGGATGGTGGTTCGGCATTGTTGGTGTTGTGTTTGGACTGGCCATTACTTGTCTGGTTCTTGCAAAGAGATTCAAGTACATATGAGTGGTGTTTTGTTGGCGGGATATGCTGAGTAATGTGTGTGTGGTTACATGGCCTGTGCTGGTTACGAATATGTTTTGGCATCAGTCGAGAAGTTGTCGACGGTAAATAGAGGACAGTCTTTGATACACAGATACGATCAGTCAAATATACATTCGATGCGCTCAATCTTTGTACCGTTCGTACTTGTGCATGTCCCGACACCCCTCCCCGATGATGCCGACATCGGTTATGTGTAGGAGCGGCTGTAGTCCGGGAATAAAGAGAAGCTTTCTCGTCAATCTGGGGCAAGCTCTGGGGTGAACCACAGGTGCCTAGAACTACCTACTGTATAAGGCGACCTTTGCCCTCGCAGCTTGCATTTCCTTTTACCTTCTTCACTGATCCAACAACTCTCCATACCATGACTGCTGCCACGAAGTCATTGCGAGCCCAATGGCTTCGCCCCATGACCCTCCATGCACGAATGCAAACCCGTCACAATTCCTCTTTCGCCCACCTCCAACAAGAACTCCCCCAGCGAGCCATCCAACCCACATTCGAAGACCTCTCACCCCAATCCAGCTACCGCCTCGACATGACTCTCTCAGACTTCCTCCCCCAACCAAACCCGCCTCCCGTCCTCCCTCCCACAACCCCCGCCAAAGAACTCCCCATCCCTCACCACCTGCTCTACTTCGAACCCAGCAAGCGCCAAAGCGATATGCTCCCCGACGGCACCAATCCAGACCAATCCCCCGGTCCACCTTTCGAACGGAGAATGTGGGCGGGAGGTCGCGTGCTGTATAATCATGACAACCCGCTCCATCTCGATGGTCGTCGTGGCGTGTGTCAGGAATTTATTCGTCGAGTGGATATTAAAGGTAAAACGGGGGAAGAGAAAGTCTTTGTCGCGATTGAACGCCGTTTGGCGAAAGCTTCGGCGGATGAGTGTGCGCGTTTGGCTCGAGTGGCTGCTGCAGCGGGGGGCGCGGGGGGTGCGGAGAAGGATCTGGCACAAGAGAAAGAGGATCTGTATCATCGTGTCCGACAGCGGTTATGGAGAGATTCCGAAGAAGATTTTGGCGAGGCGTCGATTTTGGAGACGAGGAATATTGTGTTTTTGAAGGGGAAAAATCCTCCTCCTCCTGCTGCTGCGCAAGCCAAAAACGATTCTGCTTCTGCTTCTGCTTCTGCTTCTGCTGGGAAACCTCCCGCTGCTGGGGGAAAAATGTTAAAACCAGAACTCACTCCCGATTACGAACATACCATTCTCCCGGACCCAAAACTCTTATTCCGATTCTCGGCATTGACATTCAATGCGCATGCGATTCATTTGGATCCGCAGTATAGTCGAGAAATCGAAGGACATAGGAATTTGTTATTTCATGGACCGATGAGTTTTATGTTTATGATGACGTTGTTGCAGCAAAAGTTGGCGGCGGCGGCGGCGCAGGGAGGAGGAGGGAAGAAGGAGGTGATTAAGAGTGTCGAGTATAGGAATATGGCGCCGTTGTATTGTGGGGAAAAGGTCAAGTTTGCGGGGACGAAGACTGGAGAGAGAAAGTGGGAGGTTTGGGCGGAGACGCCGGAGGGAGGTCTTGCGGTAAGGGGAAAGGTGGTTACGGAGGCGAGGTGAAGGCGGGTGTATCAGGAGGAGGATGAGGAGGAGGAGGAGCAGGAGGACTTGATGGCGTTGGAGTGGTTGATGAGGAACGAGGATGTGTATAGTGTGCAACAGTGAAGCGAACAAAACAGAACCGAGGAGAAACAGAACTGTCAGTCATGTGTAAAAGAGTAGCAAGGAGCGCTACTTCGTCATCAAAATCTTTGCTGTATGCTATATCAGATGTCCCTCCATGATTGCTCAACCTCTCCTCTACTATGCAATGCTCAGAACGCTCGACAGACGTATTACGGACAGTAGCAGCCCTCTCATTTACAAGCAAACAACCACCCTCTTCCGATCAAAGCAACGCACAAACAAACCTCTCATATCCCAAGTTTCTCCTTGGGCACGAAATTAAAAGCAGTACTCACAATAGCAAGGACAGTACTGACAATGATAATTGTCCAGTCCAATGTTTTCTGTCTCCTGCTCAGTTCCTTCCCGAAAAGCTTCAAGTGAAACGCGCAAGGCAAGATCAAACAGATCGTGAAGCAAGCCACTGCGCCCAACAAGCTCATAATCGTATCGAACTCCGGAACCAGGATCGCCATGACCACAAAGGCGATAATACACGCAACTCGAACCACAATCTTGAGGATTCCTCGAGTGAGGCCAGAACAGCCGTGCGTGGCTTGTCCGTCTCCCATACTGCGAGCATCTAATCCCAGGAACATTTCCAGAGTGCTAACGATAGGTCGGGCATTCAGCGGCACTTTTGTCAGAGGAATAATGGCCACGCAGATGACGATGAAGACCGACAGGAAGGCTGGGTAGCCTTTGAGTTGTAGGATGTTGCGCGTGACTTCGTCTTTGACTCCGTCTCCGAACATGAGGAGCCCGACAACTGCCATTAGGAGATCCAGGTTGAAGACAGCGACGTATGTGATGTTCACTCCTCTGCGGTACTTGTATGGATGTCGCATGTCTCGATAGATATTGGGGAACACGCTATGCCCACCCCAAGGAGACATGAGGATTCCCGTGGCGATGGGGAAGCTACCCCAATTCTCTGGGAAGAGATGGGTCTGGGCTGGTTCACGAAGAGAGCCCGGAGTCGTCGGTTTGATCAGCCCGTCGATGATGACCGCGAGAACGATGCCGAAGCATGAAAGGATGCCCAGGATGCTGGTAAAGGACAGAAGCCGGAGAGGCATGAAGGACAGTGGAATGAGGATCACGCCGCAGACAACTTTCCACTCGAGCAGTCCCCAGCCCGGTATCAAGGCATCCAAAGAGTCTGCGAAGAGAACAACGAGCGCCACGCATGCGGCAACTAATTCCAAGGAGAAAAGAATCGATGTTCCAATCCGTGCCCATGGTCCGAAGGAAACAAAGGCGAGGTCCGCGAAGGTGATGAGGCTGTTGTCCACGTCGGCACATTTGGCAAGAAGTTTGGCAGTGTAGCAGGTCGAGGCTCCTGCAAAGGCGAAGAAGATGAGTCCTGGCACCCATCCGGCATACCTCATTGCTAGCGGCAGAGCAAGCAATCCAACGCCAATCAGCACATTCACACTGTTGAAGATGGTCTGAGGGAGCGTCGATTGGCCCACAATGACCTGTATGACTTTGCCGTCATCCTCTTGCACTTTCTTCACCATCAATGGCTCCCGTTCGCTATCTGGCATCCTCATGGTACCTCGCAGCTGTTGCTGGCGAAAGAGCCGACCTGCATGTTGCATAGACGATTCATTGACGCGCGAGGAGAGAGATCCCCAGGTACTGCCGTAGCTGCCTCCGAATGGCGAAGCCAGTTGGGGCTCAATCATGAAGATGCTATCATCTGCAGGCGTTCGCGACGTGATCTTTTGCAGCAAGGGCTGGTCCTCTGCGGCCGTGATAGTCGAACCCCGGGCGTTTCTCGGAAAACCTCGATTCAACTCTGTCGTGGGCGTCTTGCCGTCCATGCGCTCCTCCTCCTCCTCCTCAATAGCATCGTCCACTGCTCCTCTGTTCTGCGCCTCCAGCTGTTGTCTGAGCAGGGAGCGGTGCTGCTTCGCTGTTGGCATCGTGTCCGATTCTTCTCCTTCTTCTTCATCGTCGTAGTCGTCGTCATCATCGGCGGCATATACGAAGCTCTGTCGCACCGGTGTGACTTCGTGAAAGCCCACTGCACGTTGAAAGGATCGAGTGAAGCTAGTATAGTGTATCAGATGTACATTCCCTCCACGCTCACATGAATGACGGCGACGTCACTTACTTGTGCAGACTGTTGACACCGCCAGCGTGGGTGATGGAGTCGATGGCCAGACCCATGGAAGATCTCCGTCGGCGCACATGCTGTCCATCACTGTCGTATGCGGAGGGAGCATGCGTGTGACTGCCATTCGAGATGGCATGGTGGTGGTGTTGCTCTGATGCCTCATCGAATTGCACTCTGCTGGAGTCGGAGCCGGCGCGTCCTCGCTCATATGCGCTCCAGGAAGCAGGCAATTGCCCTCTCTGCGCAGGCATGATCGATCAATGAGGTGGGCTCGCCGTGTCTGGCACTATCTGCACACTGCCTGCAGTTGTGCTGTGCGTCTTCAGACGGGAAGCGGTGCTAAGTGGAGAGATGTTTTGAAAGTCGCGAATGCGATCGACGATGGTCGCACGGTGTGGGTGCGTGCGGTGGTGGGAGAGACTGTTGAAGCTCTCGGGGTGATTTCAACGGGAAAGCTTCACGAGGCAGCGTAGCGCCAGGGAAAGGGGAAAGTGAATTTTTCTTCTGGGAACAGTGGTGTGGGAAGGAATATGTGTCGTATAGACATCATCGTGCCATCGATCAAGCAATAGTGGAGTTGGGTGTAGATTATATTAGTCGTAGCAGTCGACAGCTCTTATCGGAAGATAGTAGGCGATACCTGGGTCACCGACAGGACATACCTGCTACCTCCTACCTCCTACCCTCACCGCCGACCGGCTTGCAGCGACGAGGGGGAGAGAGAGTCAGGGCGGTGCATGTCGTATTGAAACTCTATCTGGACAGGTGTAGCACTAGAGAGTATGTAGTAGAGTGTACGGACAGTGTCTGACAGTATACATGTAGGAGGTACATGTATGTACAATGTAGATGAATGATTTTGCGTAGAGCGAAGGTCAGCTGGGCCCAGGTAGATGTGGTCATCTGCAAGGGGGCATCGCGCGGTGCTGTGCCGACTGGGTAATCGTGATCAATATGCACGCGTAAAAACTTCGGGTTCGGCGGCGGCAGCTGAAAGAGGAAGCGGAACCTAATAACCCTACTTGGGACGCTCTGACAGAGCAGTCTTGGGCCCTTTTGTGCCGCACTGGCTGGGGTGGGTGAGGGTGGTGAGGTGAGATGGTCACTTTGGTGTGGTGTGCAACTGTGCATTGTGCATTGTACAACTGGGCACTGGGCACTGGGCACGTATAGCGGCGTGTGAGGCTGTGGCCCCCGTCCCCCGTCCCAGTCTACCCACGTCCCAGTCCCGGCTAGCCCACGGTTCATCACCCACCAAAGAATTTCGAAACCCGTTCAATGACGCAAAGGCTGTGTATGCTCGACCGACCGCATCTAGCAGTCCATACCACGTAGGAGTCGATAGCACTTCGGCGCACAAGCTGTGGAGTAGAGGCGGGCGGCTCGGCTACTTCCATCTTGGCGTTTCGTCGTCGCCGGTTGCTATAAAGCCTTCCTCCCGCGATAGTACACAGCCTCAGCCCTTATGGCACTACTCACTAACGACGACATCCGTACAGTTATTGCGGGCGCCACGAGACCTCTAGATCTTCTGCAAAGACTGGCTTCGGGACCTATTGAACAGCTTACATTGCCTACCCCGCTTCCTGATCCCCAACACTTCCTTCACAATCGGGAACTGATTTGGCAGCGCTACGACAGCATTACTGTGCTTCGACAAGTCTCGCTATTCCAGCGCAATGACAGCCCATCGAGATCTATCTATCGCATGTGCGAATTCTTGTCGGCGGACTTTCCCAATCAACTGATGCTAGAGATGCAATACTTTTGGCATCATGAGGAACCTCAGTGGACCTTAGCAGCAATACCGGACCCTCGAGAGACTAACGTCGAAAGATACGCTATTTTGGCAAGCCTGGTCGAAAGTTTGGTTACCGCGTTCAATGCCAGACTTGCCCTGGGATTGCGACGTGGCCGAGAAAGCATAGTGGCGAAATCCGACCAGATCAGAAGTACCCCGGGAGAGAGGGCTCCGTTCTGGACTTGCAAAGTACCTAGGCTGTCTTACGAGCTGTGTCTTTACGATGCTGGCCCCTACTTCGTGCCTACCGATGAGCCATTCTCAAATCGAAACATAATCGCCAACGCGGGTAACCTTTTTTCGATATAGGTACCTACAGATTGTGGAGACAGAAGCAGCGCTCAGCGCGAGTACTGATGATCGTATCGAGGAGACATGAAGCAAGGTGCATTCATCGATCGCTGCAATGAGTTTTGAAATTCACCAAGGTTCCTCCTTACAATGCACCATTAAATGCATGCCATTTCCACGTTCCATCATCTGTATGGTACACCATTTGCGTACCACTCGCCTGCGGCCACTCACTTTCCGGTCTTAGTATACAGTAGTAAGGTACACTCGCGATTAACAATCGTATTTTGAAGGGGTAAAGGCAGATTCGTAAAGGAGAGTTGCGAGACTCGCGACAAAGGCCTCAGGCGGGCTTTGGGCGGCGGAGTATATTACGTCGATAACGAGATGTCGAGGTGTGTTACGTCTAGGGCTGCGTTTAGACGAATCCTAGGGCTGCCCATAGCCTCGCCAACTCTGGCAGAGCAGTCTTGGGCCCTTTTGTGCCGCACTGGCTGGGGTGGGTGAGCCGTGAGCGTAGTGAGGTGAGATGGTCACTGTGGTGTGGTGTGCATTGTGCAACTGGGCACTGGGCACTGGGCACTGGGCACGTGTGGCGGCGTATGAGGCTATGGCCCCAGTCCCCCGTCCCAGTCCCCGTCCCAGTCCCGGCTAGGCCACGGTTCGTCACCCACCAAAGAATTTCGAAACCCGTTCAATGACGCAAAGGGTGTGTGTGCCCGACCGACCGCATCTAGCAGTCCATACCACGTATTATTATTATTAGGTATTGTTTGTCTCCAACCCCCCGACCGCGTTATTGGCCTGCCCGGCATATTCGAAGCGTGACGTGAATCATATTTCCCGTCACGTCAGGTTCAGGTTAATCTCGTGGAAGCAGAGGGACAAGAAGCAGAAAGCAGAGAAGAAAGCTGCAGAGAGAGAGAAGAGGAGAGGAGCTCCTGCCTGCCTGCCTGCCTGCCTGTGTGCCCGCCTTAGTTCTACGCCGGCACTCTCCGCACGCCTTTCAATTTTCCCTCGTCTCTCTCTAAGCTGTCCTTCTCCACCCCACCACCCTCCACCACTACTGACACCCACCACCACACGAGCGACTCTTTGCGCTCACCACCCACCGCCATGTCGTCCGAACCCAAGGCCGGCGAGGCCGAGAAGAACATCGAGATGTGGAAGGTCAAGAAGCTGATCAAACGCCTGGAACAAGCACGCGGCAACGGCACAAGCATGATCAGCTTGATCATCCCGCCCAAAGATCAGGTCTCGCGAGCTGCAAAGATGTTGGCCGAAGAGTTTGGTACCGCCAGCAACATCAAGTCTCGCGTCAACCGACTGTCCGTTCTTTCCGCCATCACATCGACCCAGCAGCGCCTGAAGCTATACTCGAAGGTGCCACCGAATGGCCTGGTGGTCTACTGCGGTGAAATCATCACGAGCGAGGGAAAAGAGCGAAAGATCAATATCGACTTTGAGCCGTTCAAGCCCATCAATACGTCCTTGTATCTGTGTGACAACAAATTCCACACGGAAGCTCTTAGCGAGTTGCTCGAATCCGATCAGAAGTTCGGCTTCATCATCATGGACGGAAACGGAGCTCTCTTTGGCACGCTTGCTGGCAACACGAGGGATATCGTGCACAAGTTCTCGGTCGATCTACCCAAGAAGCACGGTCGTGGAGGACAGTCTGCCCTGCGTTTCGCCCGTCTGCGTGAGGAGAAGCGTCACAACTATGTCCGTAAGGTCGCCGAATTGGCAGTGCAGAACTTCATCACCAACGACAAGGTCAACGTTGCTGGTATCGTTCTTGCTGGTTCTGCTGACTTCAAGAATGACTTGAACCAGTCCGATCTTTTCGACGGACGTCTCCAAACCAAGGTCATCAAGGTGGTCGATGTTTCCTATGGTGGTGAGAACGGTTTCAACCAAGCCATCGAGCTCGCTGCAGACACTCTTTCCAACGTCAAATTCATCCAGGAAAAGAAGCTCATTAACGCATACTTTGACCAAATCAGTCAAGATACTGGCAAAGTCTGCTACGGTATTGGCGACACTCTCAAGGCTTTGGAAGCAGGTGCAGCTGAGACCCTGATTGTCTTTGAGAATCTGGAGATGACACGCTGGACTCTCAAGAGCAGCGAAGGCGCCGAGGTCATCCTGCACACTACCAAGGAACAAGAAAAGGACCGAAGCAACTTCATGGACAAGGACACTGGCCAAGAAATGGAAGTCGTTGATCAGATGCCATTCCTGGAGTGGCTTGCCGAAAAGTACCGTGACTTTGGTGCTCAGCTCGAGTTTGTGTCTGATCGCTCTTCGGAAGGTAACCAGTTCGTCCGTGGATTTGGTGGAATTGGAGCCATCTTGCGATATGCGCTCAACTTTGAGCAACTCAATGCCGATGAGGATGAAGACGAGTTCTACGATGATTGACCCATTGAAGACCTCGCAGCGGGCGAGGCCTCACGAACTACCATGGCCGAGATGAGTGGCGGAGCTTCCGCCGAGCAGCCAGAGGCGGCTGCAACTGCTACTGCTCCAGCAGTTCCCAAAGGAGCAGACCCCAAACCGTCCTTCGCGAAGAAGGTACTAGCCAAGCAGGCCGCCACCGCGAACAAGAATCACGGGCACAGACCACAGGTGAGTGCTTTCGGTGCGATGTGGAAGAATGTGTTGCTGACTTTTTCAGAACTCCACGCCACTGCGTTCGAGCATAACAGCTTAAGCCAGGCCAAGCTGTGGGAGAAGAAGACGTTGGTTCTGGATGTTGCCAGCCCCGTGTTCTACAGAAGTGATAGAGAAGAGGTGATAGCACTGTCAAGACGAGTATCACCAAAAGGGTAGCTTTTGGGTTCGCTTTGGCTTTAGCTTTAGAATTTCCATTTACGAGTCTTTAGTCTGTCGAACCCAATACAGTCTTTTCCTCGAAGCCATCCGGACTCTAGTTGGACCTCTCCTTTTCATCCATGAATTTTGCACTCGCCAATGTCTTTGAAGACGATGCTACGGAGGCCACCAATCCCATGTTCCTGCACAGGTGCCCACAATAGTGCGTAATCATGATCCTGCGTTCTAGGAGTCAGAACTCAGCTTGGGAGGGAACGGGTAACATGTAGGAGGACGAGGACTATAGTGGATGTTTCATAATGGGAGAAGTATGTTAGGTGTGAGTTGGAGAGGAGAGTTTGTTATAAGAAAACAAAGGAGGAAAGAGAAAGATGGTAAAAACATGATTTGGTTCTAAGTGCGTTTAGTGTATATGAAAACAAAACAAAAGTCTGGTGCGAATCAAAAACAGGTGCTGCGAAACGAAAGCAACCTCAGAATGTATATGTATGTACGTGAGATACCTCAAGGACCAAGCTAGGTAGGTACAGACAGCATCAACGCCCCAGCAGCGAAAAAAAAAGAAAATTGCGTCCTCTTCGCTCGGGAATAGATAGTAGCTCTATCCAGTCGTCTTTTCTCCCTTGCTTGCGTATAAAAACATCCTATCCCGCAAAGCCTTGCATTGCAGGATATCTAGAAAAGCTTACACAAAAGCTCCGCCTTAACGACCTTCGGCCTGCTCGTACCTGTACTATTCCTATCCTCGAGCACTCGCACATTCACCAGAGAGCCGCTACCTGCGAAATTCGGAATAAATCGAGTCCCTGCATCAGAAACGCCTGTATCGAAGAACTAGAGTAGTTAACAAGAGATTTTTGCGGCATTTACCTGTTTATGTATACAACCATATAATTGTATTAGCGTTGAATTTCATAGAGAAGAGGGAGATACCGATTGCGGTCAGTTAGGTAGGGTATGTATTGATAGTACGAACCCCGTAGCCTGCGATTAGCTCTAGTCTGATGATATCTGTGCCTCTGATTTTTAGGTTTGCGATTTCGTTGAAGGGGGCTACGATGAGATTGCTGCTGTTGTCGGTGTTGAAGGAGATGACGAGGAGGGATTGGACTGCATCTCGGGTAGGATAGGATGATGGTCCAAGGCGGTTGCAGAGCAGACCGACAGAGTGGGCAAGGCTTCGGCTGGCTAGGTCGGCGCTCGGCTGGGACTGTCCAGCTGTAAAGGGGATGCCAGAGATGATGTCGTTGCCGGTAGAGAATAGCCATCTGGAATAGCAGGCGAAATTTGGGAGAGCTAGGCTGTTCTGCTAGGACATTATCGTCAGTAAAGTGGGCACAACCTGAGGTGATGAATTGTAACGTACTGAAATTGGTATAATTGCAATGTTGGTAATATACTCGCCGTGGATCTCGGCGTACTGGTTTTCCTAGAAGGCTTGCACTACTTCGGCGCCGTTTGAGGTCGTCGCTCTAATGATGACTGTGTCATCGTTGTTGGGGATGGATGGTATAGGTATAACGGCAGCTGCGGCAGCGACAGCAGCAGCAACGAAGAGTGCGGTAAGAGTAGCGATCTTCATGTTAGTCGTTGAAGTAAGCTCTGTTACAAATAGATAGGTATTTGTATATTGTCGAGTTTGTTGTAATCGAGTTTGTTGTTATGTTATTATTGTATTGTTGTTATCGAGTTTGTTGTAATGTAACTAAGACAAGAAGTAAATACCCCTTTATACCTCTGAGCTGCTGAGCTCCAGTGAATGAATACCTCTTATGTGACGTTAATAGCACGAGCTAAACACAACTGAGATAAGAAGCAAATGTCCCTTTACACTAAGCTGTAGTGAAAGCGCGCCTCTTATATGGCGTCCTTGATTGTACGGGTTTGATGCAAGTGAGACGAGAAGCAAATGCCCCTTTGTGCTTAGCTGAAGTGAGTGTACACCTCTCATGTAACGTCGACTGATCGACTTATGTCCTCACTTCTGTCCTTGTGCCCGTTTCTGTGAGTGAATACCTTGGGTGAGTTACATCGCCTGATTCCCCTAGAGATAGCAGCTCTTCAATGCAGCGGCGCGTATCATTGACACGGAGACGCAAGGCGGTTATCTAGACTAGCTCTCCTTTAGCACCAACACGATAACAATCAACAAGGCGAGGATGCCAGATACTGAGCAGTCACCACTAACAGAGAGGATTCTTGCAAGCTACCTCACTGCAGAGGAGCCTTCATGACAAGCGACTCAGTCGTGCTGTCTCTCCTGCTCCCTCTACGTAGCATCATCCTACCCTCAATCACTTCACCAAGCTCTTATAGGACCTCGCCGCCTAGTTTCGCCGCAGGATCGAAGTGGTGATGGGAACGGTCGGGTATAGCTTGCACATGCTTAGCCACGTCGGTGAGATGAGGTAGGTGAAGAAGGATAAGGTTCGTTGTGAGATTGGGAGCTGCTCGTTAGTGACGGATCAATCGCGCAAACTACTAGGATGGCACTGTATTCATGTTCCTGTAAGAGGCAGAAGCAATTGATAGGCTTGGAGATGTGCAATACTATAGAACCAGCTCTACCATACTGTAGGTAGTAGACTAGGTAGTACAGGTACCTACTTGTAGTGCACATGTGAAGTTAGCGGAGACGACGGAAGGCCAAAGTGGCCAATTCTCATGAACGTACCTCACCTTATGAATCTACTGTATACAGCACCTTTCTTTAATTCTATACCTTACCGTCGCCGTATGCGGCACCTTACCTTACCGTCGCCGCCGTCGCTATATATACCTCGTTGCCTACCTTACCGTCGTATGTAGTCTATATTACCGTTACCGTTACCGTTACTATTACCGTTACCGCTGCCGCCGCTACGGAATACGTCGCAGTCTATATATATATACCTCGACAGTCTACTATCCCTCCGCTACCTCCGTTACCTACCTTACTATCGCTCGCGCTTATACCTCGCTATCGTAGTAGAACCGTTAGAGCTCGCGGTAGTTAAGTACTAGATTACGAGCAGTTCTACGAGTTTATTACTAGGTTATACGCTAATAGGCATACCTACTAGTCTATCCGCGAGGACCTCTTTGCTATATTCGGCGTCCGTATCGAGCTTAGTATACTACGACGGTAGCTAACTTTATAGGGGCTTATAAGAACGTATACGCTAGCGCGAACCCGGCTCGAATTGAATAATACTAAGGCCCTATACCTCCGAATCGCTTATACCTACTATTACCTATATCTTACCGACGAGGAGGCCTACTAGATTCTGTATATTAACGGCTAGAATATCGGAAAGCATACCTATCGGCGTATACGTAAAGAGCTAGGGTTTATTAAACAGGTACCCTAAGAACGATAGGCAGAGGCAGAGGCAGAGATCGCTGCTATACTCTCTAACGAGCTAGCTAAGTCGTCGGTTAAGACGTACGGCCGGAGGAACCTCTATATATACCTACGCTCGAAAACTAACCTAATTAGAAGGCATACTATATTATTATACTTATAGCCGCTTGTAGACTAACTTATTCGCGTAGGGACCGTATCTACCGTATATACCGACTACTTAACCCCGAATCCGATAGGGTATAGCGACGCCGCGATAGAGCTAGAGAGCACTACAGTACTATTATTATATCCGGGCTAATATACGCGCTCTTAATAGATACTTACTACAAGTTCGAGTACTAGAGTATTTAGATCTACGGTACTATCGACGTTTACTCTCGCTATATATAGTACTAGTAGCTCTACGTTAGAATTATAGGCAGGTCCGTAGTATTAGTACTCGCTTAGTATACGGCTACTCTACGCTATAGGGGCGTCGCTCTATTAATTCTACGCTCGGACCGTAGAAGCGAGACTCTCTTAGTATAATAGTTCTGTGAGCGTAAGGGTATACGTAACAGAGGTCCAAGGTATGAAAGGTATAAACAATATACGGCTTGCTAACTAAGGCACAATAACTCTGCCCTTCCTTCCTAGAGGAGGGCCCTCGCTATATACATAAGCTATTCTATTGTCTACTCCTCGCTACCGGTACCGCCTCCTCTTAGGCAGCAGCCGATAACCGGTTCCCTTAGGAACCCTCTTGATTCAGAACGTCTCCGATCGGTAGGGCATCCCTTCTATACCGGATCGCCGGGGGTCCGCAAGGGCTTCCCGTCCCGCGCGGTACGCCCCGCCCGCCTCGCGGCCCTCGCCGGGGGTTCGCTAGGGCTTCTCTGCCCTAGTATATTACAGACGCCCCCTCTTAGGGCTAATATCCCTAGTAGCGACAGGTTATTAGTCCCCTACGTATTCGCCCTACGAACGGGGGTAGACGTCTACTCTTATCTAGGTGCCGCGTAGAGCTAGCGTATACCTGCGGAATGTCTATGCCTTAGTATTAGTGAATATTGTATACAAATTCCCTCTTATGTTCGCGCTGTCGTAAAGCGTCGCTAAGAATGTTTGCTTGTAGTCGCGTCGCGAATTCCGTAGGTAGTAGTCGGGAGTACGCGGTAGTATCGCTATAGAGATAGAATATTTTAATAGGTTCGTCGCGCGTTCTGCGATCCTCTTATTCCTTTCCTATTAATAACCTACTACGTACCAACATCCTTACCCGCCTGCAGCTCTATTACTACTACTGTATCTAGACAGCTATACTTCTACTTCTCGTTCTTCGTTTACTCTTTGTAGCCCCGCCTCGTCCCTTGGTTTCCTTCGCCGGCTCCGTCGCTTTATTAGGCCCCTCCGACTATTATAGCGTTTACCTAGGGGTACGTAACGATTCCTTTCTCCGCCGCGTATATAAAGGATATAGTGTCTAATAACTAGGACTATAGCTAGTCGGACGCCGACTAAGACGAAACCGGGTACGTAGCTATATACCTGCGGTACGCAAAGTCGATCGCTATAGGGCGAGTATATAATGCGCCGGTATACCGTATATACGATAGCTACGCGAATAACAACAAGGTAGGATGTAATAGTATAGGAAGGGTAAGTGTCCGTCCGCCTTGCTAGGGGTTCGCCTTGCTGACGAGTTTATATACAGACCGTACTAAGACTCTTAAACAAGGTAATCGCCGTCCAACGCTAGAAGGATGCCTATAATAAGATTTAGAGAGAGATTACGGCTAGTTACCCGGCAAGCTCCGTAGAGGACGCGCGCGCCCTTGCGGAGGGCGACGAGGAGTACTGTCGCTAGGCAGTACGCCTCTATCTTATAGCGCGAACCCTTAACAGAGAGATCTATACTATTAAGATAGCGTGCTACCGTACGGGGACTACCGTAGGTAGGCCTACTCTCGCACTACGGTCGACCTAAGACTACTAAGGCTTGCTGCTCTTAGAGCAATTGCGTTCGCTAGGACGCTATCCCGTATAGGGACCCTTAGAACGCCTCTAAGGGTCGTTGGCGGTAAGTCTTTAACGACGCTCCCTGTTTTCGGGAACTAGCTAACCCTATCGTAGCGTCCCTCTACTACCGCGGCAGACGCCTTTAACTAGACGCGTACGAGGTTCTACTAGGTAGTGCCTACTATAGTATTACGCCTAGACGAGGCCCCGGCGGTTCCCCGCGCATCGCCCCGTCCTTAAGCAACCCTGCTAGTACCCTCTATAGGTCGGAGTCGCTATCGGGGTAGTCGCCCCGTAGTATATTCGTCTGACGATAAGGAGCTTCTAGCTACGGTTCCGACGCTAGTAACCTCTCGTCGGCGCGGCGAGAAGGTACGCGAGGTTACCCTATCCCTAGAGCGGGGTCCCGTATTGCTAGACTTTGTTCGAGACGCCCTTCCTAGCCTACGTCGACCTAAGGCTAGTATCGTTCCCGCCTCGACTAACGATACGCCCTCTCGTCCGCGTAGCGGTCCTATAGCGACTACTCGTCCTACTGCTCGTCCGGCGGTCTCTGTCCGAGACTTACTAGCGCGTACCCCGGCGGCTCGTCGCTAACTAGTAGCTCGCGAGACCCCTCGCCGTTCGACGGTCGGTCGTATAGTACCTCGTACGCCGTATAGTAGTCGTACTTTAAACACTGTATACTCTCTATTACCCGGCTATATAGCTAGGTACGATTTTAATACCCTAGAGGGGATCGCCGCGGCTACCTTAGACCGGGTACTATATCTGCGCCGGATACCTAGCCGTCCTGCTCCGATATTACTATCGTCGCGCTTAACCCGGGGAACTCCCCGATTATCCCGCTATAGCGGTCGCCCTATTAAGAACCCTTAGCTAATACGTCGGTTCGATAATAGATACGACGAGGAGGATGTTAGCGATAACTAGGAGATAGAGGACGCGCCGCCGCTAGAGGTAGAGCCCCTATAGGATAAGGACCTCCTTATAACGGGCGCCCTCCGAAGTGAATCCCCGGCGCCCGCAGCACTATCGGTTACCGTCGCGCCGCCCGTTCTAGCCTCTCCTCGCGTCTCTAGGGCGCCGTTATTTCGAGGCTTCTCGCCCTTGCCCGCGGAACGCGAGGCTTCTCGAAGCCTATTACGCCTAGTGTTATATCCGGCGATTCCCTTTCGCTTTACTAACCCTCTTTCTCGAGAGTCTGCCTACGCCTCTCCCTTAGCGACTATACTACT